AAGGCGGCCCAGAGGGACCAAAGATGGCCCAACAGGGTCCCAAGACGGCCGAACAGGCCCCCAAGACGACATGAAATCAGCCCCAAGAAACCCGGAAGTGGGAACCCGAAGATGGACCCACCCCGCAGCACGGCCCCCAGATGGCCTCCAGACGGTCCACGAAACTCTCAACATGCCCCATGAGGCCCCGAGGAGATTCTCGACAGGGCCCTCAGAGGCCACAGTTACTGATTTCCCGCAGGGTGTCAAACACAGGTGTCATTCCTCTCGCCCCATCGGGCACCCGGCGCCGACAGGCCGCCCGACACGAGCGCCCCCAGAGGCAGCCAAGATCGCCCCAGTACCGCTCCGACCGACCCCTGTACAGCCCAGGAGGCCTCGCGACTCCCAGAGACACTGCCCTGATTTACCGTATGTGGGTCGATGTCGTTCCACTGCTTCCGAGGGCGTGGTGCTGGCGACTCAAGGCCCCTCGAGGGCTCCTAGACTTTCCAGGCATGCTTCCCAGACGGCCCAAGAGGCCACGAAGAAGCCCCAACCCTACACCGAGCAGCGTCGTCCTCAGGGGGCCCCTCGAGCTTGGGCAACCTTTTGTTGAACAGGAGAGGTTGGCAGAGCCTCTCGGAGCCTTCGGCGCCTTCGGAGATGCTGCCAATGGGCCCCTCAGCTGCTCTCCAGACTGCCCCAAAAGGGCCCATGCGGATCCATGCGGCCTCCAAGCGGTTCGCAATCCAGGAGGCCATCCAAGCGGCCTCCCAAGCGGGCCACCAGAGGCCCACTGTTCTCACGTTCGCTGGGCTCTCAGCAGTGTCTCCCTGGGCGTGCTGCAGGCAGCTCAGGATGGCCCCCGAGGCTCGTGGGCGCCTCGTGGGCGCCCTGTGCGCTGGGCTGGTGTGCCGAGGTTTCGCCCGGTGCCCGCCCGTGGGCGCCTCGTGTGTGACTCGTGTGCTAAACGGCCACATCCAATGCACCGCTTGCGGCTTGTACCACACAGGTTGTACTACATCGCTTGCACACTCGGCTGGCCCCACACAGCTTGCACCACACAGCTTACCCCCCACACAGCTTGCGCCACAGATCGCGCCGCACATACATACACCACACGGCTTGCACCGCGCAGCTTGCACCGCATAGCTTGCACGACTTGGCTCGCACACCGCAGAAGCAGAGCACACATCTTGCGCAACACAGCGTGCACCTCACACATGGCACCACAGACCGTGCACACTCACACTGTATCAACTTGCTGTTCGGGGCGCACGCTGGCAAGCGTGTCAGAATCTCCGTTTCGACGGTGTTGGGTCGCAGCTAGCGGCAAGGGGGTTCACTGCAGATTACTTGTTGAACCTCCTGGATCGGATTGGAGATGGGTGCTGGCGCAGGACCCTCGCTTTGGATGCTGGAGGTCGTGTCGGACATCTGTTCTCGTGATCTCTGCTGCTTTCGTAGCCGCTCTCTGGTCCACTCCCAGGGGCGCATCGTCAACGGGCCCTGATGCAGGCCCTCTGCTGGCGCAGGATCTCAGTTTTTTCCCCCCCCAGATCCCATACCGCTGACTGGCTCCCGCGGGCGCATGCCGCGAAGGATCTGCCCGCTGGCGCTGTCGCTGTTCTGCGCGCCGACAGCTGCTGGCAGGGGGCCCGCCGAGGACCCGCAGTGCGCCGGCAGGAGCAACGCCTCCAGTCGGGGAACGAAAAACGACGTAAGCATACACGTTCGGAGGTCCGCGCGGATTTCTCTCCGATCCGCGCTGGGCCCCCCTCCTGGCGCGCGGAGCGCGCCAGGGGCGGCGCCGGAGGCGCCAACAGGGGGCCTCAGCCCCAGCGCTGATCCGAGAACTCCGCGCGGACCTCTCAAAGGGTATGTCTGTGTCTCTGCTTCTTCCTCCAACCAGAGGCTCCGCCCTCTGGTGCCTCTGCACACGGCGCGGGCGCCGCGTGGGCGGGCCAGACGCCTGCGAGCAGCCGCGCGGCGGTCGCGCCGAGGCCTGCAGGTGGGACCCGGAGGCCGAGGGCTGCGTGCCGCGCGGGGGCTCGCCGCCGTCGGCGGGGCGCGCGGAGCGCGGGAGCGGCCTCCAGGCGCGCGGGCCTGTCGGTTGCCCTGAGCCGCGCGGCAACTCCTCCGGCCGGCCAGCGGGGAGCGGCCACTCGTTCACCGTCCCAAAGAGGAGCAAACAACATGAACATAGGCCTTTGACGGTCCGCGCGAGTTTCTCGGATCTGCGCTGGGCCCCCACGGCGGCGCCTCCAGCGCCGCCCAATGGCGCGCTCCGCGCGCCGGCGCGCGCGTGGGAGGGGGGTCTGGCGCGGATCCGAGAAATCCGCGCGGACCACCAAACGTGTATGTTTCTGCTGCTTTCTGTTCCTCTACCATCGCCACCTGGAACGTGGAGTGGCTGTTTGACGGGGTGGACGACCCACCGGCTGCACCGAAGGTGACGCCGGCGCAGGCCGAGGAGCGCATGCGCGCCGCGGCGCGCGTGGTCAGCTCTCTGCGCGCGGACGTGGCGGTGCTGGCGGAGGTTGGAAGCTGCGGCGTGCTGCGCCATGTTGCCAGCGAGGCTCATGCCCTGGATGGTTCTCGCTTTTTCGAGCCATACCTCGTGGAGGGCAAGGACGCCGCTCTCAGACAGCAGGTCGGATTGTTGTCCACTCTCCGCCCAACGCAGAGATTATGGAGGACAGACGCGCACGAAACGTCCTTTGGTGAGCAATCGGGATGTGGCCCGTGCCCAGACGCGCGGTCACACAGGAGCGGTGTCAGCAAGCACCTCGTTGCGCGCGTGGAGCCCTTGCCTGGCCACACAGTAGTGGTCATCGGCCTCCATCTGAAGGCGCGGCCCCTGGACCCCTGCTCCTGCCACAAGCGCGAGGCCCAGGCGCGAGTCGTGGCGGGGCTGGTGCGCTCTGCGCTGCGGCAGCGAGAGCATGTGGTGGTCCTCGGCGACTTCAACGACTTCGATGCGGACGTGCCAGACTACAGCAGGAGCTTTCCGACGTCCTCCGTCCTTCGGATCATCAAGGACGTGGATGGCGATGGCAAAGCTGAGCTGTGGAACACTCTCGAGGCGGTGGACCCTGCGGAGCGGTACAGCGACAGATGGGGACCCCCCAGGCCATGGTGGCTCGGCGGCCAACGCGTCTCGCTGCTCGACCACGTGCTGGTCTCCGAGTCCCTGCGGCGCTGCGTGCGCGAGGTGGGCATCGGGCACCGCATGATGCCGCAGAGCCTGAGCGACCACTGGCCGGTGTGGGTGCGCCTGGACCTGGCCGCTCTGGCGCCGAGCGCTGCGCCGGCCGCGGTGGACGAGCCGATGGCGCCGCCGGAGGTCTCCATCATCGGCGGGCTGTGCGAAACCGCAGTGGCGCTCTTTGTGGTCGCTTGCACCGCGCTGCTCTGGCGGCGTCTCGGCAGACGCTGGCGGGAGGCGAGAGGCGCTGTGCGGCTGGCCGAGTAGTGAGAAGAAGATGGCACGTCCTTGTCCTCATCCTTGTGCTGTTCCTCGTCATCGTCCTCTTTCTCCTCCCCACCTCGACCCTGCTAACGTGTCTAGCTGATGCACGAGCTTGCCCGCCCCCCCGGAGTTGTTTTCTTTTTCCTTACCCAGCTAGCGTGCGTCTCTCCCCTCCCCGCGGCCTTCAGCCCTGTGCGGTGCTGTCGGCGTTTCGCGTCGTGTGGCCAAGAGCTTGCTGAAGGAAAGGGAGGACAGCCGGCAGGAAGACAGGTGCTTGCGTGTGGCGGGCACGTCGCAGGCGGCGTGCAGGCAGGCCTCGATGGCGGAGTCAGGCGCGGCGGAGCGTCAACTAAATCATAATGAGGACGCTAATGTCAAGCACTCGGGAGGCCAGGGTCGGGAACTTGTGCGTAGAGTGTCGCGCCGACCGAACTGGCCCACCACGCTTGGGCGCGACACGCTATCCACTTCCTGGTCCTCAAGCGTCAGCGTCCCGAGCTTTTCCTATCCTCCCGACCCGCGAGGCGGAGCGCCACGCTATCCGGTTGCAGGGCGTAGCGTGTCGGCAGGGCCGACGCAGCGACAAGCTGAGGAAGGGTGACTGACCGTAATATCCTCTGAGCCCCCTTGTACTGACCTCGTTTTCCGTGCGCAGACATCGATGGGACTAGATCGCCGTGGCTTAGCCACCGTATGTTTGGCCGATTGGCTGGAGCCGTTCCAGAATGCCACGCAACAAGTTGCTGCACTGATGGCGCGCTCCAGAAAGTGCTTCGCCTTCGGCAAATCTCGCCTTCGGCCGAAGCCAGCTGAAAGCTGGCGAAATCCGCAGGAAGTATTACGGCGGCGGATCTGCCAGTCGTTGGCGGAATGCGGAAGACCGGTGAACATCAAAGTGAGATGGTCAACACAGAGTGCCATACGGCATTCAGCACGGAATGTTTTTCTCTGTGCGCAGGGAGATAGAGAGAGAGAGAGAGAAAGAACGACAGAAAGATAGAGAGATAGAGAAGCTAAAGAGGCGCAGTGGCAAAACTGGGTGGTCGCGCGGTGTCAATACCATACGGAGCTCGGGCCATCCGCACCCGAGGAATCGCGCCTGCGAAGTGCCCTTGGCGAACGGATCCAAGTGGATCGGGCGATCAGGGTTTCTGGTACGTTGACGCGGGTGGGCTGAACTCATTGGAATTGCGGATGTTTGACATGTTGGGCGTATTCAATTCGGGTGAAGTGCATCGGGCGAACACACGGACAAGTGCACGTGTGCGGATTCATCTAGCCAAGTGGATGAGACCAAGTGCATCTCAACGTCTGGACATGGTTGGGTAACCGCAGTATGGTGAATCCGAACGGATTAACCTATCCCAGGGAAACATACCCAGACCATTTGAAGTACCAATCAGTCTAGATATGAAGTTGGCCAGTTGGACTTCACAGGCATATCTTATTTGGTCAATTCCATGTTGTCATCCGCTCAGAGTGCATTTAGGCGGAATTGAACTGTTTCGGTTGGGACCGTCTTCATGCAGTCGCCCATGGTGCCGAGGCTATGGCGGGTTTGCCCAGGCGTATGCAGGAGGCCAGCATTGCTATGTTTTGACTGGGAGCGGTAGAGGAAGAGGATGAGGAGCATAAGTATCATGTACAGGTGATGGTATGGAGATCGGCCTTGGTTGTGAGGGTCATTAAGGTACAATGCTGGCTGGCATTGCAGGAAGCGATTTGCAGCCGCAAGATCATCTCAAGCGTGAGTGGTGGTAGTCATGAGTGCCCTGGAAATCATGGGGGGTCAGATATCTGTTCTGAATGTTGCGCATGCCCTTACCGCAATGTGGAGGCACCCACAAACTGCAGAAGCACAGCTGGATTCGACAGTCGCTGCTCGCTGCTCCTGCTGCTCGGCGCGCTCGGATCCCCGCCGTCCCCCCGCCTTCCTTGCCCCTCGCCCCTCGCCCCCCCCTCCGCTCTCCGGTCACGCCCTTCCTTCCTCCTCCCTTCCCTCCCCCCCCCCCGTCGCCCCCCTCCCGCCGCCCCTTTCCCCCCTCCCGTCCCCCGCCCTCCGGCCGCCCCCGTGTGCAGGCGGCGGCGGGTACGCGCCGAACGGCGGCGGCGGCGGCTGGGGCGGCGGTGGCGCGCCGCCTCCGTCCGTGGGCCGAGGGCCCATATCCATCGCACGGGCGGTCGAGGAGGCCGGCCGCGGAGGCGCGCGCTTTTTGGCAGCGCCGCGCCGCGCGCGCGCATCTTCGGCGCTCTCGTTGGTGGCCCCGAGCGCGACGGGGCAGTGCGGCACGTGGGCCCGGGCAGTGCTCGCGTCGTGGGAGAGCCACAACCTACAGTTTTTTTGACCGTTTTCGGCCTCCAGGCTCTTCCTCCTCCTCCTCCTCCTCCTCCTCCTCCTCCTCCTCCTCCTCCTCCTCCTCCTCCTCCTCCTCCTCCTCCCCCTCCTCCCCCTCGCCGGGCCCCGGGCTCTTCGGGGTGCAACGCCCGCGCCGGGGAAAGGGTCGGGATTATTTCCAGGGATCCCGCGTGGAAGAGCTCAGGACAGCGCATGTCTGGGGGGGGGGGAGGGCGTGGCAGTCGTGGGGGTGGGCCCCGGCAGGGTGGGCCCGAGGGGGCAGTATTGGGGCTCGGGGCGCTCGGAGGGCGGGGCCTCCGGGGGGGGAAGGATGCAAAGCGGCTGCGTGCAGCGACCACGGGGATGACCGTCCAGGACACCGACATCTCGGTCTACGACCCGAACGAGCAGCCTGCGCTCGCCCTCAGGGGTCCGGGCGATCGATACGGCGGCGGGAGCGGCGGAGCCGTGGGCAGAGCGCCATCACTTGGTCCGCCGTGTCGCGATTGGTCGTTCTGTGTTGGGTATCAGATCGAGTTTGATTACGTAGTAGGTCTGCCCTCCTCAATCACTTAGTTGGTGCCCTCGTGTCCTGCGTTCCGCGTCCCAGGTCCTCTGCATTCCTCGGGCCGTGTGGCGTTCGAAAGCGCCTCGAGTCCCCTCGCGTGTCCTCTCACACTCAACTTAGTTGCGTTGCGCCCGTGTCCCACCTTCGCGGCCTCCCCCCATCCCTTCCTCCTTCGTCCTCTCAAGCTATAGATCAAGTTTGACATGTTCCGCAGTATCCCGTGCACTCCCCGCACGCAGTAGTGTCGGGGTGCGCGATTGGGAGCATCGATTCCTCGTGCGCCAGGGATCCGGACGGCGTGAGCTCACGACGCGCTGGAGGGAGTGCCGGTTGGTCTCCGTCGCCTTCGGGATGACAGCGTTGTCGTTTCGGGAGAAAGCGCTGGCTCCAGAAAGGCGAAAGGCTTGGGGTGGGGACATACATCCCCATGTTCTCCGCTCTCGCGCTCCTTCGACGCCGGGCACCTCAGTAGCGGAGTCTCGCGAGGGGCGAGTCGCCAGGAAGAGCAGAAACTGGGTCTTCGCGTGCCTCGTTTGGCCCAGTTGTCTGAGGTGTGGTGCGCAGGAGCGGGGCCGGGCGGGGGAGTTCGGAGGGTCAGGGGCTTTGGGTCAGAGCGTGAATTACCTACCCCGCTTTCGCTTCCAGGCAACACCAAGTCATACCACGCGCCTCCTCGTCAAGCGGCCTGACCAGTGCAGGCCGTAGTTTGGCATCGCTTGGTATCTCTTGGAAGCGAGGGTGGTCAAAAGCGAGGTAGGTTTGTTTGCCCCCTATTGGGGGCAGGTCGTGGGGCAGGGGAGGCCCCTCGCCGTGCTGCTCCCCGCCGTGCTCCTCCCCGCTGCCCCCGCCGCGGCCCCCCCCCCGCCTCCCGGGGCCCGCTCCTCTGCCGTGCCCTGCAAGATCCCGGGTCTGGCGAGCAGCGCATCTCCCAGCAGCGCCACTCCTTCGCCACCCTCCTCTTCCTCCTCCTCCTCAACCTCCTCCTCCTCCTCCTCCTCCTCCTCCTCATCCTCCTCCTCCTCCTCCTCCTCCTCCTCCTCCTCCTCCTCCCCCCTCCTCGTCCCCTCAGTTGCCCCATCCCCCCCCCCCCCGTGCGGCTGCCCGGGAGTCACCGCGTGCGGATGCCCGGGAGTCGTATGCGGGTTCTGTTGTGCTGTGAAGTCGCCCGAGGCCAGGGTAGCCAAGCGCAGTGAGCGCATCGTGCGTGTATGTGTGTGTGTGTGTGTGACGGCACACCACGCACGACTTCGTCAGGGTGTCCTGCGCTGTCGTGCACGCTCACTATTTGTGCTGCTGCGAGTGCTCCACTTCTGCGACTTCTTTCTGAAGGTGGCCGCACCTCGAGATGTGATCCCTGGACTGTTTGTTCCCGATGGTTTGCATCGTTCCCTTGATCCCAACTTCTGTAGTTGGCAGATGTCGCAAACGTTTGCAGCCTCGTGGCGCTCTCATCACAATCCGCGCCGCGAGTTACGATCCTGCCGTATCATTGCTGGCATTCCAGATAGCATGCCAGCAGTTGAACAGGCATTACCGAATTCGTCTGTACAGTGATGGCGCAACCCAATCGCCGCCCACTTCAATCACTTTTCTCTACGGTATCAAGACGAGTACCAGATGTTCCCACTGAGCGCCGCTAAGCTATTCGAACCCAAACCTGCAGTGCTCTCCTTGCAGTGTCCTCTCTGAATGGTACGGCTGTATCTTTACTAATCTACGGTCAGCGTTTCGGTGTATGCTTAGGATACGTGCAGTAGCTACGGGAAACCCTTGGGCGCGTAAGATGATGGGTCGACCTGGCGTCGTCGGCAGGAGTGCAAGTCGTGCGCTACCGGCTGCGGCACCCAGACGGGCGAGCAGTCTGGCAATTACTGCGTTTGTCCCTTGGCGCTGTCCACGGGCAGGAGCTCGCGAGGTCCCCGCAGGCCGCCGTCGCCGAGGCAGGGTCGGGCGGGCTGTCGCTGGGGGGCGACCCGAGTGGGGGGTGAAGGGGAGGGCCCTGAAGGGGCTCCTTTTGTGGGGTCTTTTCTTTTCAGGAGGGAAAAAACACACAGACACAATTAATCGTCGATCCCCCGGAAAATATTGGAAAACATGGGAGGGGGGGGAGACAAAAACCCAGAGAATATGGGAAAAGATGGGGAATCCTGTTATTTGGGTGTATTTATTTGTGTGTCCCAGGGCCCCCTTCATCTTTGGAGGGCCCACAAGGGGCGCGGCACAGGGCCTCTTGAGGGCCCTCGTCTTCGCCCCTAGTTTGGACCCCCCCCCCTTGCAGTCGACGCGCCTCGTAAGGACGCGCGCCTTCATCTAGGGTGCGTACCCTTGTGTCCTTGCCTCTGCGGCCCGTCCTCTGCCGTTCTCACTGGCCGCCCACCGCCCCAAGAAGCATCAAAAAACGGTCAAAGAAACCACTTCTGCCTCCGAGGGTCTTGCGTCCTTGCCACCCGTCTTTGATCCACGTTTTGACCAGACCACCCGCCCTGGCAGGGGTGGCCGAGCGCGACCGAGTCCTCGAGCCCGCTGGGGGGCAGAGCGCCACCTTGCGCTTCTCCGGCCCCGCTGCCCCGATCCTCTGCGGCGGCGCGGAGGTGCACCTTTGCCTCGGCCCCATATCCTCCAGAACACCTGCCCACCAACAAGAAGATCCCAACTTTGGATATACCTAGACAAGAGGCTTCTTCCTCATCATTTCCCCCGATCGCCTTCCTTTTCCTTCCCCTCGTCCTCCAGCTTGTCGTCCTCATCGTCTCCCGCCTGGCTTTCCCCCTGGTCTCTGGAGGCATCGCGTCGCTCTGCTTTTGGGTCGAGGGCCGGCTCGACAAGCCCGGGCCGAATGCATTGACCCTCTTCATGTTTATCATGTGCGGTTTCTCGGCTGACCCTCCTCCGACATGCAAGTTCTGTCTGGCAATCTAAGGTGCAGCCGCAGCAGGATCGGCTTTCTGAATCACGCGTATTTCCTGGCGTGCAGCTACGCACTTCTTCGTACCCCAGGGTGGAGGAGGGTAATTGGGGAGCGGTGGAGGAGGGGAGGGTGGGAGGCAGAGGTGAAGGAGGAGCACGGAGAACAGTTGCGCAGTGGCGGGACGCCGAGGCGGCCGAGGAAGGTGGAGAGGTGCACGGCGATTCTGCGGAGGAGGGAGAGTTCAGTCCGCCCAGAGTGGGGGGGTGTCCGAGCAGGTGGGGTCGGCGGATCGCGCCGCGTCGCCGAGGCATCGGCGAGGCGGCTCGGTGTGGAGCCCGATCGTCTCCACGCTCACGGCGCCGATGCATCGCCGACGTCGCCGATGCCTCACCGGTGCAGCGGCGACGTGGGGCGCGATCCTCCGACCTCAGCTGCTGGGAGTCCATTTTTGGGAGGCTTCTGGGTCGAGAGTGGCCCAGCGGCCCTAAGCGGCAGCCTGTTGACCCCATTCCACTTCCCGTGGCGTTGCTCAGTCTTGCCTCATGCCTGGGTCGGGGGAGGTCGAACGACTGCTTTGGAGTCCACTTCTACGGGTCGATGAGGAGGATAATGATGACGACGATCACGACGAATGCCGCTGGGGGGGAATCAGCCGTGGAGTTTGGAGGAGGAGCAGTATGAGTTCGAGGGGGAGGATGGGAAGCGGGGAGGGGGGGCGAGAGCGGGGGGGGCGGGGAACGAGGAGGAAGAGGAGGAGAAAGGTAAGATGGACGAGGAGGGAAATGAGCACGAGCAACAGGAGGAGGACGAGGAGCAGGAGGATGAGGAGGAGGGAGAGCATGAGGAGAAGAAACCGTCTCCTTGTCATGTGTTGTGTCAGATCGACGACGCTTACGGCGAATCATCGCCGCCCCCCGCCTTGTAGTATACGCCTATCTGGCCAAACGTTTGGCCAAAGTTCGGCCACGCTATCGGACCATGCTTTTTTCCCCAGCCGTTGTGGAAACCCTTCGGGGAACACGTGAGGTAGGAAAACGAGGATGAGGATCGGGATGAAGCAGGAGGGTAAAGAGAAGGATGAGGAGTCTTTTTGTGGGACTCTTGTGTCATTCTTGGGTCCTCCTGAGGGCTTCCTGGGGGCCTTTGGGGATTTGCTGGGGAGCCTCTTTGGCAGTCTTACGGCGTTCCTGGCCCGTCGGACGCCGTCTTGGGAGCCTCTCAGGGCCGTTTTAGAAGCCCTGTCGGAGCGCTTCAGGGTCGTATTGAAGGCCATCTTGGGCGTCTTGGAGGCCTCTTGGCCAGTCTTGGGGCTCTTTTGGGTTCGTCTTGGGGGCTTCTGGTCGTCCTGGGCCTTCTTGGAGGCCTCTTGGGCGATCGTGGCGCAATCTTGGGGGTCCCTTTGGCCGTCGGAAGGCCGACAAGAAACGTCTGCCATACTCATCATTTGGCTTCTTTTGGGGGGGCTCTTGTGGATCTCATGGTGTGTCTTGGCGGCCTCTTTGGCAATCTTGATACCATTTCGGGCCTTCTTGTGCCCATCTTGGGCCATCTTGGGCCCTCTTGAGCCCATCTGGTCCGTCTTGGAGTCATGGTGGGACCGTCTTGGAGGCCATCTTAGATCATATTGGCCATCTTGGAGGCAACGTTGCCCGTCTTGAAGGCGATCTTGGGTGGTCGGCGGGTTGGGCCCAAGCCCCGGTGGGAGTTCTTTAGACACGAACCAACAACCCAGACGACTTGCACGCCGTGCACCCCTGTGGGAAGCCGCAGGGGGGGGCGGATCGAAGATGCCTACGGCGAACCACCTCCGCCCCCTGCCTTTTGAAAGCGTCTATGTGACCGAACGTTGCGGCCAGAGCTCGGCGACGCTATCGGACCATGTGTTACCCCAGCCGTTGTGGAAGCCCTTCGGGGAACACGCGGAGGAGAAAGAACAAGAGGAGGGCAAAACAGAAGAAGGAAGCGGCGGAGGTCTCTTGGGAGCTTCTTGGGACACTCTTGGGGCACTCTTAGGGCCTCTTGGGAGCTTCCTCGGGGCCTTTGGGAGGCCTCTTGAGGGCTTCCTTGGGCCCTTTGGGGACATTTGCAGGCTTCTTGGGGGGTTCTTTCGCCGTCTGACGGCGTTCGTGGCCCGTCTGACGCCGTCGGAAGCCGTTTTGGGGGCCTCTCTGGGCCGACTTGAGGCCCTCTTGGAGCGCTTCAGGGCCGTCTTGAAGACCATCTTGGGCGTCTTGGGGGCCTCTCGGGCCGGGCAGTCTTGGAGACCTCTTGGGCCGTCATGGAGCTGTCCCGGAGGCGTCTTGGGCACTCTTGGGGCTATGTTGGTGGCCTTTGGGGCCATCTTGGGCCGTCTGAAAGCCGAAATGAGAAAACCCCAGGATCCGTCAACAATCAAAGGAACATCAATGATTTCGGCGTCTTCGAACCTTCCTGGAGGTCCTCTTGGGGGCCTCTTGAGCCATCTTGGACGATCTAGCGGCCGCCCTGGGCCATCTTGGGGGCACCTCGGTCCAACTTGGAGACGCCTTGGGGCCATCTTGGGCTTTCTCTCGGGACTCTGGCCGTCTTGGAGGCGTCTGCGGCCGTCTTGGAGGTCATCTTGGGCCATCTTGATCGTGTTGGAGGCGATCTGATCCATGAGGGGTGGACTGTCCTGGGCTTTCCGGGTGGCCGGCGGGTTGGGCCGGGGCGGTTGTTCAGAAAAGAACCAGAACCTCCTCCCTCCTCCCTCCTCCTCCTCCTCCTCCCTCCTCCCTCCTCCTCCTCCTCCTCCTCCTCCTCCTCCTCCTCCTCCTCCTCCTCCTCCTCCACTGCCCACGACGGGGCGGAGCTCCGGGGCAGGTGTCCAGCACGCCGTGCACTCCTGTGGCCAGACCACAGGGGGCGGCGGATGGCTGAAAGCGCGAGGAGCGTCGGGATCCGTCAGCCGGGAGAAATAGCAAGAGAAGGAGTGTGCGGGGGTTGGCCACTGAGGGCCCCGATGGCGGAAAGCGCGCGCAGCGTCGCGATCCGTTAGTGGAGAAGACACAAGGGGGAGTGTAAGGGGGATGGTAGGGCCTGCCGAAGATGACGGAAAGCGCGCGTAGCGTCGCGATCCGATAATTGGGAGGAATAACAAGGGGGAGCTTGAGGGGTTTGGCAGGACCCACCACAGATGACGGAAAGCGCGCGTCGCGTCGCGATCCTGTAGGTACGAGAGATAACACGGGGGAGTGTAAGGGGGTTGGCCGCTGATGCCCCAGATGACGGAACGCGCGCTTAGCGTCGCGATCCGTTAGTTGAGAGAAATAACAAGGGGGAGTGAGTGGGTTGGCCTGGGCGGCCCTAGTTGACGGAAAGCGCGCGTAGCTTCGCGATCCGTTAGCCAGGAGAAATGACAACAAGGCGGAGTGTGTGAGGGGGGTGGCATCGGCGGCCCCATACCTAATGACCGAGTTGTCGGCCATGTTCGGCCCTAGCCGGCCCAAGTCAGGCCCCAGAGCGATTCAGAGGGCTCGAAGACGGCTCAATGCGGCCCCAAGAGCGCCCAAGCTACCTTCACGACGGCCTCAGGGAGGCCAAGGAGGGCCCCAAGGCGGCCCGAACGCGTTCAAAACGCGCCCAAGATGGCTTGAAGACGGCCAAAGATGCTGCTAAGACGCTCCACGACGCCTCCAACCCATTATGTACACATCGTTCCTATTCGTTTATAGGGAAACTGCATGTTCAGCATATTTGCTTCTTTGATCTTGGCAGCGTCCACGGCGGCCCAGGACGCCCCCAGCATCGCCCCAAGTCGGCATAAGAGGCCCCCAAGACGACCCCAAGACGGCCCAAGAGGGCCCCGAGACTGCCCAAGAGAGCCCGCAGGCGGCCCAAGAGAGGCCCCTCAGGGGTCCCAAAGGTTTCCAAGAGAGCCCCAAGAGGGCCACAGGAGGTCCCCAAGAAGGCCCCAGAGGGCCCCGAGAGGGCCGCAAGACAGCCCAAGCTCCCCAAGACTGGCCAAGAAGGCCCCAGAACGGCCCAAGAGGGCCCCAAGACGGCCCAAGGAGTTGCAACAGACCCGTCGCTTCTGGCCTCGTGGAAAGATTACCACGCGCGTTTTGTGTTGCCTTGTTTCGGGCCCCGTGGCCCTCACGGACCGCTCTGGCCCAACAGTCCGCGCGAGGATACGGTGGAGAGTTCCGCCCGTGAGTTTCATCACGTCGGGATCTCGTACGACGCCAGATGTTCGCGGGGAGGGGGGCGTGGGAGAGGGAGTAGAAACAGGGCGTGAGGAGAGCGGGGCAAGACGGGAACTGGAAAAGAGAAGGAGGGGTGGGGGTTCAGGAGGGGGGGGTGAGAAGGATGGGGACTCGTGAGGCAGGAGGGGGGGAGGAGGAGACGATGAGCGCAACGCCGTAGGGGGTCTTCGCGCCCTCGCCGCCACGTCGCGCCAGTACGCCACCTTCGAGGAGTGCCGCGACATTCCCCGCGAGATTCTCGGAGAGCTCAAGCGCGCCGGCTTCCCAGGGCCCTCGCAGATCCAGGCGGGAGCGGGGCAGAGGGTAGCCAGCGCTGTTGTGGCCCTGCCCCTCTCAGGGGCGGGCGGGCGGAGGAGGGTCCACACGCAATTTGTCTCCAAGGGTGCACGGAGCCAGTGCGCCTTCCGATCGTTTCATTGTTTCTTTCCTTCTTCGGCATTGCGCCGTAGTTTTCCTTGGGCAGCTGCGTTCGGCAGAGCGCGAAAGTGCAGTTAGCGGGGGTCCGTTCGCTTGGAGACATTGGCACCTTTTGCGCGATCATGCCAGCACGGTGCAGCCAGAGTGGCAGCGCGACGCTGACTACAACTACAGCAAGTGCAGCCAGTGTGAGTACTGCTAGGGAGGGTGAGCGCACGAGCGTGCCATCTTTCATCGCGAGGCGCGATCCACACAGTTTGTGGATAACCAATGTGAGTCTGCATGGCGTTGAGATCGTCTTCCATGAATCCATTATAGTACTGCCAGCGAGCGCGAACGCGGCCCCAAGCATTGCGTTATGAAGCAGCGTACCATCACGACCAGCACCACCATCGCGAACAACGCCCTTACTCTGACCTCGCGCAGCGATTGCCATCATCACGATCTGCACTACAGTTACCCGTGCCTCTATGGCCACATCATACGACCTCCCAAACTATTCTCGAACTTTGCCTCATCAGCGACAGGATTATTTACCCTCGTTGTCTGCGTCATCGTTGTCGTCGATGGCATTTGTTCCCAACCATCCTGTGGTGTTGGGTTCTCGTTTTGAAGAGACGGTCCCCGCGTTCCCTCCCTCCTTCCCTCCCTCCTTCCTTCCTCCTCCCTCCTCCTCCTCCTCCTCCTCCTTCCTCCTCCCTCCTGCGTTTCATCCACCCAGTACAGCGTTTAGTGGACCCATAGGGAGCTCCACCGAAGGCCCCAGTGCTACCGCCCGCATGTGTCACGCACACCCATCCCGGCACACCCCTCACACGTTTCGTGGCCCCATAGGGAGCTCCACCGAAGGCCCAAGTGCCACCGCCCGCATGCGTCGCGCACATCCATTTCGGCACACCCCTCACGCGTTGCGTGGCCCCATAGGGAGCTCCACCGAAGGCCCAAGTGTCACCGCCCACAGGCGTCACCCACGCCCATTCCGGCGGCACACCCCTCACACGTTTCGTGGCCCCACAAGGAGCTCCACCGAAGGTTCCAGTGCCACCCCCCGCATGCGTCACGCACACCCATGTCGGCCCTCACACGTTTCGTGGCCCCATCGGGAGCTCCACCGAAGACCCCACCGCCCGCATGCGACACGCACACCCATTTCGGCACACCCCCCTCACGTTTCGTGGCCCCACAGGGAGCTCCACCGAAGGCCCCAGTGCCACCGCCCGCATGCGTCACGCGCACCCATTTCGGCACACCCCTCACACGTTTCGTGGCCCCATAGGCAGCTCCACCGAAGGCCCCAGTGTCACCGCCCGCATGCGTCGCGCACATCCATGTCGGCACTCCCCTCACACGTTTCGTGGCCTCATAGGGAGCTCCACCGAAGGCGCCAGTGCCACCGCCCGCATGCGACACGCACACCCATTTCGGCACACCCCTCACACGTTTCTTGGCCCCACACGGAGCTCCTCCGAAGGCCCCAGTGCCACCGCCCGCATGCGTCACGCGCACCCATGTCGGCACACCCCTTACACGTTTGGTGGCCGCATAGGGAGCTCCACCGAATGCCCCAGTGTCACCGCCCGCATGCGTCGCGCACATCCATTTCGGCACACCCCTCACACGTTCCGTGGCCCTGCAGGCAGGCAGCTCCACCGAAGGCGCCAGTGGCTGCGTTCGCATGCGCCCACTGTTCCAATTTCGGCACGCCGATCACACGTTTCGCGGCACCACAGGGAGCCCCACCGACGGCCCCAATGGCTGCGTTCGCATGCGCCCACTGCATTCATTTCGGCACACGTCTCATTCGCTTTGTGGCCCCATTGAGAATTCCACCGACGGCCCCAGTGGCTGCTTTCGCATGCGCCCACTGGAGAAATTCTGGCACACGTGACTCACACGTTTCGTGGCCCTAGAGGGAGCTCCTCCGAATGCGGTGCATACAACGACGGTGCTCACAACTGCATATGGTTGGGTCCTTCGCCAGTCTAATTTCTTTTCTACCAACCTTGTTTTATCAACGAGTGAAGGTTGGATTGGATGTCCCGCCCGCCTGTCTGACTGGACATCCCGCTCTTCAGTCATCAGTCATCAGTGATCAGCGCCGCCGCCGTCGTTGTCTTCGTCGTCGTTGCTGTCGCCGGCGACCTCGTTCGTCGTCGTCGTGATTTACGTCGTGGTGGTCATGGTCGTGCTCGTTGTGGTCGTCGGCGGTCGTCGTCGTCGTCGTCGTCGTCGTCGGCGGTCTCATCGTCGCCGCCCGTCTCTGTCGGCTGCCAGCGCGGGGGGGTGGGTGGAACCCCACCCATCTCTTCCTGAACCACGGGGGGGCGGTTCGTAATACCCCCACCCCTTCTTCCGCCAGGAGGGGAGGTAAGGGGGATGGGGTAAGGGGGTTTGTCGGAGGAGGGCCATTGGATTTTTGTTGGGTGGCCATTTGAGTGACCCCCTTTTGGGGAATTTCCCGATGCAAGCAATCTTGAGACGCGCTCCCTATGATCAGTGCCACCAGGACCGCCATCACCATCACCAGCACCGCACTGACCAGCATCATCCACGACCACATCATCGCGATTTTCAGTATAAGCACACCACTGTGACTGGGGTGCCCCTGGAGCATCATGGCCAGCATTCTGATTGCCAGCAGCACCATGAACGGCTTCCACATCACATTGACCAGCATCACGCCACGAGCAACGTCACCATGACCGGTATTCAAGGGGCCAGTATCTCCCGCCACCATTACCATGCCATCAATCGGATCACTTCACCAGCGATGCCTTCACGGGCAGCGCACGCGCTGTGTGCACTGAGATTTACGTGACGGGGCCCGGCAGCACCTCATCGGCCAGCACATCAGCTACCAGTACAAGTGAGGGCAGCAGCACCAGCTTTCTCAGCACAGTTGAGACGAGCACGACAGGGGTCAGCAGTGCCATATGCAACAGCCCCGTCGAGACCAGCAGCATCGATACCGAAAGCAATACCACGAGGTTCACCAGCACGACTGGGACCGAAACTACAACGGGCAGCAGCACCAGCGGTACCAGGCACATCTCTCACGAGAGTACCACCACGAGCTTCACCAGCACGATTAGGAGCATCATCTCATCCACCAGCACTTCAACGGGCAGTATGGGTGAGAGTGGCAGCACCAGTCTCCTCAGCACATGTGGGACCAGCATGACGGGGTCCGGCAGGCCCACGTTTTGCACCACCAATGAGGCCAGCAGATGCGCTCGCGCGAGCAGCACCGCGAGCTTCACCAGCACGACTGGAATCAGCAGCACCTCATCGAAGATCATGTCAACGCGCAGTACCAGTGAGCGTAACAGCACAAGTCTCCCCAGCGCAAGAGAGACAGGCATGATCTGGGAGCAGCGCCAGCGAGACGAGCCGCAGCGCTCCCGAGAGCAGCACCATGAGCTTCACCAGCGTGACTAGGGCTGGCAGCACCTCATCGGCCAGCACACCAGCGAGCACTACGAGTGAGGGCAGCAGCACCAGCCTTCTCAACAAAGTTGGGACGGACATGACAGGGGTCAGCAGCGCCATAGATGCGGCAGCACCAGCGCGAGACCAGCAGCATCGATGCTGACCAGCGTGACTGAGACCGGCAGCACGTCCTCGACCAGCACATCAGCGCGCAGCAAGAGCGAAAGCAGCAGTCCCAGCCTGAGCACACGTCAGACGTGCATGACCGGGGTTGCCTTACCTTACAGTGTACTGTAGCAGCGTCGGCGAGACCAGCAGCAGCAGAAAGCAACAGCGAGCGCAGCAGCACTCAATGACCATCACGACTCGGATCAGCGCACGCCGCTCATCAGCGCAAATGGCAGCAACATCAACAGGACGCTGAGTAACAGGACGGACGCATGCAGCCCGAAAGTTCACAAGCAGCACTGCGCTGAACATTACGTTAGATACAATCAGCTTGACAATGAGCAGCACGGCGTGCCCCAGAAGCACGCTGCTGAGCAGCACGACGTGTGCTAGCATCGTGAGGCTGAGCATCACTACGGATCTCAGCAATACGATTCTGACACTGCCTGGGAGCGGAGCATTGGGCATCTACGGCGTTGCATTCAGGACCCCCCCCAAGCTCCCCGTTTCCCTCCTCTCGTCTTCCTTGCAATCTTGGGGTCAGGATCTTGCGCGACAGCATATGAACAAACCTCGGAGATATCGCCCCAGCGAGTCGCCAGGCGTACACCTGGCCGCTGGCTATGCAGAACAAGGACGTGATCGGGATTGCCGCAACAGGCCACGCGGCGGTTAATGGAGGATCCAGGCTCGAGGATGCACACGGGAGGAGGAGGAGGAGAAGGAGGAGGAGGAGGAGGAGGAGGAGGAGGAGGAGGAGGAGGAGGGAGGCGGGAGAAGATGCCTTGAGATCCGACGTTGCGGAAAAGTTGCAGCATCGTGAGAATTCCAGACCGCAGCCCTGCCCATGCACCCCATCTTTCTGCTGCACTGCTCGAGCCAGATCCATCCCCGAGGGCCCTGGGGCCCGACGCAGGGCCCAGCCGCCGGCTGTGCGGAAATGGCGACGCCAGGGTCGCAGGGAGCAGGTGCAGGAGGGAGGCGGCGGCAGCAGGGAGGCGGGAGGAGGGAGGAGGGAGAGAGGCAGGGAGGCAGGGAGGGAGGAGGGCGGCAGGTCGAGGAGGCGGGAGGATGGAGGAGGGAGGGTGGACTCCGGCCCCTGGCTGCTCGGGCTCGCGGCGCGGCTGCGCCGCGGCGCTCCCGCCCGGCGCCGCGCCCCCCGCGCCGCGTGCGCCGGGCGGCTGCTGCGGCAGGCCGCGCGGGAAGAGCGGCAGCGCGCCGCGCCCGGCGTGCCGCCGTGCCGCTCCGGCCCGGAGCGACCCGCGCCACGGCGGCGGTGCGTGCACCAAGGTGGCCAGGCGCCGGGAAGCCAGCGGGCCCTCGGGAGGGTTCTCCGGCGTTTTCGGGCGGTCGTTCGCCGGGCTCGGGCCCCCAAGGGGGGCCCTGCCATGGCCGCGGGTTCGGGAGGGAGGGCGCCCTGCCCTTCCAGAGTGCTGGAGAAAATGGCCCTCCAGGCTTATTAAATGTCCTTAGACCCATCTGGGCAGCCGGACCCCTCGACAGGGAGACAGACGTCAAGGTCCCAGTGCTATTTTTGTTGCCCTCCTGGGAGTTTTGGGGCGGCTTCTGCTGTGTTTGTGCTTCTCCTTCACTTCTCGCCGCCGCGCCGCCGGCACCAGAGGCCACCGCCGCAGAGGGTCTGCCGTGGCCCTGGAGGTTTCCTCGGTCGCGGTCTGGCCTGCTGGCACCAGGGTGCGCGCCATTCTTGTGTGAACGGCAATGCCGTTGCGCCAGAGTTGGTCTGGGCAAGTCGCCGTGGAGCCAACGAAGAAGCAACAGAGACGGCACAAACACCAATTTTCTGAGCTCCGCGCGGATTTCTTGGATTGGCGCTGGGCCCCCCCTGGCGGCGCCTCTGGCGCCGCCACTGGCGCTCTCCGCGTGCAGGAGAGGGAGGAGGGGAGCCCAGCGCAGATCCAAGAGATCCGCGCGGACCTCCGAAAGTTTCTGTCCATGCCGCGTCTTCTTCTTCTCCTCCTTCTTCTTCTTCCGATGCCTGAGGCCGCATGCGCGCGCCCGTCCCTCGCTGATTCTCTACGGCCGGGTCTCCCTCCTCCGCCTCCGCGGCCGCCCTCTGCTCTTCCATCCGCTCCAGCGCTCCCTGCGACCCGCGCGCCCCGCCGGCCCTGCAGTCGAGCTGGCGTCCGCCAGCCCTCAGACGGTGGTTATGGATAAGTCCCCGCCTCGCAGCGCTGGTCAGGCGAGCGGGGCGCTGGCCGCCTCTGCCGCTTTGGAACCCCAGCAGCTGCTGCCCAGAGGACGGCGGCGGCGGCCGGGTGCGCGGCAGGGGTGCGGGCCGAGGCAGCGCGCCAAGGCGGTGGAGCGCCGCCATGCGGCGGGCGCGGCCGAGCGCCCCGCCGCGGCGGATGCCGCGGGCCGCGCGGCGCAGGCGGCCAGAGGGCCGGAGTGAGCGCTGTCGGCTGCAGCAGGGCGCCGCGCAGATGTTGATGCACTGGTGATGCGGGCGCCCCGCAGCGGACGTCGACCTCTGGTCCCTGGAGGGTTTCGCCGAAGGGCTTGGGCGACCCGTCGTCCTCCTGCCTCCGTTCCTTCGCCTTATAGATAACTCCTCCCTGTCGCGCCCCGAGTCCAGTTTTTAGGGCGGGCCGGGCGTTTCGCCTGAGATCCCTCGCCATTTATGACTCTGAAGCCTAAAAAGTAGCAGCAGTTTCACGGATGGAGGGCGGATCGCTTTCAAAATGTGGCTCTCGCCTTAGCGCCGCGCACATTCGTTTAAAACATTTGCGTGAGTTTCACGGATTGAGGGCGGGTGGTTTTCAACATGTGGTTCTCGCCATAGCGCCGCGCGCATTCGTTTTAAACATTTGCAAGAGCTTCACGGATTGAGGGCGGCTGGTTTTCAAAATGTGTTTCTCGCCTTAGCGCCGCTTGCATTCGTTTTAAATATTTGCAAGAGCTTCACGGATTGAGGACGGGTCGTTTTCAAAATGTGGCTCTCGCCTTAGAGCCTCGCACATTCGTTTTAACAACATGTGGTTCTCGCCTTAGCGCCGAGCACATCTGTTTAAACAAATTGCAAATGCTTCACGGATTGAGGGCGGGTGGTAGTCAACATGTGGCTGTCGCCTTAGCGCCGCGCACATACTCTTTAAACAGTTGCAAGAGTTTCACGTGTTCATGGCGGGTGGTTTTCAAAATGCGGTTCTCGCCTTAGCGCCGCGCGCATTCGTTTTTAATTTTTGCAAGGGCTTCACGGATCCCCATGATCAACATACCAGAAATGGTGTTTTGGAAGGATTTTGGATTATGCGGGCGCAACAGTTATGTTGATTCGATGTGTTGAAGTCCCCAAAACGGCGTTCAGGCACGATTCAGGATCGTCAAAACGCAGTAGTCAGGTTGATACGTGGCGTCGAATGTCCGAGCGCAATGCTTTGGCACGCTTCAGGGTCTTCAAATTGTTCTTCAAGCGAGGCAGCTCTCTCAATGGAAATGAACCGTTGTAGGGGCCTATGAAGAGGGAGCTTGGAGGGAGGGTTAATTCAAACATCGTTGATGACTCTTGGGTTTCCAGTGGTCCTCCTCCTCCTCCTCCTTCTCCTTCTCCTCCTCCTCCCCTCCTCCTCCTCCTCCTCCCCTCCTCCTCTTCCTCCTCCTCCTTCTCCTCCTCCTCCTCCCTCCCCTCCTCCTCCTCCTCCTCCTCCTAGCCCTCATCCTCTTCCTCCCCCGCAGCGAACATCGACCTCTGATCCTCCCGCTCCGACCCCAGCGCGGCGGAGACCCGGGCCGCGCACGGCCGCGTCCAGGCCGTGCACCAGTAGCTAGCCGGGCAGATCTTCAATCCTTCCCCTGTTGTGTGCTCTGTGCGCAGTGGGGTCATGGGCCGAGGGGGCGCACCGCCAGCGGCAGGCCGACGCGGGCGCCGGTGCCATGGCTGCCGGGGCGGCGCCGGCTGTGCAGGCCCGCCGGCTGGAGCCTGAGGGCGCGCAGCTCCGGCAGGCGGCCGATGGGGGCGTCGAGGCCAAGGCAACCGCGGCGGCACTTGCAGGTCAGTGTCTGCAGGGTGGAGTTCGCGGAGGCGCAGCTCCGGCAGCCGGCCGGCGAGGCCACAGCCGCAGGCGGCACGGGTCCCACGCCCCATAGATGCCGACACGGTGCATCTCGAGAGGTTGGCAGGCAGGGGCGTCTACACCGCAGCTGCGGCCGCAAAATAGTTCGGCGGGCAGCAATGCAGAGGGCTGCCGGGATTACAACGTCGCCCATATTCGCGAATCGTTCGAAATAGCCGATTCTGCCGCTGGCGTTTCGGCCTTTGTGGCTGCCTCCCGAAGCAGTACATGCATGCCTTTGGTTTTGGCACAGGCGCGTTATGCATGTAAGTCCCCACGTCCTAATTAACCGTTGGTGGGTATGAGTATCTATGCTCTGCAGCTTTCTTCCCATATCGATTTCACATGCACACCCCTGGGCTATGATTCTAAGGCGGTGGGTGGGGAAGGGCTGGTATGGGAGCGCATGCAACCACGTACCTAGTCCTTTCCCCTGCGTTATCACCTGACATTGCAAAGTTCGCATGACCAGAGGCATACACATGTTGATTGCGTAATCAGGCTTCGCGCGACGATGTTGGATCTACAGCTGCCCGCGCCACCCTGCATGCGAAGGCAAGGCTTCTGGCATGTTTTGCCCCTCCGCGATCGGAGATCCCCTGCGTGCCTGATCATTCTTTCAGCCTCGCTCATCCATCATGTGCCCCTCCTCGAGCCCACCTGGAGGGGCAGGATATAACGAAGGGTTGTCTATGTGTAGGAGCCAAGAGCCTCAAGCAGCGACCATCTTTACCGCAAATATCGGGGTGCCTGCAGCAAATTGCCACCACATCAACGAAACACTCTGTATTGCGAGCCGTCAATTACCGCCCAGACGGCGGTAACATATGACACCCCTCGTCTTCTTGGGGAGCTCGCATGCGACTTCGTCGGCCCATCTGACTCCCGCTCCTAACTTCATGACTCCAGCTCCCGAATTTGCGACATCGCCCGATGAGCGGCTGGCTGGCGTTTACCTCTTGCACGTGTCTTGTATGTTAGTCATATCCGACATGCACGTTGTCGTTCTGCGATGTGTTTGTTTTGTCTCACTGTGGATTGTATTTGTTTTTGTAGTCGTTTTGCTGTTGCTGGCAATTGTTGGGTGTTTCAGCATCACCCTGCTGCACCCTCGCGGTGCACGATGCAGGCCGATGTCCGATGTCCGATATGTCTGGGCTGTCTTGGGCTCATGCGGGGCTCCCAGTGGGTCGCTTTCGGGGATCCCGGGCCCTCGTCGGTCGTCTCGGGCCTTCTTGGGCTGACTCGGAGCCCTCGTCGGCCGAATTGAGGCCTCATTTGTGCCGTCTCGGGGTCATTTTTGGAACCGTTGTGGGCTGTCTTGGGGCCATCTTGGACCGCCTTATGGCCTTCATAGCCCTTCTCGGGTTCCTCAGGGTGCCCTCGAGGGCCAGCTTGGGACCCTCATTGGGCCGGATTGGGCCTTCGGAGACCCCACGTGGAGCGAGATTCGACCGAAGAGCGTGGACAGCGAACCACATTGAGGCACATATGGAACATCAAGGCGTTTGGTCTCTCGAGGCCCTCCTGAAGTGCGTCTTGAGGCTGTATTGGAGTCTCGTGGAGGCCTCCTGGAACCTAACGGACGCTTCTTGGCAGCTGTTGGGTGCGTCTTGAGTCTAAGCGGGGCCACGGTGGTTTCACGTGTGTGGTTTATTACGAGCACGTCACACTGCACGCGATGGATGGTTGTTTTGTAGCATGAGCTGTTTTCTTCGAGCAAGCCCGACGTTGGACCAGGTCCCCCCTCCCAACCAATCAACACGAGGTCCTTCGACATGCATGAGTATTAATGCCATGTTTCATGCATGCTGTAGTTCATGCCACCTATTTCCGATGTCATTTATCCGACCCGAACCCCCTCTATCTGACCCGATCCCCCTCACATGCGAGGGAGCCAGACCATGTTCACATACGCAAGCATGCGACTCACAGTTTTGGCATGTTCTGATCATGATGTGTTCAATGCCTGCTCGATCGGTCGCATCAGTTGACGACAGTACAAACTTTCGGCGGGCACATGCTACATTCTAGCGTGTATGTTGCTGTCGCTGGGGCTAACGTTTAGTATCCGTCCCTGAGGCTGCAATAACCGTCGCCCACCTCCCGACGCCTGCTTCAGGTATGGTCGTTCTGGCTTCAGCTTATCACGCGTGACTTTTGGAGTTCTCGATGTCTGATGTGCCCGAGGAGGGGAACAACAATTACTCCGACGGTAGGACCCCACATGAGAATCTGTTCAGCTTAACCTTTGCCCTTTCCTCTTCCTCCTGGGGCTCCCGCCTGAGACTTCCTCACAATTCACTCACAGACGAGGCTCCCGCTCGAGACTTCCTCCATATTCAAGTCTCAAGAGCCCAAAAGTGACGACAGTTGCACGTTGCGGATGACCCGCTCGGATTCAAACATGAAGTGCGGGCCCCATAGGGAGGGGGCTCCCGCCTGAGACTTCCTCGCAATTCACTCACAGACGAGGCTCCCGCTCGAGACTTCCTCCATATTCATATCTCAAGAGCCCAAAAGTGACGACAGTTGCACGTTGCGGATGACCCGCTCGGATTCAAACATGAAGCGCGGGCCCCATAGGGAGGGGGCTCCCGCCTGAGACTTCCTCGCAATTCACTCACAGACGAGGCTCCCGCTCAAGACTTCCTCCATATTCATATCCCAAGGGCCCACAAGTGACGACAGTTGCACGTTGCGGATGACCCGCTCGGATTCAAACATGAAGCGCGGGCCCCATAGGGAGGGGACTCCCGCCTGAGACTTCCTCACGATTCACTCACAGACGACGCTCCCGCTCGAGACTTCCTCCATAGTCAGGCCTCAAGAGCCCAAACGTGACGACAGTTACACGTTTCGGATGACCCGCTCGGACTCAAACGTGAAGTGCTGGCCCCATAGGGAGGGGGCTCCCGCCTGAGACTTCCTCGCAATCCACTCACAGACGAGGCTACCGCTCGAGATTTCCTCTATATTCAAGTGTCAAGAGCCAAAAAGTGACGACAGTTGCACGTTGCGGATGACCCGCTCGGATTCAAACATGAAGCGCGGGCCCCATAGGGAGGGGGCTCCCGCCTGAGACTCCCTCGCGATTCACTCACAGACGAGGCTCCCGCTCGATACTTTCTCCATATTCATATCTCAAGAGCCCAAAAGTGACGACTGTTGCACGTTGCGGATGACCCGCTCGGACTCAAACATGAAGTGCTGGCCCCATAGGGGCGGGGCTCCCGCCTGAGACTTCCTCGCAAGTCACTCACAGAGGAGGCTCCCGCTCGAGACTTCCTCCATGTTCAAGTCTCAAGAGCCCAAAAGTGACGACAGTTGCACGTTGCGGATGACCCGCTCGGATTCAAACATGAAGTGCGGGCCGCATAGGGAGGGGGCTCCCGCTTGAGAGTTCCTCGCAATTCACTCACAGACGAGGCTCCCGCTCAAGACTTCCTCCATATTCAGGCCTCAGGAGCCCAAAAGTGACGACAGTTGCACGTTGCGGATGACCCGCTCGGGTTCAAACATGAAGTGCGGGCCCCATAGGGAGGCGACTCCCGCCTGAGACTTCCTCACGATTCGCTCACAGACGAGGCTCCCGCTCGATATTTCCTCCATAATCAGGCCTCAAGAGCCCAAAAGTGACGACAGTTGCACGTTGCGGATGGCCCGCTCGGGCTCAAACATGAAGCGCGGGCCTCATAGGGAGGGGGCTCCCGCTTGAGACTTCCTCGCAATTCACTCACAGACGAGGCTCCCGCTCGAGACTCCCTCCATATTTATATCTCAAGAGCCCAAAAGTGACGACAGTTGCACGTTGCGGATGACCCGCTCGGATTCAAACAAGGAGTGCCTGCCCCATAGGGAGGGGGCTCCCGCCTGAGACTTCCTCGCAATTCACTCACAGACGAGGCTCCCGCTCGAGACTTCCTCCATATTCAGGCCTCGCGAGCACAAAAGTGACGACAGTTGCACGTTGCGGATGACCCGCTCGGATTCAAACGTGAAGTGCGGGCCCCATAGGGAGGGGGCTCCCGCGTCAAGAGCCCAAAAAGTGACGACAGTTGCACGTTGCGGATGACCCGCTCGGATTCAAACACGAAGCGCGGGCCCCATAGGGAGGGGGCTCCCGCCTGAGACTTCCTCGCAATTCACTCACAGACGAGGCTCCCGCTCGATATTTCCTCCACATTCAGGCCTCAAGTCAGCGAGTAGTGATGATGATGCTGATGCTGATGATGATGATGATGATGATGATGATGATGATGATGATGATGATGATGATGATGATGATGATGATGATCGTTCGATGCCGATGATGGTGAGTGGCCGTGGGATGGTGATGGTGATGTTGATGGTGATGATGATGATGAGTGGGGGGTGATGGTGATGGTGATGATGCTGCGGAGGAGGAAGCAAAGAGGAGCAGAGGAGAGGGGGGAGGAGGAGGAGATCCTGCGCGGAGGGTGTGCAGAGAAAACAAGAACCCCACTTAGGATGTGGGGAAAAATAGTAAGGAATGCGGGAAGCAGGAGGGATCATGGGGGGAAGGAGAACGGAACAGGAGGAATAATCATAGGACCGCAAGAGGAGGGCACGTGTGTTAAGGACGCGGAGGGGGAGGAGAAGGAGAAAGAGGAGGAGGAGGAGGAGGAGGAGGAGGAGGAGGGGACGAGCAGAAGGAGGTAGCCAGTGCTGGAGATCGAATGGTGAGCGATGTCTTCATGTTATCTCCTGATCCATGCCCCAGTCTGGGCGTTTCCCTGGAGCCTTGGCCACATGCTATTACGCTGACGTTTGGAATGCCGAACAACAACTTGGGTGTAGGGTAGGTTGTTTTTCACAAGTTCTGGCGCCACGCATCTTGTGTTAAGTATGTCCAACATCTTCAAGCATGGAAGGCGGGTTGGTTATGTGTTTAGCGGTGTGTGCACTCGTCGTGAACATTTGCACCAGCTGCACGGATGGTGGGTGGTTCCTTTTCAAACCGAGGTTCTTGTTAGAATCGTGTTAAGGTTGGGTAAACGCAGCAGTGCGCAGCAGTTTCACGGATCGGGGGCAGATCAGTATTCTTCACATGTTGTTCTCGTTCGAGGATGCCGAACGTTTCCGAGATGGAAGTTGAATGTGTGCAACCGCTACACGGGAAGACCGCGAGTACCATTCGGTGCGATATTGTTGTTTGGCGCATTTATTCCGTACGAAACCGCTTATCATAGTTGCAGTGATGGATGGAGGTATTGATTCAAAGCTATGTTTTCGTTTGAGTGTCAGGCCCATAAGGGGCCTTCGTCTTTCAAGGGGGCGCTCCCAGGAGCGAAATGGAGTACTCGTGGCACGTGGGGGTTCTAGAGTACTACGATCACCTCCCCATGACAATGTCCAGTGGGGTTCCCGCCTGTGCCAATGTTCGTCTCACGCAGAATTTCGTTATGTGTTAGTTCACGCGTGCTTATTCCAGCCCCAGCGCCCTTGACATTTCACAATGCTGCTTCTGTTGCAGCGTTGGCCTAACTTCTGTAGTGCCCCTCGTTCGGCATTGCGCTCTCGCCCCATCGCGGGCCATATTTCTGGATACGATTTTTTCATCGTCGTTCCCGTCCCCCTCATTCTCCTGATTTGCCTCCCCTTGCTGCTGTTCCTCCTCCTCCTCCTCCTCCCCCTCCTCCCCCTCCTCCTATTTCCCCTGTCTCCTCCTCCGCTTCCTCCATCCCCGATGCACAAAGGCCCCCCCCTCGCTAATTGCACAGTCAATGATGGGTGAGGTCCTGCGACTGCCGTTTGGCCATTTGGGGTTCCAGGTCTTATGTCTTCAAGGATGCCCAAGCCTGCCGATAGAACACGATTTACTGCAATCAGAGGGGATGGGCGGCAAGGGTACGATGTCAGATGTGGCGCGAGCGTACCTACCCTAACCCCTTTACCCCCCCTCCCCCTATTTCCCCCTTGCCCTCGCTCTGTGCCTTCCCTCTCTGGTCCTCCTCCCCCTCTCCCTCCCCCACCTCCTCCTCGTCATGTCCGCCTTTGCCCTCCGCCCAAAAATCCTCTTCCTCCTCCTCCCCCTTCCCCCGAGTCGCGTGTGATCATTATCCTTCCCCTTCTCCTCTTTTTTCTCCTCCTTCTCCCCCTCCTCACTTCATTCGCTTATCCTTCCCCCTCTCCCCCGCGCGCCTTAGGCAGCGGCAAGACATTGGCCTTTCTGCTCCCCGCATTCGCCGAGATGCAGAAGTTCGGTGTGAGGCCCGAGCGCTCTGGCCCGGGCTTGCTGGCGACAGGGGCCGCCTTGGGGCGGAGCGAGCGAGCATGTCTAACCAGGTGGGGTCGTGGCGGGAGGCGGAGGCAGCGTGGCGACGGCGTTTCGCAGCCAAACCTACGAGGCTTGTGAAGGTCTCGTTCGTCGAGCCGCGTGACGACGTCCCGTGGTAGCTCATGGAGTTCCCTTGTGTCCATCCGGCGGCGGCATCTGACCGCCTTGTATTCCATGTGTGTCCACGGCTTTGCTCAGAGATCCAGAAATCTCGCTGCAGCAGGAGGAGGAAACAGGTTTTCGAACGCGCTTGTCGGGCTGCTGTTGGTTTCTGACGTTTTTGCGCCTTTGTGTATCCGAGGCTGTCGGGATGGCCCGCTAGCCCGCTATGTCTCCAGGCGGTTCGCATTTCACGCAGAGATCGCCTGCACGAAGCCCTGCGTCGCCAGAGGCCGTCCAGCGATCAGACTGTGTGCGAGCGTTTCCCCCGTGTGTGCCGCAGTGCGTTGTTTCCCTGGGGAGATTGCGGCTCCCGGATGCGCTGTTCTTCTCGTGGCGCGCCCCAGGGAGGGGGGGGGGAGAGGCAGTGATGGGGGGAGGGGGAAGAGGTTCCTCCGCCTTCTGCTCCACTGCCTCCTGGGCGGGGTGGTGGTGGCACTGGGCGGGACCTCCCTCGGCGCCACGAGGCGCCCCCGCCTCGCCTGGGCACGGGGAAGGAAGGGCGCGGGGAGGGATTTGTGTGAGAAGGCGGCCAGGGTCCAATCGGCAGGGCTGGCACGGCAACGTGCCTCTCTGGCAGGGGCGCCGAGGGACAGCGGCAGCAGATATAGCTACCCGCCGCGCCGCGAGATGTGGAGCGGCCGGACCGTCGCGCGAAAGGTACCTGACCTGATCGGGTCTCACCACAGCCAGCGCAGCCATTGGAATCGTCGCTGCCATACGCGCGACACCCCCCACGCAGCGGCATGTGCTATGAAGAGGAGCTGCTGCTGTCTGCATCGGGGCGCGCAGGAATGCACCAGCTGATGCGCCGTTCATGTGGACACTCTAGGAAACCACAAGCTCGAATCACTCCCTGAAACATTCGGGCGCGGCTGGGGACGTTTTCAGCGGCACTCGCCAGAGCACGTCAAAACAGCTGCCGATGGTTAAAAAGCACTGCGTGCAGTGAAGCACCTGGCAGTTTTTGAGGCGCGCGGCGGGAGGCCAGTGCCGAGGCCGACGCGTGCCATGGGAAGGGTGCAGCCCCCACGTACTACAACCGTACATGTGCATACGTAAAGATTGATTCGCATCTCTGTGCGCATCCCTGGCTATAGGTTGCATATGCTTACCCGCCGTAGCGACAGCGGGGACGCTGATTCTACATGTGTTTGTCCGTGGTTGCATCTTGAGGAATAGCAGAAGAGTGAATTCTTCACGCTTCGCGTATCCCCACCAGCCCATCTCAAAACAGCAACTCTTGCGAAGCATGCCGACAGTCGTGTTTTTCAGGCGTGTGTCCGCTTGCCCCCGCATTTCCTCCTTCCTCCCGCCTCCTTGTACATCCTCCTTGTGGTGGGAGCGGGAGAAGGACGAGGCGGAGGAGGAGGGAGAGAAAGCGGTGGGAGGCAAGAGGGATTTAGCGGAGACGACGACCACAGCGATGATCCTAACAACGACGACGCACCCGACGACGACGACGATATCGACCGCAACGACGACGACGACCACAACCGCGACGACGACGACGACGACGACGTCGACGACGACGACGACGAAGGCGGCGGCGGCGACGACGACGACGACGACGACGACGACGACGACGACGACTGGTGGGAGTCGTTGGGGCCCCTCGTGGTGTGAGTCGTTCGGCCCCATCGTCCTTGTGTGAGTCCTTCGGGCCCCTCTTCCTGGTGTGAGTCGTTCGGGCTCCTCGTGGTGTGAGTCGTTCGGGCCCCTCGTCCTGGTGTGAGCCGTTCGGGCTTCTCGTGGTTCGAGTCGTTCGGGCCTCTCGTGCTGGTGTGAGTCTTCGGGCCCCTCTTCCTGGTGTGAGTCGTTCGGGCTCCTCGTGGTGTGAGTCGTTCGGGCCCCTCGTCCTGGTGTGAGCCGTTCGGGCTTCTCGTGGTTCGAGTCGTTCGGGCCTCTCGTCCTGGTGTGAGTCGTTCGGGCCCTTCTTCCTGGTGTGAGTCGTTCGGGCTCTTCGTGGTGTGAGTCGTTCGGGCTCTTCGTCCTGGTGTGAGTCGTTCGGGCTTCTCGTGGTGTGAGTTGTTCGGGCCCCTCGTCCTGGTGTGAGTCGTTCGGGCCCCTCCTCCTGGTGTGAGTCGTTCGGGCTCCTCGTGGTGTGAGTCGTTCGGGGCCCTCGTCCTGGTGTGAGTCGTTCGGGCTCCTCGTGGTGTGAGTCGTTCGGGCGCCTCGTCCTGGTGTGAGTCGTTCGGGCCCCTCCTCTTGGTGTGAGTCGTTCGGGCTCTTCGTGGTGTGAGTCGTTCGGGCCCCTCGTCCTGGTGTGAGTCGTTCGGGCTCCTCGTGGTGTGAGGCGTTCGGGCACCTCGTCCTGGTGCGAGTCGTTCGGGCCCCTCGTAGTAGGTAGTAGTAGTAGTAGTAGTAGTAGTAGTAGTAGTAGTAGTAGTAGTAGTAGTAGTAGTAGTAGTAGTAGTAGTAGTAGTAGTAGTAGTAGTAGTAGTAGTAGTAGTAGTAGTAGTAGTAGTAGTAGTAGTAGTAGTAGTAGTAGTAGTAGTAGTAGTAGTAGTAGTAGTAGTAGTAGTAGTAGTAGTAGCAGTAGCAGTAGTAGTAGTAGTAATAGTAGTAGTAGTCGTAGTAGTAGTAGTAGTAGTAGTAGATAGTAGCAGTAGTATAGTAGTAGTAGTAGTAGTAGTAGTAGTAGTAGTAGTAGTAGTAGTAGTAGTAGTAGTAGTAGTAGTAGTAGTAGTAGTAGTAGTAGTAGTAGTAGTAGTAGTAGTAGTAGTAGTAGTAGTAGTAGTAGTAGTAGTAGTAGTAGTAGTAGTAGTAGTAGTAGTAGTAGTAGTAGTAGTAGTAGTAGTAGTAGTAGTAGTAGTAGTAGTAGTAGTAGTAGTAGTAGTAGTAGTAGTAGTAGTAGTAGTAGTAGTAGTAGTAGTAGTAGTAGTAGTAGTAGTAGTAGTAGTAGTAGTAGTAGTAGTAGTAGTAGTAGTAGTGTTTTTTGGGAGCCTCTTGGAGGCCTTTTGGGGCGTCTTGGGGGCCTCTTGGCGGCCCCAGGGGCTTCTAGGAGCGTCTTGGGTGCCTTGGGGGAGCCTCTTCGGGCCTCTTGGGAGCCTCTTGGAGGCCGTTTGGGGCGTCTTGGGGGCCTCTTGGCGGCTCCAGGGGCTTCCAGGAGCGTCTTGGGTGCCTCGGGGGAGCCTCTTGGGGCCTCTTGGGGGCCTCTTGGGGGCATCTTGGGGGCCTCTTGGAGGCCTCTTGGGGCCTCTTGGGGCTCTTTGGGAGGGGTCTGGGAGGTATCTTGGGGCCATCTTTCGGGCGATCGATCACAGCTGGGGCGAGCATTTTTGTCAGTACCCCCGTCGGGGCCAGAATCCTCGTGAGGGGTGTCGAATTTTAGCCCTCCCAGGGATAGAAAAAGGACCCTCTGACCACCCGCGAAACCCCCTCTCCAGGTCCAGGGGGAGGGGGTAGGGGGAGGGGTAAACCCCTCCCCGAAGGGGAAGAAGGGGGGTTGAGAACAGAGAGAGCTCGCTAAACCACTCACGCTCTTGAGGAATAGCAGAAGAGTGAACTTGGAGGGAGATGTTGGGAGAACGGATGGGCAGAGAGAGAGAGAGAGAGACCAAGCGAGTGGACGAGAGGCGCGGGGGTAGGGTAGGATCCAGCGATGAAGAAGTTCACTGGATCTGCGAGCCAACGGGGAATGAGGGAGGAAGGAGAGGCGGAGCTGGAGGCATGGTAAAGTGAGACTCCTTCCGAGCCGGCTCCAGCTAGCTTGGGGATGGGACCTGGAGGAGTGGGGAGGACGTTGGTCAGACATCATATTCCAGCCAATGAGCACAATTGTGCGAAGCTGGTATCCTGTACCACCTGCTGGAAGCATTGGCGGCATCTGTGCGGCTTGCTCGGCGTCTTGGCGTGCTATCTTGTGTCCCCTTCCTGCAACTCGTAAGTGGACTTGCTAACGGGCTTACCTCGGCGTGGCTCTCACGAGCTGGTCTCTGCCGAATTTCTTGCGTCTTCCCCCATGCAACTATCAGCACCTTGCGTCGGCTGAAAATTCTCGGCACCATAGTCGGTCTAGCCCAAATCTAGGAAGCAACGAGATGATGGCATGGTGAAGTTGGGGCGGCCCACCTGGCAGGCTGGCATTGTTTTCTGCCCAGTGCCTCGACTTTCGGCTTGGCCTTTCCAATCGCCATTGAATGGTGGATCATGGCTTTCTTACCAACGATGCGATTTCGCAGCCATGTCAGTATCGCTTGAGTTGTCCGCCAGGGAGATGTTAGCCCGGAGGCATACGAGATAAGAGGAGGCGCGGGATGCTAGGTGATGTCGCCGACGCGAGAGCTCGCGCAGCAGACTGAGGACGAGGCAAACCGATTCGGCCAGTGCATTGGCTTCCGGTGCCCTTGTCCGGGGGGAGGAGCGGGCACCACTGTCGAAGCATCATGTGAATTGTCCAGGTTCAGGAAAAGATGTCTGCCACCTCCGCGCAGGTTCACGCTGGCCTTTCTTTCATCGCGGCTGCACTCGCCTACAAAGAATTCCGGTGGTCCGTCGAGGACCGACCATGTGGCGAAACCCGCGTCGATCCGCTTGGCCCAGACTGAGCCGATGTTGCAGAGAGTGCCGCATCGAGGGCAGGGACGTTACTTTGGGGGTCCTCGGGGTCAGGGGCAGCAGTGCGTCTCCCCACTTCGCGCAACGGCCACCGGAGCATCGACTCAGCTGGCCCTGCTCCAGGAGGTGCGCTGTAGCAGGGGCCCGTGGGGTCAGTGGCCTCTTCAGATTTTTCCTGGCGCAAGCCCCTGCAGATCGGGCGGCTCCTCCTGCTCCTGCTGCCGCTGCTCCTCGTCCTCCTTCTCCCTCACTGTCCGTCCACTTCCACCTCCACCTTACCGCGTCTTCCTTCCCATTCTGCACTCGGGCAAGCGGGACATCTTGGCAAACTTGCGGACGAGGAGGGGTGGATAGTTATGCACACAAATGTACAGCAGTGCGCGGCATGGACGTAGCATTATTCCAAAGGGGAGACTCTGTGCAACATATCTCGGATGGAAGATCTCGTTCCAGCATGCTCACAAGGCGGGGTCAGACAACATAACGCACAGTGATTGGACAAAGTGTTATGGGTTAAAGGACGAGCTGACAAACAACAGCTATCCAATCAAGACCAGGGCGCGCCTTTTCGAGTCTGTTATTATTCCGTGCGCACTGCATGGTTCGTCGCGTGGGACACTGGGACACTCACTGCAGACTTAGAGCGGGTCTGAGCCAAAACACCACGCCAAATGCCAAGAATGGTGGTTGAGTGTGGCAGGCGCTGGATCACAGCCGCTTCTCCTTCCAAGTCGGCGTTGCCGAGTCCGGCTTGTTCGGTTTCTTCTTGTGGGCATAGTGTTGATGACGAGGCGGAGGAAGATGAGGAGGAGTATCACAATGAAAAGTTGGCTGCTTGTTGGTAGAGAGCCGGGCGGAACATCGAGCAGCAGCTGGACGCAGTGGGCGTGTCTGACTGGATGAGACAGTGCAGGAGACGCAGGCCGCATCGCGCCAGAGAGCCGCTGCAACATTACTAGCGCACGCGATCTCGTGCAGTTCTTTTCGGGGAGCCAGGGCGCACGCATGCGAGGAGGGAGCGCACGGCAAGGCCCCCCTCGAATATGGCAAGATGTTTTTTTTTTTTTTTTCGGAAGCCTGTGCATCCTGTTCCGAACCGGGCGTGAGTTGGAAGGCCTACGTCTCTGATCGCCGGGTGTGGGATGATGTGGGGAAGTACTACGTGGACCTCTCTGATCGGAGCCGTACTATTAGGTGCCATCGCTGCCCAGGGCGGGCCCGCACGCGCTCCGGCCACACGCCGCTCCCCCCTTTACCGGGATCAGCCCTCCGACTGTGCAGCACGAGTCCGAGTCCGAGTCCTCCCCATCCTCGGTCCCTCATTGCTTTCGGCAGCGGCCCATGAAAAACATCTCACGGCGTGGAGGACCAATTTCAGTATGGAGGCCGGCCGCACGGCGTCACAGCGCAAGCTGCGCCGCGCGCCGCGCTCGTTCGGAGCTTTTCGGATATGCTGCGGATCGCCTCTGCCGATCCGTGATCCTCGTCTCCTTCTGCCTGCGCTGGCTCCTCCTCCTCCTCCTCCTCCTCCTTCTGCTCAGCCCCTCTCCTCGACGCCCTGAGAAGATTTGTAGGCCGTAGAGTTCGGAGTATAGGGGTTCCTAGTCATCGGCTCACCATGCCGCGTACACGAGAGGGCTTCGCCGTGTCTGTCGAGCAGCACAAGAGAACGAGGAGGGTCGTTGTGAGGCAGTGGAGGTGGTGGGTGATGAGCGCATGGGAGGCCTGGCATGTTTATGTAAGTGATATGGAGAAGGAGTTGCAAGCAATACTTGTGGAAATGAACGAAACGTGGTCCTCCAGCCCAGCGAGGTGCGTGGCGATGTACGGAGGCTCTCCGAAGAGGGACCAGATCTCCAAGTACCGCATGGACGGGGCACAACCGAATCGAGTAGGGAGCAGCAGTCAGAGAAGTTCGAGTCTTCGATTATTCTCCTACCCTGCCTGCCCCTGCCCCAAACGAGTTTCAACCTACGCCTTCGGGGTGTCTGGGTCCGATCTTTTTGGCGGAGGGCCGACCTTCTGGCGGACTCCGACGCTAATGGGTGCGAGACTCCTGCCCGACGGTCTTGTGTGTGCACGTGCCTGATGCTATGAGAAGTCCCGCGCCTGCCCTTTACATTCCGCCCCACCCGCTCCATGTGCCCCGGCACCCCGGCTCCAGGGACGCCTTGAGGAGAACTCCGCCACACGCCAAAGCGATTGCCTGCCCGCCCCACGCTCTTCCTCCCCCTCCTCCTCCTCCCCCTCCTCCTCCTCCTCCTCCTCCACCTCCTCCTCCTCCTCCTCCTCCTCCTCCTCCTCCTCCTCCTCCTCCTCCTCCCGGGATGGTACTCACCCCGAGCTGGGGCCAAGCTGGGTCCGGAGCCAGGGTCGGTGGGGTGCTCAGTCGATGTCCCCCGGAGCCCTGCCCGCCCCGGGAGAGCCCCGACCCCGCGTGCCCTGGCAGCTCGCTCTCCCGTGGTGTGGGGGCACCGCCCGTGTGCGGGAGGACGGCCGGGCACCTGCCCCTTTGTCGCCCTCTCATGCCGCCCTCCCGTTCCGCCTCCGGCCACGCCCCACTTCCTCCCGGGCCCCCCCCCTTTCTGTCCTGCAGACTCGTGGCCCTCCCATCCCCCCACGGCCGACCTTTCCGCCCTGCTGCTCCCCGTTCGCACATCCAACCTCCACCCTGTTCGCCGCCCTCCTTTGCACTCCTTTTTTTTGACGTTGGGCAAAGATGGGGCGGGGCCTGTTGCGTTATCGGGTGGTGGCACCTGGTGCCGAACAGAAACCGACATAGTGCAGTGCTGGACAATTGAAGGCAGGCGAATTGGGCGGCAGGCCCGTGCGGAACAGGAAGTTTAAAGAGCAATGGTAAAAGCTGAGAGCCCGCAGGGCGTAGAGTAACGATGCCTGCCGCCGATGTGGAGGGGGAGAGAGAGAGAGAGAGAGAGAGAAAGAGGCGAGATCACAAACCAACACAATTGAACAACATCATACCGAAGGAAGGAGGGAAAACACCGTGCAGAGTGAACGAAATACACGTGTTAGTAAATACAAGGGGAAGTCAGTGCAAAGGCTAGCCTGCATAGGTAGCCGTAGAGCTTCGGCAGACGCAATGTGCTACTCCCCCCCCGCACCTCGCATCCCGCACGCCCCATCATGAAAACAACCCCCAACTACCGTAAACCCTCACCGAAAGACACCGCGAAGGGGCGAATGGTACGATGCCCCTTGCCCTTCACCGAGGGTAGAGCTGAACACAGAGACAACGCAAAGACGCCCCTACGGATCGCTGCTTGTCGATGTCGGCGTCCTCCCACCAACTATGATCCCGTCCAGTTCACTACGCATCCCGCTTTCCCCAGTATCAAGGCTGGCCAAGTCGGTCTGGCTAGCCTAGTTTGGCAAAGCGTAGCTCTGGCGGTCAACACGCTCGCAACCGTCGACATGCACGTCCTCCACTACCACATCCGTATCTCTTCTCCTCCAACTCCTTAGCTTCAATCCTCAAAATCATCAGAGTGAGGGGGCCGAACGGTCATTTATTGTTCTTGCGTGCGTGGCTGAATAAGGAATTCGTGGTGATACTTCTGCTTGTTGCGTTGATGTTGTTGTTGTTGCTGTTGTTGTTTTATGAGTTCTCCTTTCTGAAGAATAATTATTGTTGATCCCCCCCCTCCGGTGCACACTGTTTTTTCTCAATCAAAGTGTGCCCCTCGACGCTCGCACCCTGTTTTTTTGACACGGAAAAACTTGATGCTCAAATTGGGCCCCTGGCCCCCGGGTTACAACAACAACGGCTCCCGCTTGAGACTTCGTTACAGTTTAGCCAGGACCCCCGCTCCCGCCCGAGACTTCCTCGCGTTTTATTCAGGAATCGCGCTCTCGCTTGGGACCTCCTCACAATTTATTCAGGGATCGCTCTCCCGGCGCTCTGGAGTCGCGCTCTCGCTGAAGACTTGCTTGCAGCTTACTGAAGAATGGCCTTGCGTTGGAATTTCTTGCAATTTGCCCAAGCGCCGAGCTCCCGACACCCAGGCGCCCAGGAGTCGCGCCCGTTGTGGCCCCATGTGCATGCCCTTCGTGGCCCCGCTATCACCATCTGTGTCCCCCTCACTGTCCTACGTGACCCAGTTGCTACCCTCAGTGGCCCCATAGTTGCCTTCTGTGGCCCCGCACTATCTGCACTTCGTGGCCCCCGCTCGTTCGCGCCCTTCCTCGCCCCATACGCATTCCCTTCGCGTCCCCGCTGTCGCCCTTCGTGGCCTAGTTCGTGCCCTTCGTGGCCCTGCTGTCGTTCTCTCTCGCTCTCGCTTTCGCTCGTCGTCGCCGTCGTCGTCGTCGCCGTCGTCTTCGACGTCGTCGTCGTCGTCGTCGTCGTCGTCGTCGTCGTCGTCGTCGTGGGGTCGGGTCGACGGTCCGCGGCCGCCCCGCCGATCAGCGCTACCGCTGGCCAGGCCGACGGTCCGCGGCCGCCCCGCCGCTTGCCGGGGCCCGGCCTGCAGGGAAGAAAGGTATACCCCCCAAAAGGGGCTTGACCGAAGACGAAGAGGGCGGGTATCGAGGGTTTGGGAAATACGCGTTATTGGACACTCGAGCATGTAAGGGCGAACAGTCTTGACTTGTTGTTGTTGTTGTTGTTGTTGTTGTTGTTGTTGTGGTTGTTGTTAGTGTTGTTTGTGTTGTTTGTAGTGTTGCTGTTGTTGTTGCTGTTGCTGTTGCTGTTGTTGTTGTTGTTGGTGGTGTTGTTGGTTTGTGTTTGTTGTTGTTGTTGTTGAACATTATTTATTCTAAAGAATAATTATTGTTGGGCCCCCTGGTGCGCGCCCCCCCTGCGCCGCCTAGGCCGCAGCTACATTTTCATCATTTTCGTGAGGAAGCCTCAGAAAAGAGGGTGTGTACAGGATCCGGTTGTTTTGTTGTAATCCGCTTTCCCTTGCAAAAAACAATAGAAAATGACATTTCTTGTTCTAATATAATCAAATTTCAAGAATCCCTTGCAAAAAATAAGGTAAAGTGGACATTCGCGCGCGCAAGACGAAATCCTTCCAAAACCTTAGTGTTCGCAGCGATTTTAACATAAAAACATCAAAAAACCAATGGTTTTTCAACAAAAAATTGTCAAAATCTCATCCCGCGCGCTCTTGCGGATTCGTAGGAAACCCAACACTTTTTAAACATTTCTGTCAAACGGGCTTTTGCGAGCAACTTTTTCGAACTTCTGCGACAACGGTTGCGCACCTGCCAGGGCCATCATCCCTGTCAAATAATACCATGCGGGACACATTCGTTTTTTCTTCGCGCGCGCACGCCGAAATCTCCAAAAACCATTGGGCTTCTTAAGAATTTCAGCACCGCGTATCATAAAATCGCACGAATCGCACCGTAGGTCCTCGAAAAACACGTGCACGGATTTTCCAAATTTCTACCCGCGCGCGCTGTCCGAATCCTTAAAAACAAATGGTTTTTCAACATTTATGTTACATGAGCTCGCGCGAGCTACTTTCGCACGCTCTTTCAACGGCGTTCGCGCGCCTGCCAGGGGCCACAATCCCTTGCAAAAAATACCATGCGGGACACATGCGCGCGTCGTCGCGTCGTAGCACAACAAGTCACTGTACCCATGCGCCAGTGTAGTAGCCAAGGTCGTCCGCAGGCCACGAAGTGAAGTGTCCGAACGTCATAGGGCGGGAAGCTGGGTGTGGGTGGTGGCGAAGAGTCGTTTGGAAATTTGGTAGAGCTTGAACCGGCCCCCCCACAAAGTGGGGGTATTGCCCGCCTCCTATGAAAACCCTGGCACTGGTGAGAACGGAGTGTCCCCACGTGCTAGTAATTGTTGTTGTTGTTGTTGTTGTTGTTGTTGTTGTTGTTGTTGTTGTTGTTGTTGTTGTTGTTTTGCTGCCCGCGACCCACCCCGCGACCCACCCGCGACCCACCCCGCGACCCACCCCGCGACCCACCCGCGACCCACCCCGCGACCCACCCTCAAGGGAAGAAAACCCACCCGGACCCGACAATTTACGTTTACTAAGCGGCCCTGGGCGTTGACTAAACAGCCTTGTCTTGTTCGAGTCTTTCCTTGTGTGCGTTTACGAAACGGCTTCGCTTGTCGGGGTGTTTATTCTGGGGTGGATGTTCTGCCCTCTATACCCGCGACCCAACAGCGACCCACCCGCGACCCACCTGCGACCCATTTGCGACCCACCCGCAACCTACCCACATGGGTTTAACGAAAACATCGGCGCCTGCGGCGGGCTCGCTGTATAATTTGTGAAAGTTTGGCGCCTGCGGCGGGCTTCTCCAGAGTCTCGCAAACTGCCGACGTCCCCACCGCCCCCTCACTCTTATCCGCTTGTGCGGGGGCTACGTAACCTATTTTTGGCGATTGCTCTCACAGAGGGTTAAAGTAGCTGCGACCCGCTGTCGCACTCCGAGTGCAATGCCGAACTCATTTGCTATGCGCAATTGCTGAGCTTTCCTCCGGATCTATCACCACCACTCACCCATCCTCCTACTCCATACTTCCCCAGCTACGCCTCGGGTACCACGACTGCTGGCAGAAAGAAACGGCCTCCCATACACGCACATCAACTGAGAGATGCCGACTTCATAGTCTGTGTTGGTGGCCATATGCCTCACGGGCCCACCACCACGGCCAGGAAAATGAAGGCGGAGCGGACCGAGAAGCGGGGCTACGTTCAGCCGCTGCTCGTCGCGGGCGCCGCTGCTCTCGAGCATAAACCACTGTCCACAGCAGGTAGCAGAGGAAGCACCGAGCGATCGCAATGGATGTCTTCTACTCCACCACTCCTTGCCCTCCTCCTCCTTCTCCTCCTTAAGCTCCTCGTCCCCCTTCTCCCCCTGCTCCACCTGCTCCTCCTCAGCTCCTCCTTGGCAGGGGATTTGTTCGCCCCCCCCAGCAATTGGGAGCCGCGCGGCAAGCTAACTGCTGTGTTTCTTCTATTCCTCCCCGTCCTCCGTCCTTCTTCTCCTGTTCCGCATTCCCCCATGGCTCATCCCCCCTCTTGTCTCTCTCTCCCTCTCTCTCTCTCTCTCTCTCTCTCTTTCTCTCTTTCTACATGCATACATACATATGTGTATATGTAGAGAGATCGTTATCTCTCCTTGTCTCCCTCTCTCTGTGTCCTCTCTCTCTGTCCCTCTCTGTGTCCCTCTCTCTATATATCATATGTTTCTCTCTGTCTCCATCTGTCGTTCGCACTCTCTCTCTCTCTCTCGTTTTTTGTTTCTCCCTCTCTCTCTCTTTCTCTCCCTTTCTCTCCATGTACACATATAAACACAAATACGTAGATGTCATGTTCTCCCCCCCTCTCTCTCTACCTCCCTCCCCGCCCTCCCTCCCTCTGCCTCTCTCTCTCTCTCGTTCTCCCTCCTTCTCTCTCCTCTTCCCCCTCCTTCTCTGTCCCCGTCCCCCCCCTCTGCCTCCCCTTCCGATCCTCCTCCCTCCACTCCTCCCCTTCCCCCCTCCCCCTCCTCTCCCTCCTCCTCCTGCTGCTGAGCCGCCGCAGGGAGTGCACACCATCGTGGCCTGCCCGGGGCGCCTCAACGACTTTCTGGAGGGCGGGCAGGCGCGGACGCTGCGGCGCCCCCTGCAGTTGATACTCTGGAGTCGGGGCCACGTCAGGCTCAGGAGGGGCTTCTCCTCCTCGTCCTCCTCCTCCGCCTCGTGGTTCTCCTCCTCGCCCTGATGGGGAGCGCGTGGTTTTCCTCCTCCTCGCCCTTCTTCTCCAATTGCGTCTGCCCCCGATCAGAAGGGGTCGGGGCCACTTCAGTCACAGGAGGGGCTCTGGGTTTTCGGGCCGTGGCTGAGATCTGTAGGTCGGGGAGCCCACTCGTGTTGCCAGGGCTCTCCGTGGCCAGAGCAACACCGCCAGTCTTTCGGCTCAGCGTTCTCTGTGGTAAAAAGACGACGACCGCGTGCGAGTTACAAACGAAGGGTCACCAGCGAGGTCCATTCTCGTCCTGCAGCCTTGGGGCGCAGGCATAGTTTCGAGAAGGGTGACGAAAAACAGTAGGAATTGAAAATATGATGATCTGATCGTGCAGCCGGGTTTGATTAGTAGGTCGACCTTTGCAGATCAAGGTGCCGTTTTGCTCTTTGTGTCGCGCCCCATGCTGTCCGCATTCCTAGGACAACGTGGCTCTCGAAAGGGTCTTGTGTTCGCTCACGTGTCCTCTCCAAGCAAATACGTACGTAACAAGGAACGGTCATTCTCCTCCTCCAGGAGTGGTCCTTCCCGTCCTCCGCCAGGGTGGAGGAGGAGGAGAATACGAATCACTTTTTTGGTTGCCAGGTTCGCTTCGAGCGGACGATCTGAAGAGCGGTCGCGCCACCAGCCGGCAGTTGTCCTTCGGGCTCGATCCGAGGCGGTGCCCGAGGCCACCCTGCCCCCGGAGACGCAGGGGAGGGGGAGCATGGCTCCCAGGGTGTGCCACCTTCTTTTGCGAATTCGGGCGGCCTGCGCGCAGGCTGCGCCCGCCCCCCCCCCCTCGACCGCCTCTCTCTGCCGGTGGGCTTCTTCGCTGGGTGAACAAGTGCCAACTTTTGGCGAAGCTGGAGAGAGAGAGGGAGAGAGAGAACGAGAGAACGAGAGAGATAGAGAGAGTGAGCGAACCGTGCAGGTCCGGGGTGCATTGGCACTGTACGTGGCACTCGGGATCAGGCAGGTGCGTCGAAGCAGATGCGCCTGGCAGCTGCGCCCTACACGCGCTCGGAACCCTGCCACACCCTGCCACAGGTCTTGCAGAGGTGCTGGTCCACCTGCTGCCTGGCATGCGATATTGTAAAAGCACCGGTCCCAAGTATGTCCAGACTGGCCACGCTTCGGGGGCCGCGCGGGCGGGCTAAAATAACGCCTCCTGTCGTGAAAACACAGCGCCTCACTGCACTTCCATCCAGTTGCCAGGTAACATTTCCCATCATGACCAGTTGTCTAGATGTCCGCAGACAGCCCAGCTTTTTGCAGCCGCAGGTAGCAAGCACAGTCTCGTTGGTGCTGTGGCTTATATATGAACACCCAATGCCAACGATCTGTCATAGGCACCGTGTTTGGATGGCGTCCAACTTGTTATTCTCGGCCTCGTTGAGCTGCGTTGTGTGCAAACAACACATGGGGTAGGAGACAGTGTATGCTTCCAAAATCCGCATCTCTTTGACAGGGGAATCTCGTGGTGCTTCAAGTCTTGCAGGGCGTGCCGGAGTCTGCCGCTGCCATACCCAAGCGTCTGCTCTGCTCGGGGCCGCTTCTTCCGCTGGCAGTCGGGAGGTCGCCCAGATAAACCTTGTTTCTCTTGCGCGGCACAGCTGCACCGCCTGGTTTCATGAGTGCGGCCTGGCACTGGATAGGTCGAGCTGGTCTGTTCCAGTCAGTATTCAGGCCGTAGAGCCTCCAGGCCTCCTGAATCCAATTCATGAGCGCGCCCGCGAACTCGTCGGCGGTGCCGGCCACGAGCGCGTCGTCCGCGCGGGTCGACTCGCTGACCGGAAGCTCCTCATCTTGTTTTCAACCTTACCGTTTGGAAGCTTCGGCGGCGTCGCAAATTAAGACGGGCATCGATATGGAGAACAGGTGGGGGGAGAAAGGGCACCCCTGTGAGGTACTGTACTCTTGCGGCCACGATGTGGGCATTGCTCCGGCCTCTCGCACCCGGAAGGATCTGCTTGTATGTATATTGGTCGCGCGCATTCGGTGGATTACTCAGGGACGTCCAAACACCGTAGAGCCTGGTTTAGACCCTCTGGCGATACAGTGTCGAGGGCCGTTGCCCAATCCAACGTTAGCAAAATCAGTTGGTGAGACCGGCGACAAGCAAGGCGTGTGACGTGCCGCGGCCATTTCTGAAATTGTATTGCGTGTCCCAGATTCGACGCGTTGCGCTTGCGTCTTTCAGCCGAGCAAGCAAGATCATTGCATACAGCTTGCACGCAATCGGTAGCGTGGATATGGGCCTCTAGTTGGCGCAGTCCGCAACGTCGCCCTTCTTGAAGATCGCTGCGACAAGCGCTCCGTACCACCGCTGCGCGGATGGACTGTTCCTGAAAGAGCCAGTTGCACAACGCCGTAGCCCACTCCAGTGCCAGAGTGCCCTGCGTGCAAATAGTCTTACAGAATTCCCCCGGGATGTCGTCGCTACCCGGCGCTTTCTTCCGCTTGAGTTGGCGGGCTGCCTTTCGCACCTCCTCTGAGATGATTCGGGTGCATTCGACAGGAAGTGCCGGGCCGAAAAGAGAGGGATCGTCGACGACGGTCGTCGGCCGAACAGCCTGACCTTGGAGAAGTACTCCGCCAGAGTATCGGCCCTCTTGTGGCTGTCCAGTTGGTGCGCACGCGAATCCCGCATCCGTTCGTGCTGCGCTTGTGGGCCTTTACCGTTCTTCCGGGTGTCTGTCCAATCAGCAAAGTCCAACATTTTGTCAAGCCCTTTGCTCCTGTCAGCTTACAAAGCAGCTATGATGATGCCGTGCTGTGGTTTCTCAGTCTCGTGGTCGCCACTTTGTCGTGCCCCTCCTTGCAAAGCAGTCATCTTTAGAGTAGCATCGCTGACCCATGGCCTGCTCTTGGTGCCCACAGCCTCCGGCAGGCATTTCTACGCAGCGTCGGCGAACGCGTCCACCATTGATTTGTTGAGCTGGTCTAATGTGCCCTCCAAGGGGTCCCGGTTTCCCATGCAATCCACGAAAGCATGCTGGAATGCCGATGCTGGTGGGCCACGCGACAGAGCTGAGACATCAAGCCGGACAGCGTGCTGTCGGGTAGCTTTCGAGATGTCCAGGCGCACGTAGTTTTGCAACAGGAAGTGCTGGGATGCCAGAGCGGCTCCCCGAATTGAGTCAACTTCGCAGGCGTGATCTTGAAGTTGGCGCGAACGCAACCAGAAATCGATCTGCCCGAAATCTTCCGGTATGGCTCGAGCTGATTTGGGGACCCCACATTGTCGCATGTAATTTGCTCCTCTGGCCGGTGCTCAGAACGTGTTGCTGACCACCAACTCGCGGGACACGCAGCGTTCCGGCAAGAAGATCTTGTTCGACTCCGGATGAAACTCCGCGACGGGGTTGCCGAAGTTGTACGGGCCCAAGTACTGCTCATTGAAAGGACCGTTTGTGAAATTTTACATTGGAATCCCTGGATGCGTTACGAACCATTGCGCCCAGACAATGGTGGAACTTGCGTCCATCTGCCACTGGTTTTTCGTTGTGTGGCGCGTACACGCTGAAGATGGAATTTGTGCCTCATCGCAGCTGTGTTTTTGAGAACACAACCCTCGAACAAATCATTTTCAATACAATGATACTCTTGCGAACGCGCATCTCGGTCTTCAGGATCTTCATATAGAACCCAGGAGTAGCCCCAGTAGGTAGATGTGTGAACTTGTTTTGGCGTGTGTCTCCTGGGTTGTGAAAACACAAACTTCCAGTGTGTCGATCAACATCTCTAGCTCCTCCGGCTTCGCCTCTGCAAGCCCCTGGACGATCCAAGAGCCCACGGCGACGCCCGTTCAGCAGGGGCGCAGCCGCCCACCTCGCAGTTCAAGAGCTCCCTCTCCAGGCAAATCGTCGACCCCTGCTGTCCTCGTGCTGGTGCTCATGGCGTGGATCATTTGCATCGGTGCCCAGACCTTGCCGCCATGATGAAAAGCCGATGCGCCAATGTTCCGAAGCGCTCGACCGAATCTTCATGCGGGTTGCTCCTTGCCGATCGGGCCAACCAGGGGGATGAGGAGAATGAGGGGGGCGCGGAGCAGGAGGAGGAGCAGAAGGAGGAGGAGTAGGAGGAGGAGAAGGATGAGAGGGGGAGAGGGGACGAGGAGGAGGAGATATCTGAATAAAAAGGAGTTCTCGATTACGCGTTTCTTCTGCGCAGAGGCGACCCGCGATGACCAGAGTTCGGAGCAGCCCCCCGATGTGATTTTCTGTTGCAACCGAGGTCGGGGGACCAGCATGATAAACACAGCCTGTAGGCGTCGACAAGGAAGCCAGCGCTCCCTGCACGCCCCCAGGGCGAGAGCGAGGAGGTCATCCAAACACGCATGAAACACCAGTGATGTTCGCATCTTACTGCCGCCTTGGGGCCCTGTTGGGGCCCTCTTGGGGCGTCTTTGGGGCCTCTTGGCCATCCAGAGATCCACTTGCATGCTCGAGGCATCTCCCATGTGGTGTACACCGTCTCGCTGGCGAGTTTCCGGACCTCCCCCCACGTAAGTACAGATGTACATGCATACCCATACACATGCGTATGCTTATGTACCTGTGTATGTAAGTATGTATGTGTCTGTGCGCATGCCTGTCCGCCTGACCCCGGGGCTTTGCCCCCTCCTGGCCTTGACGTGAGGCCCCTCCTTCTGCCCCCCCCTCTTTGTTAATTCAAGCTGTGCGCGGCCCGCTTAGCTTCGACCGGAAGAGGTGCGCTCTCGACCCGCGGATCCAACAAGTGCGCATGCCCGTATGTACATGTCCCCTCCCCTCCTGTCTCCGGGTCGGCAGGCGAAGCCGCTCCTGTGCCTCCCTCTGTCCCATGCGCCTGCGCCCAGGTTCGGCTCGACGGTGTGGGCAAGCTGGTCCTCGACGAGGCGGACAGGACTGACCGTGGAGCGGGCGGACGCGGAGAAGGCAGGATGTGGAACACGGGGCGAAAGGACACGGTGGACAAGGAGGAGGGGAGGAGAACGGGAGGGAGGGCGGAAGGATGGGGAGGGAGGGTGGGAGGATGCCCCACTGTGCACAAGGCATGGTGAGTCCGTTGGTGAGGAGGTTGCCAAGGATGCGCGCGTGCAGGTTTCACATAGCGTTCGCCATGTATGCCTGCTTCGTTTCTGGCCGTCCTTGTCGCGCCTCTTCTTCTGTCCTCAGCCGCATGCAGAGGTCTTCCACTGCGAGTTCGATAGCAGTGCTCGCACGGGGCCCTCGAGCATGCCCAGCAGTAGTCCCCTTCCTACTGGCTGCGCTATGGGTCGGTCCATCGGTGGCTGCTGTCGCGGGAAAGCCATTCTCTCCCCATGCTGGTGTCGTCCTCCTGCTCTTTATGTTCATCCTTGCCCCCCTTTGGTTGCCGCTTGCTTGCTGTCGCCCCTCTCGGATTTGCTGTCCACAGCCCAATGCTGTGTCTCCTCCTCGTGGGCGGGAGGAAGCGCTGTTGATCCTTCGTAGTCACATGGCCTACAGCTGCGGTCAGGATGCTGGACATGGGCTTCGAGCCCCAGATCCGCAAGATCCTTGACAAGGTGCCCAGAAGGCCCCCGAGGAGGAGAGGGAGGGAACGGTGGAGGATGAGGTGAGGGGGGACGTAGAGGCTTTGAATCTCGACCTCCCAACACCCGCGTGCTAGTAAGGTCATCTGGGATGCCTCTTGGTGCGACATCGCCTGCCCACGTGCGTTGAGCCACCAGCCCTCCGCTGGATATCCTGATATGGGGGCTCCTGTGGGGCAATCCTAGACATATTCTGGCACTGCAAATGCATAACATCCTTTTCGTAACAATCCGAGAGCTTACAGTACGGAGCTGCGTTGCGAGAAGAAGGCCGACCAAAATGCGTTGGCCTCCCGGCCTTGGCCGCTAAACGGCCGGCCACCACATTAAGACATCGACGTTTTCAGAGTTTGGGCAGCCTGGACCGAGTGGCAGCCCTCACTCGCAACAGTTCGTTATATCCAGAGGCCCTTTCGCAAGGATATCCAGCAGCACCCAAGACTGCGATGGAGCTTCCACAGTTGCCTCCCTCGTGGCTTCCACGTGCCCCAGAATTCCTCCGAGATGCCCCCGGGGTCGGTGGGAACAACGGGTATCCACTAAACCTTGGGAGGGACATCGAGATTCTGACCGTCTCATTTGCGGGCGCAGCCTGTCGATTGCTTTCTGTGCCCCGATTTGTTGAGTTCGCCAGTGCAGTCTGAAGGCACAGCGAAGGGTTGATACTGTTTTTGGGTCCTGTTCGAAGTGAGAGTGGAGGATGCAGCAGTAGATGTCTTGAAAGTCTTGCCTGTCGGTATAGTTCTGGGGAGGGTATGTTGGGGGCAGTTATTCAAGCGCCTACGGCAAATCCGACGCCTTGCAAGAGAAGCACTCCACGTGCCCACCCTTCGAGCACCACTCAGAAGCACGTCACATCTGACACCCGTCGCCTCCCGCCGCCTTGGGGCCTGTCTTGGGCTCCGATGGGTCAGTATTGCGGGTCCTTGGGGGCCGTCTTGGGATCCTCTTCGGTTGTCTCTTAGGGCCTTTTTTTGGGTTCGGACCCTTTTGTCCGTCTGCGAGGTCTCGTGGGGCCGTCGTGTGGCGCCTCGGGGCAATCGGGAGCCGTCTTGGGGCCCTCTGAGCCTGTCTTGGGGCCTTTTAGGGCCGTCTTGAGGTTCCCTTTGGGCTGTCCTGGGCCGCCTGGGGGCCTCGCGGGAGACTCATGGGGTCCAGGGCTTTGTTTTGGCTCTTCCTAGGCCGTCTTGGACCCATCTCCAGCCGAGAGTCACATGACACCCAAACCATGCAAATTTACGGAGTTCGTTTGTGTTAGACAGATTCCGGCTTTCCTGGGAAGCCTCTTCCCCCTCCCTTCAGTGGCTTGGGAGCTTCTTGGGGTCGCTTCGTGCCTTTTTGGGTCTTCCCGGGGGCTGTTGGGTGCCTCGTGAGGCAGGTTGGGCCGTCTTGGCAGTGAGCCCCCGGGGAAAAGAAAGCGCCGAGCCGCCCAGAAAGCCTCGGGCGGGGGCGGGGGCGCCTGCCACCACAGTGCGCGACCAGCGGCGGCGGCTGGCCTGGGTCGCCTGTGTGGCCTGCGGGTGCTCGGCCCTGGGATGGCAGCGCCTGGCGAGCCGCTCGCGCAGCGGGCGGGCGCCCCTGCTGCCCCCACGCGCAGCCGGGCTGCTGCTCATCGACGCGCCGCGCGCGGGGGGCAGCGACGAGGCTTGGCGGGCGGCGGTGCGGCGGCGCGATTGCAAAAAAAACAACAAACACAAAAAACAAGCATTGCAAACAAAAACCCAAAAAAAACAAAACAAAAAACAACAACAACAAAAAAAACAAAAAAAAAGAAAACAACAATGCAAAAAAAAACGTCTGAACGCGGCGCCTGACGAAATTAGGTGCCCAGCGGTTGCCTGGGACCCGCCGCTGGATCCCATGCGCTGCCGGCGCCGCGTTGCTGCCACTTCCCCTCTCCTCCCCTCCCTCCGTCCCTCCCGCGCCCTCTCCCCCGTTCTAGCCACAAGGCTCCCTTACAGATCGTAGAAAGTGCGACCGGGAGGGGGGGGGGTGCCAGAAGTTGTTTCAGAAGCCCCACCAGACAGCACTTGGCATTATTCCACGCCTCAACGTGCCTAGGGGCACGGTGGCGGATCAGCATTGCCATCGCCTTGAATTCCCACCATCCTCATGGTAATCTTGCTCATGATTTGTAGCAGCGTTTTCATGTATCAGGGCCTGTCCCGCGTTCGAAGATCGGACATCAGTCGTCTTGCTGTGGCTTGCACTTTGTAATCGCTTCTTGATATGGTTTGCGCAATTGCTTTGCGGCATGGCTAGCCGTCCAGTGGTTTCCTGTCTGTACGGTGTATGCTCGCATGACTTGCTAGATCTTCCACCAGCTCTGGCATTATCTTTATGTACGCTTTCCTCCTGGATGGTTCTGCTCATCGTCATGCGAAGGGCTTACGGTTTCTCCAGGGGCCCTTGTAAGGAAGGGGTGGCGCAGACCCTTTCCAACTCAGCGAGGAAGGTATTCTCGGGAAGTCTCACAGACCCCCCAAGCATTGCGAGCTCAGTCTCCGTGGAACATTGGTCGGGGGAGCGTAAGACCCGGGTTTGCTGGGACTCGGGTTCGCCACCGTTCTTTGACAACCGCGCCTCGGATCTTGACGAGGAGGAGTCTCGTGGGACGTCTGCAGCGGGAGGCCTCGCCAGAATGCAGGCTCGGCCCCGTCATTTTTTTTCTGACGGCCTCGTCGGGCCAACCCCGGAGTCCCCCGTGCCCGGGTCTTACGTCTCCCCGAAACAGGGCATCCAAAGTTGCCAATGTGTTTAGCATCTACGCTACCCATTAGATCCTTCCTCGTCTGCCTGGGCTTCTCCGCCTTGCCGTCGTCCTTCTTCTTCTTCTGCTTCCTTTTTAATCTTCCGTGGTGGCTCACGGAGCCCCGTCGGCATCTGTGGCGATTTCACGCTGTGCGTTTTTATGCCTCGTGCGTCGCGTTGTAATCGAATGCATCGAATTTATGCGTCGTGTTTTTTATGCATCGTGCGTCGCGTTAACCCTCAGTCGCCACTGTTTTACACTGGAAGGAATTGCGCACCCTCGAGCGCGCCGAAGGAGTGCCCAGAGTTCTTCAGGGGCATGCGGGGTCCACCCTCGAGGGGGCCTCAGGAGCTCGTTGCAGCAGGGGGTTGTGGCTCTGCCAGCCCGTGGCGAGACGACGGCGCAGCTCCCCGCTAGAGCGCTTCGCGGGCGGACATCGCTCATCAGTCAAGCAACTTCCTGCTATACTTGGGCTGGTGAGGCGTCGGGTTGTGAGCCACCCAGGTAGTCCCGGCTGGCCCCTCAACAGGCCTCCCGAGCAGTCCCAGCTAGCCTCATTAGCCCCCCCGAGTAGTCTGAGGAGCGGTCTCATGACCCCAGCGCCGCTTCCGTCAGCGCCTCAGAGGCTCTCGGGGCCCGGGTGATCACACCAAAGCTTGTTTTCGGCCTTGCGTCGTGTTCGATGTTCGTGGCGCGGGTGAATTCATTGTACGTGGCGCAACGCCGGAGGCTTCGGCAATTCTTGGCTTGGACTCGGCGCGAAGACTAGCCTTGGGAATGCGCATTGAGATGGATTAGGTTTGGAGTCGCACCCAATGGAATCGTGGAGCGTTCAACTCTTTCGCGTGCAGTTCAGAATGCCACATCGAGGGCCATGACGGATTGTTGGTTTGTGCGTGCATCCCAGAAGCACCCGCCATCAACAATCCGTGGAGCTGGAAGATCACGGGGGCGTTCCCCTGCGAGATGGGATAATCGACGGCGCCGATGTTCGCACGCCCACTTCCTGGTTGAGTGGTATCAACCAAGAAGTGAACAAAGAACTTCCCTTCATGAAAGGACACCATCGATTTTTTAATTTTCGTTCAGGTACCCACTGGTGCTTCAGATTTTATCCAGCCGATCACAACTTGGCCGAGCACTGACTCGATCGGGCTGCACCTATCGAGAGGTTCCCTCGTCGCCACGGCTCGAGAGGGTTTCATAAGCTGGCGCAGGGAGTGTCTGCGAGCGGGTCGAGAGATTCCGGCTGGGGGGAAGAGGAAGTCGATGGTGCCTTCATCCTCATGTTCCTCCTCTTGCTGCTCTTCCTCCCCAATCCTCCTCAGCATTCGTTTGCTTTTCCGCGCAGCTCGGGAGTTCAGGCTGCCATGAGCAGGCACCTGCTACGCCTCGTGTTGCTTGCGGTCTTCCTGCTGCTGGTCCTTGTGCTCATCCTCCCTCCTGCTTTTGGGCGCGGTGGCCATCGATGTGTACCACACAAACAAAGCTCTGACTGCTCGTCGGGAACAGCTGCCGGAGAGCCCAACAGAAGGCTGCACGCGGTGTTGCCCTGCGCGCCGCTGAGTAATCCGCGTTGTGGATCTCGGACGTGCGCCGTTCTCAGAGGAGCAACAGGTCATGTACGCTCCAAGATTACCAGGATTTTCCTGCTTTCCTCATGCTCCACACGGGCTGAGGACCACTTTATATCCTGGAACACCTGGAACGCATCCTGAGCGCATCCTAACATCATGCTCGCCGACCCTCAGCTATGATCGATCCTCCCTCCTGCTCTGTCCCGCCCCCTCCTCCTTCCTGCGGTCTGTGGCCACCACTCCTCCTCCGCCAACGCCCCAGGAGGGAGGAGGAGGAGGAGAAGGAGGAGGAGGAGGAGGGAGGACTATTTCGGACGACATTGCTGATGGAGGGGGAGGTGGAGGGCGGAGGGAGAGAGATGAAAAGAGAGAGAGAGAGAGAGAGAGAAACAATAGAAGTGAGGATAGGGGCGGGAAGAGACGCAGGAGAGGGAGGATCAGGAGAAGGGGGAGAGGGCGAAAAGAAGGGGGACAATGAAGAGGAGAAGATGAGGAGGAGGAGGTGGAGGGGGAGTAGGAGGAGGAGGAGGAGAAGGAGGAGGAGGAGGAGGACAAGGACCACAGCAGTGCCTCGCTCCATCTGCGCACCCGTGGTCTCGCTGCCCTTCCGAGAGGCGCCACACGCTGTTCTTCACCGCCACGTGGCCCAAGGAGGTCCGCAGGCTGGCCGCCGAGATCCTCTACCAGCCCTTCAAGGCGGGCCCGCTGCCCGCGCGGCGGCGGGGCAGATGGAGGGAGGAGACGGAACATCCGTGCCCCCTGCTCCTCCTCCCTGTGCTTGTCCTCGGGGTATGGACAAGTTGGAGGAAGATGGCGACCAGTGCAAACCCAAGACGCATCCACGATGTCGCAGTCAACCTTCCCTCCGAGCTCCCTCAGCATGGGCTCCTACGCAGATTCGCTTCCACTGAGGGGAAATGCCCCGTTGGAAAACAACCGTATGAAACTCCGAAGTTGCTCCAGAAAAAAAAAAACACTCCTGGGACGTCGTCAATGCCGCGAATTACCGCCATTGCTGCGCATTGACGACCCGGAACCGTGCCAGAACACCACTTCTAGGATTTCAGCACCGCGAATCAAAGTTACTGTTGCGCCTCACATTCCGGCACAGTGCCAGGACACCATGTTTTGGACGTTAACCACGAGAGTCCTTCAAACTCCTGCAAGGTCTTGAGACGGATGTTCGCGGCGCTAACTTGAGAGCCACATATTGAAGAGGAACCAGTATCCATCCGTGAAGCTCTCGCAAACTTTCAAAAGACGAATGTGCGCGACGCTAAGGCGAGAGCCATATTTTGAAAAGGGACCGCCATCCATCCTTGAGGCTCTTGCATACTCCTACTGAGACGAAGGCGCGAGGCGCTACCATTTTGAAAAGGAGCCGCCTTCCATCCTTGAACCTCTCGCAAAGAACGTGCGCGGCGCTAAGGAGAGAGCCACATCTCGAACACCGATCGCCCTCCATCCGTGAATCTCTGGCAAATATAAAAAACAAAATGAGGAAGTCTCAGGCGCAAAGCCCTGCCCGCCCTTTCGACCAGCCTCGGGGTGCGACAAAGGGGGTTATCTAGAAGGAAAAGGAATGGAGGTGGCGGGATGGGGACGATAAGGAGGAGCTGGGCAAGGAGGAGTAAAAGACGGGGTACGGGGAAGAAGGAACAGGCAGGTTGCGTGCATCAAGAGGGATAGTGTCGAAAAGGAGACGGAGGAGTATCAAGGAGAGGAGGATGACGAGGAGGAGGAAGAGTTGCCGGCAGCGTTGGGCGCGAATGACCAGGGAAGTGACCGAAGGAAGTAGCAATGTCAGGATCATGGTGGCTGCAGTTGGACAACACAGATGTTTATTTGGATGTTTGTGCTGTCACCTTATCGCAGCAGGCTCTGCCACATGTTCTTTGCATCATCACATGTTTTCAAAGCCACTGTTCTACGCGCGGGTTCGGCAATTGAAAGTTGACTCTACAGTCTTCCTGGATTTGCCTGGCGCCTGGTGGCTGCGCGTGCTTTCTATGATCAGACGTGCATTGCGCCCGCGTTGTGGAATGCAGGTTGTACTGATAATCGATGACAAAAGAGGGGGTGGGATGGGTAAGACTGCCACTGGGTTGTACTCATGCTTGTGGTTGTTTCTGTATTTCCCGTTGTCTCCCTGTGTTTCATCAGGTCTCTCTGCCTTCTTTTCGTATCGTCAGATCCCCACATCTCTGACGCGGGCTGTAGCTCGAGCAGTCCTAAGCACCAGCTCTGGGCCACGGGGTGGTCTGACGTGCCGACACGCGCGCGATCTGAATCTAGTTCTCGTTGTCCTTCTCTCTTGCTACCCTACTGCGACGGCTACCACCACCACTGCGGCGGCTGTGCGCAGGCCAGCGGAGCCTAGGACGCGCAAGCACTGTCTTTTCTTTGGCGTTGCAGAGCCTACCAGACATGATGATGTCTGCCGAAAAAAACAGCAACCTCCAGGTGATGATTGGAAATCGCGACGAGCTCAAGGGCAACCAAGATGTCATCCAGGATTCCCCGTTGCGTTGCCGTAGGGTCTGAAGAGAATGAGGGGGATGGAAAGGAGGAGGAAATGAGGACGACGGGGGAGAGGAGAAGGTTGACGAGAATCCGTAGGAGGAGGGGGTACGACAATGGTAATGATTTGAGGGTGCTGAGATGAAAGGGGGAGGGGAAGGATGCGCGTCGACTGGGCCATGGAGCCGTCCGAGTGCCGTCGTGAGATCATGCTTGCCCCTCTTCCAGACGACTCGTGAGGCAGCCGAGCTGAGCCTATACCGCCCTCTGCTGGGAGCTCACACCGCGAAGCATGCCCTCCCTTAGGTGGCTTGCTCCAGATTGTATATCAGATGGGTGCCTCGCCTTTGGAGAATCCTCGCCTTCGGCGGAAGCTGGCGGATGGCTGGCGAAAGCCCGCAGAAGTAAGTCGGCGGCGGGTCACGGGCGGAAGCCGGCGGAAGACGATCAACACGACAGCAGCTGCCGACGGTTGTTGTTTCGGAGTTTATAGAAGCCCCATGCAGGGGAGGATGAGGAGGGACTGTCTACGGCATTCGTTTCTGGACCCTGTCCTTGCCGAGCAGATCCCCTGCTGAGCCTCCTAGGCAGAAGGGAGGAGAATGTCACCGGCATTGTTCCTTTTGGTTTCTCTCAATCATCTCTTGTTTATTCGACAGATCTGACGACGCTGCGCCGCCGAGGTCGCCTTCTTCTCATCCCTCCTCCTCCTTCTCCTCAAGCCTCTGCACCGCTTTGCCCAGGCCAGAGGCTAAATAATTGTGTAGTTCGCGAGAATTCCTCATCTGCTTGGGAGCCATCTCGGGAGTGGGGTGTCTGAGGCGTGCGGGGGTGCGGGGCGGGATGCTCACCTTGTCGTGTCGACTTCATGGTGGGCCCCGGCCTGCGTCCCTCCCCCATGCCAGCTCATTCCCATCCCCACTCCCATCCCGCCACTTCCCTCCATCCTATCCTCTCACTCTCGCTCCACGAGGAGGAGGAGGAGGAGGAGGAGGAGGAGGAGGAGGAGGAGGAGGGATTGGGTGTCAAGTTTTGGGCCTCGGGGCCTCGTGCCTGGATGCTGCTGGTGGGGCATCAGGGACTGCGGCCCCAGGCCGTTCAGCAATGGCGCCACGTCATTATTGCCTGCCTCTTGGCAAGGCGTTTCCTCGCCAGCATTCCTTGAAGCAACTCCCCGCTGCGCGTGCATGCGACTGCACTCACACATCTAGCCCAGCGTTTTCTTTCTGTGCTGCCAGAAGAGGGCCCGTATTTCTTGCCTGTCATGGGGACTGTCGCCTCAGGCGATCGGGGCTGACGGCATCATATGCCTGGGCCTCGGGCCAAGGAGCTTGTGGCATGACGGCTTGCGGCTGGGTTAGTCTCAGGAGTCTTGGTCTGGCCTTCGGGCTCGGGGTTCTGGGCCTCGGCTTCTAGGCGCTAGAGGGCCTAGATGTAAGGAGCCCGTGAGGCCGTTTGCGATTTAAAACGTTTGATCTTTGGGAAGGTCATAGTGGCTGAGGGCCGATGTCCCAGATGTCAGGGCGAGGGTGTCAAGAAATTGAGCTTCTGGTGTCGATGCCTTGAGGTTGAGGGGATTGGTTCGGCACCGGAAGGCTCATCAGCTCACCGGGCCTCGGGGTATATGTTCTTTGGCTTTGGCCATGATCTAGGATATTGTAGAGGCCTCCGGCCTGTGCCGCGATCAGTAATACCCCGGGACGGTTCGTGCGCCCTCTTCCTATCTACCAGTTTGTGAGCCTTCCTTCGAGGAGGCAGGAGGCACGGTGAGGAGGGAACAGGATGAGGTGGAAAAGGGGAGGGGGGATGGTTTGGGCAGTCGCTTGAGGCATTCTGTGTTGAATGGAACGTTTGCGTCGTGTCCGTCGGTCGAGTTTGTTTGTGGGCTAGTTCTGGGACCCTGCTCTTGCTACTGTTGCCCCTGTTGCCCCAAACTTCCCGCGGGCGTTTGGCTCCCAGGGCTTTTAGCTGATTGAGCTACGTTATCCTCTCACCGAGATTGCGATAAACCATCGAGGCCCGCGGTCTTCCATAGCACAGCGGTGGTTTGAACGAGGCTCGGTATCCCTGCTTGCATGCGGTCCATATTGCCAAGGCGGCGTCCGTGACCTGTCTTTCCACATCGGAATCGAAGCCCAGCGGCTTTCCGCTGCTCGCCGGCAGCCTCTTCAGCGTCTGCGACTCCGACTGCATCCATTGCCTCCCCGCCAACGTTGCGACGTCGGCACCTACGCTTAGTGCTTCTCCGCCAGCGCCCGCGAAGCCAGCAACTACATCTATCGCCTCTCCGCTAGCGTCTGGGGCGCCGACATTTCAACCGATTCCGTTTGTTCCAGCGTCTGCGACGCCGATAAAGTACGCTTTCGACAGCGTCTGCGACGCCACTGCCCCCGCCTACTTCATTCCCGATAGCGTCTGCGACGTCGATGCTTACGTCAATTTCCTCGACGCTAGCGCGCGCGACGCCGACAACTACGCCTTGTGCTTCTCCGACAGCGTCCGCTGCGCCAACGTCCACCCCTACTGCCTCTTGGGGGACGGCAGCGACGTCAGCCAGATCTATTATATTTGCTCCAACACGACGTCCAGCGACGCCAGTGACGACAATATATGCATTCGGATTGCCAACGCGATGGGCGACTACCAGAACGACCGCGCTTTCAACAATTCAGCAGCTCCAGGCTTCAACGGAGACCCGTCCAAGTGGCGCGGCTACAAGCAGGAGGTCAACATGTGGAAGCTCAGCGGGAATCTGGAAGTTTCCATATGCGCGGCGTCTGCATTGGTCTTGAAGTTGACGGGCACCGCCCGAGCGGTGGCGTTCAACCTTGCGGAAGTCAAATTTCATCCAACAGGATACGACAACATCGAAGGCGCTGCAGAGAGAAAGCGTTATCGAACCATCAGAGGCACCGACAATGTGTTCTCACAGTGGGAGCGATCGACCGGGCAGCAGAAGCCCGCGCGGAAGGGCGGGGCGCTCGAGCAATTCTTCGAGGGTGCTCAACAGCACCACCCCCGCGGCAAACGGATGACATTGGCTCGTCAACTTCGACGTGGGTCTACGAGAGCTACGCCAGACTGAGGCGCACCTCAACCAGCGCGACGACGTGGCTGGCTGGTTACTATTCCTCAAGGGCGGTCTCAGCCAAGAGCGACGCCAGCACGTCGTCGGCAACCTACTGGGCGAGCACTACAGCTTTGCCACCATCGGGAGATTTCTGGTCCGCATGTTCCCCGACATCCCTTCGCAGGAACGTGCGCAGCCGCTGCCCTCGCGCCCGTGGCCCCGGCGGTCTTCGGGCCGGTCGAGCCGGCGCCTCCCGCCGCGCCGGGGGGGGGGGATCTGCCGGCGCGGCGGGCGGCGACGTAGAGATCGACGAGGGGCTCGACGAGGGCGGCGACGGGGAGGGGCTCGCGGGGGAGCGCGCGGGACACGGCGCGCCGCGAGCTCGCGGCGTCGGAGCTCGAGGCCCCTTCGCGGGCGCTAGGGGGGCGCTGGACAGCGAGGGCGCCGCCGCTCTGGTGGTGGCCGCGGCGGAGCTCGCCAGCGCTTTCGCGGCCATGGCCACGATTCGCGCCGCCATCGAGGTCGAGCGAGAGCGGCGGCCGCTGAAGGCGCCTTTCCGCGCCCGAGCGGGGCGCGCCGAGGGGCGGCAAGCTGCTGGCGAGAGCACGGGCCAGCGCAAGCAGTCATTTGCTTGCTTGAACTGTGGCGAGTCGGGCCATTGGGCAGGCGGCGTTGATTGCCCTGCGCGCCTGGGGCCCATGAGTACGCCCACCAGAAGGGCAACGGCGCGGCTCGCGAGAGGCGAGGGCGCCCCGACCGTTCGTTCCAGACTATAAAGCTCGGCGAGGACCAGGAGCTCGAGTGAAATCCCCAGGGGCCCGCCCCGCCACCGCCCGAAACGAAAGCCTGGCGCCCGAGCCGGCAGTGCCGGGCCCGCCCAGTGCCGCCGCCGCCCACTCCGGGAAGCCCGTCGCGGGCGAGGGCGTCGGTGCGATTGGCGCTGCCTGCCTCGTCTGCGTGGCTGGCCAGCTCCGGCACAACGAGGCTCTCCCGCGACTCTGGGCCTGGGCGACGCGGTCATGGAGGGGCCCGAGAACGAACTCCGCAGCCTCGGAGGTGGATGGGCCTTGCCAAGCAAGCTGCGATTTGCGGCGCCCATCGTTCTCTGTGGCCGACCCATTCAGCGCTGGCGATAGTGCAGCACTGGGGTTGCTCGTGGGTAGAAATTCGAACCCAACCTGCCAAACTGGACACCCCCCCCTGGAAGGCACCCTTCGCGTTGGAAACCAGACCCAGGCGCCGGCGACGAGCAGCGCCAGGCGCCCCGCCATCGAGCTCCAGCCCGAAGACTGGAATGCTAAGAAGTCGGCTGGGCATGAGTTTGGCCCGTCGATCTTCAAGGGCAACTGCGACGTCGAGGACTGCGCCATCGACGAAAATCGCTCCCACCACGAACACTATTATATCCGTTACCTTGCTGGACCCCATCAACAAACCCCTGGCCAATCCGGCAGAGGCCAATGTTTGCCGACATCGAAGCTCATGGGTGCGATCGCGCCTGCGTTGGCACGTTGTTCTGGCGCTTTAAATCCCGGTGTTTCCGTTCAAGTTCATGCGTCTGCCGCGCGCTGCGGATCCGCCGACGGTCGGGGCAAATTATCGGTTGCGGGCCTGGCGGAGCTGACGCCTGGATGCGTCTCGCGCGGAGCACCCGCGCGCGAGTCCTGCTGCCGCCTCGGGTCCTGCTCGGACTGCGTCTTCGGGGCTTCGGCGGGCTGCCGGGGGCGCGACGGGAAGCCCGTCGTCGAGGGCGGGCCGCCCCTCGCCGCGGGGAGGCGGGCCGCCCTCGCCGCCCGCGAGGACGGGATGCATTCGCAATTGAGCAGACAGCGCCAGACCTGCCGCGGCGTTCCACGAGCGGCGCTGCAAGTCCGACGGCGCCCTTGCCAGTGCATGGAGAATGAAGGGAGGGGCAGCTGCGCGACTCCTACCAGGCTGCGACCTGTCGCAGGGCGTCGCGGCGAACTGAATGGAGAAGCGCGCCCGACAGACCTGGCGCCGAAGAGGGAGCGGGCAAATCCACGCTGCTTCCCCCTTGCGCACCGCGGGCGTCATTGCAACGCCTGTTGCTTGCAAGAGCAGCCGGCCCACAAGAAGGTGATCGCAGCCCAGAGGGGAGTATTCGAGGCCTTGTCAGGCTTTTCCCCGACGCCACCGCGCGTCTACGACCCGACTTCGGAGCTCGGCATGCTGCGTCTTCCGAGTGACCTCTTTGCGGCTAAGGCCGGGGTCCGGCGAGAGCGCCGCGGCCGCTCGGCTCGCCGGGGATTTGCCGAGGGCGATCGTCTTCGGCGGCAGCGCCTTCGGGCGCGTCAGCAATCGCGGGTGCCCCTTGGAGAAGCCCTGCAGAGATGCCTGCGGGATTGCCGATTCCACGCGCGGGCTCCGCGACCGCGGCCGCCGGCGCGTCGAAGCTCGGGGGCGCGAGGCGACTTGCGGCGAGGACTATGCCAAGTCGGTAAAGACATTGGCGAAGCAGCTGAGACGACAGGGCGTGGGCGTCGCCTGCCTGGCGAGCTCCGCAGCTCGCCGCGCCGCGAACGCCGCCGCGGCGGGCGCTAAGACGCTCGGCAAGATCGTGGCCCATGCGCGCTCCACGGCATAACTCGGCATCGTGCTGAGACGGGGCCTCGTCGACCTGAAGTCCGCGCCGCGGCGTGCTCTGGCGACTCCGCGGTTGCCAATGTGGGCGGGGTTTGAGAGCCAGCGGGGCATGGCGATGGGACTCGCGCGCCAGCCTCGCGCAGTTATCGCAGGACGATTCGACCGTTGCTGGCTCGTGGCTGGCGCTCTGGGGCGGTCGGGCGGTCGGCGAAGTCCACCCTCGTTGCCGAAAGGTGCGCTGCGCTGGAGGGCGCCGAGAATAACGCTTGGTTCCGCCAGCTGCTCACTGAGGCCTACAACCCGAAGAAAGAAGCTCGCCGCCATCGACGGGCTCAGTCTGAAGCGCCTGGGCGGGGTCTATAGCGACAGCATGGGCCTCGTTAGCCGCGTCAAGTCAGACGTCGGCCAACTGCGCACCCGCATCGTTGCCTCCATGATCAAGGATATCACCTAACCCGCCAGCGCCTCGCCATTAGCATGGGCCCTGACATGGCCCATGGTCGTGGGCGCCCTCGCCATGGCGATGGGGGCTGGGGTGTTGCTCGCTTTCTTAAGAGCCCGCAGGCACAGCTACAGGTCGAGGCAGCTGCATGCTGCCACCCTCGCCCCGGCGATGCTGCCGCGCGTTAGCCGCGCGAGCGGCGACATTGCGACCGCGCCATACCTGGGCCCGCCGCCGATGGACTCTACTACGCGGATTGTTTTCGTCATGTTTGGCGCCTTTCTCCTGGGCGTGTCCATTGGCATCGGACTCGCCGCTGTGCTCATTGTCACGCTCCGCCTGAGGGTGGCCGCCGACGAAGTACCCAGGGCCTGACCAGGAACCGTTGCTTGCGACTGGACGGTACCCTGGAGCTGATGATCGTGCGCTGGACCGCATCAACAATCTTCCGACGATTCCCGAGTCCTCGCAGGCCTCGTCATATTCAGAATTAGCATCGGCCACGCCGCCCTCCTTGGCCGTAGCTGTTGGGGCAGCTTCCGCCGCAGACTACAACGCCGCCTTGGCAGCAGCAGCAGCAGCATCACAGGCATAATCGAGTGCCGTGGTTCACTACCACCTGCCGCCGGCAGGAACATCGATGCATCTAGCGCCGCGAACACCATATTCCTCTGCTCCACCATCGCCGTCGAGCTCGATCATGGTGAGCAGCTCACCTTGTGCTCTCATCGTCACCGTCAATGGCAGCTCGCCGACGGTCAACCCTGCCGAAGCTAACGAGCACGCGATCGTCGGTCACAGCACGAGGATTGGACACAAACCGAGCAGCGTCTACGCGAGTTCAAGAATTGCCGCAAGCACTGGTCCTGGCTGAAACGCCATGGGCGAACATATCAGATTTCAGACGTCTCCACTACAGCATCCAGCACGATGCGGATAATAGGTGGAGACTGATCAACAACCTGCCACATTTTGGCACTGATTGCAGCGTGAAGCGTAAGAAAGATGCGTGAAGGACGCCCGCTACGTGCCCAGATGCAGCCTGTAGCATGCTGGAGCGAGCCGTTTGCCCGAATGACCCGGATGCCGCGGCAACGACGTCTTCCGCCGGATGAAGCAGCGACCGAGCCTTCATGTTCGTCGCCCCGGCCGCCCAGAGCGCCGAACAGGAGGAGTGCGATTACGGTCGCTACTCTAGGGTCTACTGTTTTCCGCTCTGTCCCTGCTCATACTTTTGATGCCCCCTTGCCCAAAACTCCCCGCGGGCGTTTGGCGCCCAGGGCCCTTGGCTGATTGAGCTACGCTACCCTTCCAGCGAGTGCGCGATCAACCATCAAGATCCGCGATATTCCAAATCACAGTTGCGTGAATATTTTATGGTATGCTGCTCCTTCCCGTTTGTCCCATATTATTTTAGTTGGTGGCCTTCGGCTCATCCCGTCACCGTGCCTGGGTTGTGGGTCCGAGGTTTTTTGGAGGTTCGTTGGGATATGGTTCGGGAGTTTTGAAGCCTTTGGGGGACCGTTTAGGGGGCCTCTGTTGGGCCTCTTGGGCGCCTCTTGTGGTCTCGTGGAGGCCTTTTGGGAGCCCCTTTGGGCCTCTCGCGGGTTTCTTGGGGAGTTTTGGGGGCCTCTCGGAGCGGAAGGCTCCGATCGCCGGTTCACATTCCCCTTCTTGGGGCCCTCATGGCCCGTGTTGGGCGTCTTTTGGGAGCCTTCTTGGAGGCATCTGAGGTTGCCTTGGGGCTGCGTCGGGGCCTCTGGGGCCGCCTTGGAGCGTCGGAAGCTAGAATTAGAAACACCATTTGGAAATCAATGGTTGTTGCTTCTTGGAGCCCTATTGGGGATCCTCCTGGAGCGTGTTTGGAGACTCTTGGGGGCCTCTTGGCCCGTCTTGGGCCCATCTAGGGCGTGTAAGAGCTCTCTTGGACCGCCTTGGCGGCGGTGCCGCCCCCCCCTCCTTCCCTCCTTCCCCGGCCTACCCGCCCCCGCATCCTTCCTCATGCAGCGCCGGAGCGGCCCCAGAAATGGTAGAACCCCCCCGCCCCTCGCCTAGCGGCCCCGGAAATGGTCGACCCCCCCTCCCCTGTTCCCCACTTCCCCGGCGCGCCGGATCGGCAGGCCCACCACCTCCTAGCAAAGTGTGCCTGGTAAGTGTATGGCAGGGGGCAGGGGGAAGGGGGCACGGAGAGGGGGGAGGGTAGGGCGGATAGGAGACAGGAGGGAATGAGGGCAGGGCAGAGGGAGGAATCAAAGGGAGGGGAGGGAGGAGGGGGAGGGGAGATGGGGGGAAGGGCCAGGCAGGGGAGGGCAAAGGGAGGGGTGGGAGGGGGGATGGAGGGCAGGCGGATATGTCGATTCTCTGTTGGGTCACGTTGTTTCCCCCCTGGTCGTGGCTTCCCTCCTGGTCGGATGCAGGTAGTGCGCGTGATCGACGGGTACCAGAAAGAGCGGGAGCTGATGAGCCTCATGAGCGAAGCCGGGGTGATGAACCCGAACAGCCCTGGGAAGGTCACCACTCATCCACCTCTCTACTCCCTACACCTCTCCCCCTCTCGCCTTCGTTTCCCCTTTCTCGTCCGCCTCCCACCCCCTCGCACCACGTCTCCTCCCCGCTCCGTTCCCCCATGTTCCCTCTCTCCCCTTCTGGCCCCCACCTGTGTCCTCGCTCTCCCCTTTCCCTTCCGTGCCCTCCCCTGCCCTCCCTCCTGCCCTCTGGGGGTTCTTGTGAGCTGTCGGGGTGCCTCCTGGAGCGCTCTTGGGGGTCTCTTGGGGTCCTCTTGGGGCGCTCTTGGGCGCCCTGGGGCGTCTTGTGGGCCTCCTCTGGGGGCTCCCGGCCCCCCCCCCCTCAGCTCCTCCCTGCCATTCCCCTCGGTTGCCCTCTCTTTCTCTTTCCTCTGCTGCCCTCCGCCCCCCTACTCCCTCTCACGGAGTGGACAGACCAACTCCAAGCGATGTCGAGAGTATGTGTGATCGTTGCGCCCAGCGCAATTCAGCGCTGACTTGCCCCCCCCCATTTCTGGAGGAATAATGTCTCGCCGGTCTTTCCGCTGGCAATTCGTTGCGGTGATGCCAGCCGCTTCTGGCTTGACTTCTCTGTTTCGACAGGGGCGCTGTACAGGTAATATGTGCTGTTTTGTCCCTTCCCCTCCCTCTTGGTAGTAGTTATGCATGATGGCCCCGGTTCGGTTCGGTCCGGTTCGGCGCGCCTTCGTGTCGGTTCGGCCGGTCTGGTTTAGATCGCCGTCCGGTTCGGTCCAACCGGTCCGGTTCAATTCAAATTGGTCGGTCCGGTTCGGCCAGTGTTGTTCGGCCGCTCGGTTTGGCCAGTTCGGCCCGGTTCGGCCGATTCGGTTCGGCCGAGGGTTTTCGGTTCGGCCTGTTCGGTTCCAAGACGCCTTGACTATTTCCCCAAATTCTTCTGGAAATAGAGGCGACAACGTGGACAACGTTGACAACGATGACGACGGCGACGACGTCGACGACGACGTGGAAATGTAGATCGGCCGGGGCGCCCTGCTGACCGAGGCGCCCTGCTCACCCCGCTAGCGGAAGAGGGAGGGAGCGGGAGCGGAAGAGAGCCGGAACGGAAGAGGGAGAGAGAGAGAGAGAGAGAGAGAGAGAGGGAGAAGAGGGGGAGGGGGGGAGAGGAGGAGGAAGGAGGGGGGAGGAGGGAGGGAAAGAGGGAGGGAGGGCCAGGGAGGGGTTGCCACGGGGGGCTGGCCACCGGGGGGTGGCCAGGGGGGGCACCAGGGTGGAGGGGTGGGGGGGGCACGGAGGATCTGCCACGGCGGGGTGGCCACGGGGGGTGGCCACCGGGGGGGGGCCAGGGAGGAGCACCATGGGGGGGGGGGGGGCAGGGGGGGGGCCAGGGAGGGGTGCTTGAGGTGGGCAGGCAGGGGGGGAGGGGGGGGACCACCGGGGATGGTCACCGGGGGATGGCCACGGGGGGGTGGCACGGGAAGGCGGCCAGGGAGGGGGCGGCCACGGAGGGTCTGCCACGGCGGGGTGGCCACGGGGGGATGGCCACCGGGGGGGTGGCCACGGCAGGGGCACCAAGGGGGGGGGGGCGAGGGGGGGGGGGGGGGCACAAGGGGGGGGTTGCCAGGGGGGGGGGGGGGGGGGGAGGTGGGGGGTGACCGCCGGGGGGGTGGCCTTTGGGGGGTGGCCAGGGGAGGTGGCCACGGGGGGAAGGCCACGGGGGAGCGGCCAGGGGGGGGTGGCCACGGAGGATCTGCCACGGCGGGGTGGCTACAGGGGGGTGGCCAGCGGGGGAGTGGCCACGGGGCGTGGCCACGGGGGGTGGCCTGGCGCCATCTTGGGGTCGCGGCGGCCCCCTTGGGACCTTCATGGGCTCCTCTTGGGGCTCTCTTGGGCCGGGGGGGCGGGCGGCTGACTGCTGGCGGGGTGGTCCGTGAGGGGCCCGAGTGCCCCGGAGGCGGCCCCCTGCCCTCGCCGCGCGGGGGGCCCGCCGAGGGGGCCCGCCTTCGAGCGGTCCGCCAGGCCCACCCTCCCCAGGCGTTCAAGGTTGACCCGCTCGCACGACCCGCCGACGGGGTCGCGTCCGGTTCGGCCGGTTCGGTTCGTCGGGCCGGTTCGGTCCGGCCGGTTCGGTTCGTCGGGCCGGTTCGGTCCAGTTCGGCTGGTTCGGGTCGTGAGCCTGTCCGGCTTGGCTGGTTCGGGTCGAGGGCCGGTCTTCGGTCCCCGGTCCGGTTCGCGGCCATTATGAATATGTGCTGTTTTGTCCGCTCCCCTCCCTCTTCGCTCTCGCCTCTCTCCGCTCTTCCGCCCTCCTTTTTAACCCTCCCCGTGATCGAGCGCCGAGGCCAGAGCCCCGCGTACGCACGCACGGGTTCTTTGCGCGCTCTGAGGCGCAGCCCGAAGCCTGTCGATGATCTAAGACGTGCGGGATGCAAGATCACGCAGCATAACACCCAACAGTCGGGGGAGCGTAAGACCCGGGTTTGCCGGGACTCGGGTTCGCCATGGTTTTTTGACGATCGCGACTCGGATTTGACGAGGAGGAGTTTCGTGGGATGTCTGCAGCGGGAGGCCTCGTCAAAATGCAGGCTCGGCCTCGTCATTTTTTTGACGACCTCGTCGGGGATTTCCGAGTCCCCCGTACCCGGGTCTTACGTCTCCCCGAAACAGGGAGAGGGGGATTGTCCTTAGGGCAACGTGTCAGTCCCTCCCACACCCACTCTGACCTCCGCTCCCCTCCCCGTGGGTTGTCCTGGCGATGCTGGCGGCGGAGGCGCCGCCAGTCATCGGAGTCCTTGTATCTCAGGAGGGAAAGAAACACACAGACAAAATGAATCGTCGACTCCCAGGAAAATATGGGAAAATATGGGAATTGGGGGGGAAGACAAAAACCTAGAAAATATGGGAAAATATGGGGAAACATTTTATTTGTGTGTATTTATTTGTGTGTCCTTGGGCCCCTTGAGTATCAGTTTGTTGGTCGCACTGCCTGGTCCCTCCTGCGGCCGCTTAGACTGCCACTGGTGTCTTCCCATCGCGATGCGATTTGTTGAATTGGAAGCTCCTTAGGGGGCAGACACCGCCGCGCCACATTGTTGGGAACGTGGAGGCTTCGGGAGGCCCGGTGGAGGAAGAGGAGGGCAGCCAACATGACCAGAGGACGAGAGGACGGGTTTCAAGACAGCACCAGAAGGCCCCCCGAAAACAAAACATTGCCCGAGAGGGCCCGAAGAAAAACTCCCACAGGCTCAGAAAACTGCCCCAAAGGGCACCCACAGGTGCCGAAGACGGCAGGCGAGACTGAAGAGGGATACGGGGAGGGAAAAGGGAGGCTTCGTCAGTTAGTTTTGGGGCCGCAAGAAGGTCTTCATGGACCCATGGGGCGCGCCCAAGGCGGCTCAAGAGGGCGTCAAAAGTGCAGCCACACGGCCCAAGATGGGACAGCGGCGTTCAGGACGGCCCGAGAGCCCGTGGAGATATTCCAACGCGGCCTGAGAGGTCCCGAGAGTGCCACAAGAGCTCCAAGAGAGCTCCACGAGGCGCCAAGGGGCAGACCGAAGCTGGCCAGATACAGAAAATCTCTGTCGCTCTGTTTAGAAAGGTATTTGGCATCTTCGGGATTTCGGCTCAGCATGGCTCGAAGAGGACTTCGGAGGGGTCCGGGACGGCCCCGCAGGGCTCCGGGGACGGGCCAAATGAGCCCAAGAGGGCTCCGTGAGGCTCCAATGACTGCCCAGGAGGGCCTCCGGAGAGGCCACAAACGGCGCCTGGAGGCGTCCAGAGATCTCCCGTGCGAAGGCGTACGTTAGTTGAAGTTCAAATGGCGGCTGGCGGACAACTAGTCCACAGCCAGGGCCCCTGGGCCGGCCGAGTGAGCAGGCCGCGGGGAGGACCCTCGGAGGGGTTTCGAGGGCTCTTTGGAAGGATCAGGGTACGAGGAGTGAGTATGTAAGATGACCGAGGGGAACGGACCCTTGCAGACCATGCGACGGGGATCTCACACGCCGTACCTGGTGGGGCGGCGGAGCGCTTCGCTCCTTCCGCCGGCACACCCAGCGTGGCAGGGTCTGGACAGGAGGACTATTCGGGATGCCTCGTGGGGTCATTTCTGGAGGATCCTGGGGCCTTTCGGAGCTTCTTTGGAGGGTTTTCAGGACCGTCTCGGGGCCTCTTGGGGCCATCGGGGCATCTTGTTGGCCCCTTGAGCCCTCATTGGGGACCTCTTGAGCCCTCTGAGGGGCCCCCTTGAGCCTCCTTGGGGCCCTCGGGCAGTCTGGTGGGCCCTCTTGCCATCGCGATGAGATTTTTCCCCGACAGGCAGTGCACGCGTATCGCTGGGCTTGGTTTGTCAGAGGATCGCGTGAGAGGGATAGCCCCCGTGAGGGGCAGCTGATTTCTCGATCTGCCTTCCCTGGCCGGATGCGGCAAAACATTGGTCGGGTTATCTCTGGTCAAATCGACGTGTCAGGGCAGTCGTGCTGGTTCGAAGAAAGCACCCTGCTTCTTAGAAGACGCGAGCATTGTCTGTAGATGTAGGGCCCGCGCTGTCTAAGAAGCAGTCTCTTTCTAAGAAACCTTCCCGCCTCCCTCCTTGTGCGCGCCGCCAATTCAAACCAGGGTAAAGTATATGTATTGTCGCTGGCGTGATCTGTAAATATTCCGCGCGACCTGCGGATGCTAATTCGGGCAGCGAGCAGCGTGTCTGATGTGGAGCGGAAAGTGACCAAGGTTGGGTAGGACGAGGCGGAGCGGGATCGTGTAGAAGGGGGATACATAGGGATAGGGGCAGGGGGGGGGCGTGGGGGGGATAGGGAGGGCGGGAGGGAAGGGAGTGCATGGGAGGGGAGGGGGGGAGTGGAGTGGGAGGGGGAGGGTGTGGAGCGGCAGAGGTAGGGCGGCGGCGACAAACGAAGACGAGGCCAGAGCAAGCAGACACATAAAAGCTCAACTTAAAGAGCCATGCTGTCGGATATGAGGGCAGCGTGAGGTTGCAGCATGGAAGCTGCTCATTCGAGGGAATGTGTCATTGACAAGGGGCGTGTCCCAAGCCCATTGCTATCACTCTTGAATCGACTCGTGCGCTCTGAAGTCAACCCTCTTCAGCGCTTGCGGCCTGAAGGTGCTAGTCTTTGCGAGCACGAAGCGCATGTGCGAGGACCGCGGCGGGTATTTCCATTCGCTCCCTCATTCGTCTGTTTACTCCTGTACGCCGTTGCTCTGGTAAGCATTCAGTCCCAGCAAGCCGTAATAAGTTGTCACCCCATGCCTGGATGTACCCACATAATCTCTGAGCTTCTAGGTCGATGGGCACCTGGAGACACCCATGCTGACTCGAATATGTATGCCTAACATCGTTGTTCCAGGTTTCCCTATTCTGGACACGAGCCGAATGTGCTTCCCGGCCGCGGCCGTTGATGCTTTGCCCGCACACAGCAACTTTTGGGTATACAGCCATTGGTTTGCGGTTTCTCCGGTGTTGCGCTGGCTCCGGTCTGCCGCAGCAGGAAATTTCGCTGGCGCGGCAGGGTCCCTCTGCATTCTGGGCACCAGCGATCGAACTGCCATGTATCGCCAGTCCGGATAACATCGCCAGAAGGACTTCCGAGCAGGGCTACTAATCAGTAGCGTTGGGTGACTACCCTACGTAGCCTCGTATCCTCGAGCGCTGGTGATAGCAACGCGAATCTTCAAACCAGCCAAATCCAGGCCAAGGAACTCAAGACGAATCAGCAATTCAAATTTCCAGTCAACCTCGCGAGAAGAAATTACGGGCTGCGCCCGTAAATCCCATATGTGTGTTGTATGGAGTGTGCCATCTGGGGGGCATCCTCTGGGAGGTTCCAGGTGCCACCTCGGAGCCGTCTTGGGGGCCCTCTTGGAGCCATGCTGGACGCCACGTTGGAGCCATCGTTGGCCAGCTTTGGTACTCCAGCGCCTCATGGCCGAAGGGGACCCGAGTCCCTGGGAGGAGGGAGGGGGGAACCCCCTTTTCCCGAATGAAAGCAAGACGTTACCTTTGAAGAGTTTGCATTCACCAGTTTGAAACATGTTCCTATCATTATGTTTGGCATCACCTTACCCTGGTGCCTATCTTGAGGAATCCCACAGTTTCTGAGTGGACATCCATGAGATTGTTATCGCCTTGGGTTTGCCGATCTTAGGGATAGGAGTATGTTCGAGGTTGGTTCTGCTCGTTAAACAAACTGCGCCGAGGGTTGGTGGGACTTGAGACGCTCGGGTTGGCTTGCACATGCGTTCCCGACTTTCCTGTTGCACGATCGCAGCTGTATGTGTAATGGTACGTGCTGTACATTCCCTCGCCTGCCGTCTCTGCCTGATTACGGTGTACATCTCTCCTGGCCGTGATCACTCTGGTTGGTCGCTCTTCGTCGCAGTATGCCGATGTGCATGGGAATTGCTATATATTTCATATGTGTGTCGAAGACCTCTTCGGCGAATCAACGCCACCCCTTGCCTTTTGGGAAGCACCCCTGTGGCCAAACGTTTGGTGAGAGCTTGGCCTAGCTGTCGGACTATGCATTCCCCAGCCGCTCTGGAAACTCTTCCAGGGAACATTTGGGAGAGGATGAGGGGGTGGATCAGGAGAGGGAGGAGGAGGAGGAGGAGGAGGAGGAGGAGGAGGAGGAGGAGGAGGAGGAGGAGGAGGAGGAGGAGGAGGAGGAGGAGGAGGAGGAGGAGGAGGAGGAGGAGGAGGAGGAGGAGGAGGAGGAGGAGGAGGAGGGGAGGAGGAGGAGGAGGAGGAGGAGGCGGAGGAGGCGGAGGAGGCGGAGGAGGAGGAGGAGGAGGAGGAGGAGGAGGAGGAGGCGGAGGCGGAGGCGGAGGCGGAGGCGGAGGCGGAGGCGGAGGAGGAGGAGGAGGAGGAGGAGGAGGAGGAGGAGGAGGAGGAGGAGGAGGAGGAGGAGGCGGAGGAGGAGGAGGAGGAGGAGGAGGAGGAGGAGGAGGAGGAGGAGGAGGAGGAGGGGGAGGAGGAGATGGAGGAGGAGGAGGAGGAGGAGGAGGAGGAGGAGGAGGAGGAGGAGGAGGAGGAGGAGGGTGAGGAGGAGGAGGACGTCCGTAGCCATGGTGGCTCCAGGCTTAACGTTGTGAATGGTTATAGACGCCCGAGAATCAGCGATTAGCTTTTGGCTTATCCGTAGGCCATTATCGAGTGCGATCTCGGCGTTCAGGAGACCCGTTGCCCTGCATCCTGCTGTCCTCGTTTGGGTGCCAGCTACCGGCGTAGATAGGCGACGATGGCGTGTGCTGGCCTCTCCGCGGCACAGCAGGCAGCAATCGTGCAGGCGCATGACGACGCCCCGACTTTCCCGACGCAAGAACGCAGCCGTCGCTCTGGCACTTGTGGTTGTGGCACTCCTTCGCGTGATCGTCGCCCCGCTCAGCCTGACCAGCGCAGCCGATGCCAGGCTGTTGTGACTTCTTAGATCCCGATGAGAGCAACGCCGACATCAAGAACTACGTTGACGACACCAAGCGCGAGCTACTTAAGCCCATCAGTGCCATTCAAGCGACCATCGGCGGCCTCGCCAACTCTGTGCAGCTGTCCAGCGGCAGATTTTCACGTCACGTGGAGCATCGCCTGGCTGGCGCCGAGCGTCGGAAGCGTGAGCACCAGGACCAGATAAACTGCGTGGAGTTCGAACAGGTGCTTGGAGTTAGGCAGCAGGAGACCCCAGTGGTTCCAGAAGTTCCGTCCGACTTCGACAGGGCTCCCGACCCCACCATCTTGGTCATCCGCGCCAGGCAGATGGTCACACGCGAATCGGTCCCTTCACAGGTTGCCAAGCCCATCTTGGAACGCAACAACCTCTCGGATAACGAAGTCTTTTCGGAACAGGACCGTGCATCTAAGCGATTTGTGTTGCGCATCGGTGGAAGCACATCCTACGCTGCAAAGCGCATCTCTCGAATTTTCTGCATCTTCAAGAGTTCGGCTCAGCAGTGGCAGTGATTCGGCAACGGACACAAGCGGAGCCACCTCGGATATTTAATTCATCGGACGAGTCACCTGCCATGGTCAGGAGAGAGAAGTCGTGGCCAGACATCTCAAGAGAGCTTTTGTTGACCTCTACCCTCAGTTGTTCTTCCACACCAACAAGGCTAAGTTCGAGGTCTCACATCAGTGGAAGCCGATCCCCCGCGGGATGTCCAAGCTTAGCGACGAGATGCCCACGATCGGGCACGCCGAGGGAAGCTTCGGCCTGTTCCAGTTCTCGTGCGATGACATCGGCAGGGAGATCGCGAAGTCCGTGCGCCCTCCAGAGCCTGTCTCGTGGCGTATTTAACCCGCTCTTTGCAGCCTGGAGCAGCTCTCCTACCGCATCCCGCCCTCTCTCGGCATGCACCTGGAATGCCCGGGCCCCCTTCCACTAGAAGCCAAAGGTCCGACCGATGAAACTTCTGCATCTCAAGGCCTTCCTGGGCCGGTCTCTCTCCTTCCCGCCTCTCCTCTTCCTGCCGGCAGAGTAGTGGCGCTCGTGCCCGATTTCAAGAAGCCCGCCAGGCCGCGAGGCAGCCCGTGGTTGTTGACGCCCTCGAAGTGGCCAAGGGTCGCGTACTGAATGTTCGAGTATTGTTCCCCAGCGGTGCGTGGATTTCCCACTTCAACACTCGCAATCGCGGAATCACTTCAGAGCCGTGCGAAACAGTGTTGAACAAACTTACGGCGGATGCCAAGAAGGCCTCCGCAAAACCGATGAAAAGGCTTCGCGCTTGTAGGTGGCGGCTTCAACTTCTCCGATGAGGCCCCCAAGGCGCTAGAGAGGTCGGGCCACAAGACTCCTTCAAACCCAGAGGCTATCTCCACCCAGCAGCCGACTTCGCATGGCTTTCCCAACTCCCAGGTACCATCCTTAGCAGCCCATCCCAATCTCGGAAGAACATTGGAGGCCCCTGGCGCGCTCGAAATTCGCAGAAATCGACCTAAAGGACCCCGCCCACTTCTGCGCCGCAAGGGGGGCTCTTGGGAAGCTGGATAGTCTCTTATCGTTCGGCGCCTGGCTGGTGAATCACCTAGGTGTGCACAGGCGCCCGCGCGCGCGCGGCTTGCCAGAGGTTTTGCGTCGCACGCTCGTCCCTGCTCACTCCGCGCAGGACAGCGCGCGCCGAGGATCGGCAGAAACAGCAGGATATCTTCAAGCGGACCGAGTACCGAGATTTCATCACCTCCGTTCCCCAGCAGATCGACGACACCACCCTCTCCCTTCCACGCCGACTCGAATTCCACAGGAGTCTGATGATCGAAACCGCCCGATTCGCTCGAGACGCTATCCTCCGAGGTAAACAATCGAACCCGCTCTCTCGACATGTGGCCTGCCGCGCGATAGCCGGCGGCGTGGGGCCAGGGCGTTGCTCTGGCGCAGCGCATTTCTGTCTCGCGGCCAGAAGCATCTCGAGATAGACGTGGTCGCTCTGACTGTCAGCGTCTGCAGCCCTCATCTTTTTCGCGCTGAGTCGGACGAGGCGCACCTCGCCATGCGCGACCCAGCCAGAGCCGCGGCCCGCCAACGACTCCAAGAAGATCTTCCATCATATGTCAGGGCCGAGTTGGCCCGACGCATGCGTCGCCTCAATATTCGCTGCGAGCTTCGGCCCCCGTTCGGCCGCAAACTTCCGATCCGGGGACTTCGTGTCGATGACGGCCTGCCCATGACAGAGCAGGCAGAAATCGCGAACGGTCTGGCCCGGCACTGGAGTTAGTTTTTTTTTGTTTTACCGAGGAGGTCGACCGAGCGGCGGCCTTGCAGTGTTCTCAGCGGCTCCGTCCTCAAGTTGATCTTGGGCCGCCGCCTCCAGACGAGCAAAGCATCGGGCGTTCCCTGGACAGAGCGACCCCGGGCGGTCCCGGGCCTGATGGCCTCCCATATTGGGCCTGGCCCTTTTCATCCCGATGGGGCCCGCTGCTCTGCGCTCTTCTCTGGAATGGCTACTGGCTGGCAACCCCGCCCCGATTGGCTTCCACGCGCTGCTCGGAGCCTGTCCTCCGAAGGGCGAAAACGACGGCGACTCCGAGATAGCGATCCGAGATCCGTCGGGCAATCGTCCGTTGGGTTTCAAAAACACCGACTGTGAGATCCTGGCCTCCGCGTGCACTCGGCCGTGGACGGCCCCGCTCCCGTCTTTCGTGCACGAGGCCGTTCGCGGCTTCACCTTTCCCAGAAGCTTCGGGGGCAACATCATCGAGCTCGACGCCGCCGCTCGGATCACATCGATGAAGGATGGCGCCACTTCTAGGCTCCCCGCTCTCGTCTCTTTCGACTACGGTCAGGCGTGCCCCTCTGTCTCCCAGCACTGGATCTTCCTCGTGCTCAAGACCCTCAACCTTCCTCCCACGCGCTTGTGGTTTCTGGGGCAGATCTACACACATGTTTTTTGCTGCGGCGTCTGCGGCGACGTCCGAACCTTCCGTTGCGTCATCGAGTCGGGGATCATACAGGGGTGTCCTGCGAGTGGGGCCATCTACGCCATTGCCTCCCACCCCTTCGTTTCGCATGTCGACGTCCTGGTCGAAAAGAAGATCTTTGGGCTCGCGAGGTCTTGCGCATATGACAAAAGTGCTGTGACTCATGAGTTAGCATCGCTCCTGAAAGTATGTGCCGTCTTTCGAGCGTGGACGCGGGTGGCCAACCTAACCCTCGAACTGAGAAAAATAGAATTTAAGTTCGTGCCCCTCTCTAGCAAGTTTTCTCCCGAGCTAGCCAATTCTTACTAGCAGTGGATAGCGAAGCACACCCCTGACTGGCAAGAGATGCAGGTGGCGCCGGATCTCCTATGCTTAGGTGTTGTTCTCCAGAACCCAAGAGAGCCCCAAGTAGGCCCCATGAGGTTCCCAATGGGGCCCCAAGAGGCCCCAAGGAAAGCTCCAAAACGACCACCGCTATCCAAGGCGCCAGAAACGTCTCAAAGGGTTGTAGGGACTGGGCTGCTTGGGTGTGTGGACTGGGCTGACCCCAAGACGGCCCGAGAGGCCCCAGCCACGCCAAGTAACACCATGGCTCCCAACAGCGAGCGACGACGTAAACACCACGGCTCCCCAGAGCGCGGTGACGTAAACAGCTCTTAGTAGCAAGGCTCCCAAGAGCGAGCGGCATCCTAAAAGTCTCTGAACACCAGGGCTCCCACCAGAGAGAGGTGACGTAACAAGCTCCTAACACCAAGGCTCTCAGGAGCGAAGGATGCCATGAGCCATCGGGCACGTTCCTGACATGCTCTTTCCGTTCCGGTGCCGGCCCAGGTCTAATGTCTTCCGGCCCATCCAGCCACTTGTGCCTGGGTTGTGGCCTCTTGGATGGTCATTCGCGTCTCGTCGAGGCCTATCAGGGGCCTCCTGGAGGCAGTTGTGATGCCTCTTGGGCCTTGGGGGCCTCTTGGGGGCCTCATTCGGGCCCCCAGGGGGCTGTCTTGGGGCTTCTTCGGGCCTCTTTTCGGCCTCTTCGGGACCTCTTGGGGCTTGTTAGGGCTCTCCTGGGCGCCTCTTGGGGCTGAAGGCTTGTACTTTCGGTCCGTGTTCCCCCTCTTGGGACGCTCCTCGGGCCGTCCTGGGGCCCTCTTGGGCGGTCTTGGGCGCCTCTTGGGCCATTTTGGGGCCCTTTGGGGGGCCTCTCCGTGGCCGTCCTGCGGCGGTTTTGGGGGCCTCTTGGGACGTATTGGAGCGTCGGAAGCTAGAACAGTGGAGAACTCGCAAACCATTGGAAAACGGAAGGGCGATCTATGATTTTGACTTCTCGGGGATCTTGGGAAGGCTCTGGGGGCTCTCTTGAGGCGTTTTGATGGCTTCTTGGGCCGTCTTGAGGCCATGTTGAGCGTCCTGGAAAGCTCATCGGCCGTCTTGGAGATCGCTTGGACCCTGCTGTGGGCTTCTTGGTTCCTTCTTCGTCATTTTTGAGGCCCGTTGGGCAGGGTCACCAGCGCCCAGTAGCGCTCAAGAGCGCTTGGGAAACGGGGGGTGCGGGCCAGGCCCTGAAGAACCTTCCAGCCCTCTACCTCCCAGGGTTGCCTGAGCCTTGGGGCACTCCAACATGTGCTGAAGGCACGGTGGCTGATTCTGAGGGGCTCGCGCGGCGCTTGGATCTGCGGTGATAGTGAGGGATCAGTACGCCAATACTGTTTCACATCCCTTCCACCCCTGCTCCTCTTGCTCCTCCTCGTTTCTCATTCTCGTCTCGTTGCGCATATCCTTCTCCTTTTTCTCCTCAAGCAGAATAAGGATGAGTCCGAACATGCCAACGTTACCCTGGGATGAGTGGGGAGTTGGCTGGTGCTCATCCTACCTCCTCCTCCTTTTCATCATCATTATCATCATCAACATCATCATCATTATAGTAGTAATAATATTCATCATCATCATCATCATCATCATCATCATCATCATCATCATCATCATCATCATCATCATCCTCATCCTCATCCTCATCCTCATCCTCATCCTCATCATCATCATCATCGTCATCGTCATCATCATCATCCCATTCCCCCCTCCCTCTCCTCCCTCTCGCCTCTTCTCTTCTAGTAATTAGCGGCAGCTGTCAATCGTTCCTCTCAGCCCCCTTCGCGCAGTTTCCTCGATAGTTGTAGCGACGGCAAAATTGATTCCAGCGCCTGGTTGAAGCATGCCAAGGCATACTCGTTGAGTGAAGTCGCTCGCCAGAGGACTCTGCGAATGTGTTCCCTCATCATCTGTCTCCCCAGGCTCCTCTTCCTCATGATCCTGCTTCGGCTCCTCGTCCGTCTCCTCACTTTATGTATGTCCTCTGCCCTCCGCCACCTCCTGCCTCCCTGAGTAGTCGTCCTCCACTCCCTCCCTCCTGCGAGGAAGGCCTGCCCTGCCACGGTCCCTCTGGCCAGACCCGACGCGGCCCCCCCACCTTGAACGGGCAGCAGCACGAGCAGGAGGAGCACGCGAAGCAGGGTACCGAGAAGGAGCAGGATGAGGATAATGGGCGGACCCAACGGTGTAAGGAGAAGGGTCACGGTAAGCAGTACGAATAAGGAGCAGCCCTGCCGGCCCTGCCAACTCAACTCTTGTGGCCCCGCTCTTCCTCGCCGCCATCTCTGGCAGGATTTGTCGCGGTCCATGCAGCGCAACCGCGTGCCCTGCCAGTCCATCCACGGTGACAAGGACCAGCGCGAACGCGAGCAGGCCCTGAACGGCCTCAAGACTGGAAGTATCAAGGCTCGTTGCTCCTCCCTTGTGTGTCTGCTCCCGGGGGGAGAGCGGGAGGCGGAGGATGCTGAGGAAGAGGAAGGTACTGGGTTAGTATTAGTTTGTGTATGCACATCTGCTGTCTGTATTTCTCTCTCTCTCTCTCTCTGGTTGTTTTCGTCTATGTCTCTCTCTCTCTCTCTCCCTCTCTCTCTCTCTCTCTCTCCCTCTCATGTGTCTCGATTGATCCATATACCATCATGCCTTGTCCTTTTGTCCTCCAGCAGATGCTTGGCGGCATCGCGAGCGAAATTCCAACCAGATGAACCTTCCTCAGCGATGTTATATAGTCTCTTGTCCAATGACCACGACCACGTGTCAACCCATTTTCAGGTAGTTGCTTGGCAGGTAAATCAGAAGTCCGTTCTGTTTGGCGGCGCTGTGTATCTCAGGATTGCAGGCTCCGGCCATGAGTTGTACGTTTGTGTGCGGGAGAGGGGAAGGGAGAGGGGTAGAGACATACGATCAACACATATGTACATATACAGAGCGAGAGATCGAGAGAGAGAGAGGCGGGGTACGATAACTATACAGATCGATGTATACATAAACACAAAATTGCGTGAGAGAGAGAGGGAGAGCACTTTAAGAGGGAAATCGGTAGAACAATAAATAGAGAGAGAGGGAGAGAGAGAAAAGGGAGGGGCTCTTTTTTTTCTGCCCGCAGACACATGCCAATGCACAGTACACGCGAGAGTCCATGCCTCGCTTTGTGTACTTTTTTGCTTCACGCTTGCATGCTGTTGTTCGCCTTCCTCCGACCACACAGTTTACCAGTTGTTCTGTTGTTTTCTCGCCCAGACCCCGCCTCTCCACACCAGGTATCTTTTTGTTCGCTTGGCCATCCAGCTCTCCATATGAGTTCTTAGCACCACGTCGCGCTAGCAGTCCTGTCAGGCGCCTCTCTCGCATTTGATCGCTGGCGCCACGAATCGGGCGTCTTCTCCGAGGTCCTAGTAGCGACAGATGTGGCTGCGCGTGGGCTGGATATCAAGGGCGTTGGCTTGGTGGTGAACTACGATCCAGCGAACAACACTGAGGAACGGTACGGCTCCGCAGCCTGCGAAATTTACATTCTGGCTTCTTGGATTCCGAACGTGCTACCCAGTCCCTGGGATTCGTTAGAAGTTCTGCTTGTCCTGAATGGTTCATGGATGCGGATCCCTATGGTGTCTTCCGGGCCCCAGAAAATTCCATGTTTGGTTGTCACGTTCCAGCATTTGTGCAATTGTGCTCGGGTAGGCGCATGCTTATTCATGATGGGTCCTGTTGCTCTTGTTGGGCTCGTATAAGATCCAGTATTCATTGTATATCGTTTACTAGAAGCGTTCCCAATTCTGCTTATATCAGTTAGTTCTCCCAGCACTACCTATGACTTCCGACATTGCCTTAAGCACTCGGGGCCTTCAATGTCACTCAGGGCTAGACTCTGCCTCAGAGGCTTAAGCCATTCTGCCGACTCTAGAGGTAAATTGGTGAATGGGGTCCTGGGATGCCCAGGAGCCCCAAGGGAGAGAGAAGGGGCAACGTGGCGGAGCAGTGAGAGCAGGAGGAGGAAGAAGACGTCCAGCGATTGAAGAGAACCAGGGAAGGGGAGTAGTGCTGGGAGGAGTTGTCAAGGAAGTCAAGGTGGAGAGGTCCTGAGGATCGAACGATCAACCCGTGCTTTTTGAAGCCTCACATCGGCCACCTAGGGGGCCTCCCGGGCCGTGCTAGCGCTCGTTTGGGCCAAGCCATCGACGCGGCTGTGCCCGAGCTCATGTGTGCAAGTGTGGGGCCATTCTGTCGATCGTTTGGGCGGTGTTGGGTCAGATCGATGCTCCCTTTGGCCTCGACCTGGGGCTCGGGAATCCTCTAGAGTCTTCCTGGGCACTCTTGGACAACTCTCTGGACTTGTTTTACGATGCCTCTTTTGGGCTCCTTTCGATTTCTGTCGGGACCATCTGGGCTCTCTTTGGGCCCTGTTCTGACCAGTTTGGGCAATATCGGGTTCCTGCGGCACCTTGGGGCATTTGTTTGGCTTCGAGGGCTGACTTGAAGGAGCAAAAACGAGAACGACACATTTATTCAAACATGTTCGTGTTGAGATGTTGTTTGGTTTCTCAGGGACTTTTCTGGAGTCCAGGCGAGTCCAGCATCAGTTAAAGATGTGTTGCAATCCTTCCTTAGTGCTTAGCGCACTGGAGGATTGATCACTGGCGCACAGGAGGATTGAAGTTGAGGATGCGCGTTGCCTCTGATGATTTCTTGCGCATCTTGCGCTAACCAGCGAATTCGTTCGTTCCCGAGGACTTTCTGCAAAGGAATTCTTCGGTTGGTCCGATCCTCTCGGAATTCATGCATTGTTGTATCCTGTGTCTGCATCGGCAGTCGCCGCGCTCTCTTTGCATGACGCCGCAGAAGGATGAGAGGAGGAGGACGACGCCAGGGCGAAGGCGAAGAAGACGTTGGAGCCTGGCGGAGGTGGAGGGGTGCCATGCGGCGCAGCAGGAGGAGGAGGAGGTGGAGGACGAAGATCTGTACGTCTCTGGCCGCCCGCCAGGATTACGTCCACAGAATAGGCCGCACCGCCCGCGCCGGCGCCAAGGGCTACGCCGTGACCTTCTTCACGCGGCAGGACGGGCGCCCACGCCCAGCGATCCGCCTCGGTGCCCGTTGCTGGCCGGCGGAAGTGTCGCATCCCCCGATGGCCCCAGGGACCCGCAGGAGCTCTGGGGCACTGTTGGAGTCTCCAACACCGACGAAGAGGGTGCCCCGAGATTCCTGAGAGCAATCCCTCTTGTCCTCTGTGTCTACAGTCGGACCGAGGGTGTTCTTCGTGTCTGTTGGGTGTTCTTGTGCACCCTGTGGGAGGGTACCCTCGGAATGTCTTTCGGACTTGGCCGGCGGAGGGCCTCGTGCTCTCGAGGGACGCTCTCCTGGCGGCCCAGGTCCCACTGCCCTGCAGCCCGCTGTGGTCCACATGGGCGCTGGCGCAGCTTTCGGCCGGGCATCCCGTGGTCGTCGGCGTGCTGGAGCGTGGTCCTCTGGGGGAGCGCGCCTGTGACGGCCAGACTCGGGGAGGGGCGGCCCTGAGGGCCAGAGACCGCCACGGCTCCCCGCCTTCGCCCGGGAGCGCCGCCGGCGCCCGGGTTTTTCCACCCCGCCGCCAGCGGCCGGCCCGGCCACCGCGGTTGCGGGGTCCACGTCTAGTCCGTGGCGACGTCGGGTGTGGGGAAGCAGACTGAGGGGGGTCGCATCGACTCCCAGTCGCTCGTTGATCGCCGACAGAGCCGCGGTAGCCGGTCCCGCCCAGGAACGTGCGGATTCGCTGTCGGGGGCCCATGGCCGATCTAGCGGCGACGTTTCGCCGATTCCAGGGCGAGCGCTGCCCCCCAGCTAGGGGGGTCCCCCAGAGCAGAAACAGCGCAGAAGCGCCACAAGGAGGAACAGTAACACTAAGTCACGCTCCAGTTCAGTGGCCTGTGAGTGCTGACGTGAGTCTTGAGCACCCGCTCCATGTCTTCTGCCTCGTTGGCCTTCTTCGTGGTCTCTGATAGATTACTCCTCTTGCTCTCGCGCCTCCCTTTTCTCTCGTGCAGGCGCTCTCGAGGTCTCTTGGGTGTGTTTGGGGCGCTTGGGGGCTTCGTGCTGCGCGAGCTACGCAAGCATCAGAAGCCCATCTTCTCTCTCGGACGCACCGGTTTATGCTGCAGCCGTCGACGCCTACCTTGCCGAGCACATTCCCGAGTTCTCACGGCCGCTGATGGGAGTCCCTCCCATTGAAGCCCTCTGGCAGGCCCTCAGTCGAGCTCGCCCAACTGCTCCTGGACCAGATCGTCTGAAGGCGCGCGTATGGCTCGCGGACATCAGACTCACAGAGGTCCTCCACGACTTGATGTTGCGCCCATTTCGAGGGCATCCTGCCCCGTGGAGCTTCAACCACGCGGTTATTGCCCTCGCGCCGAGGGGGATGGCCCGATGGACCCTGTGGGCGTCACGAGACACCCGTCCTAGCTCCGCCTCCTCGCGCCGAAAGAGCGCGACGCCAAGGCCACTGCTGCAGCCGCCGGTGGTCTCCTGTCTCCTGTCGCTGTTGCTAGGTGCCACCCGTCCCGCTTCCCTCGTGGCAGGAGCGTTCTCTCCCGCACTGTGCGCCGGGATGCGCCTGCCAGAGCGTCGAGCCACCGCCCCGAGCTCTCCCCTGCGGTTGTCTCCCTGGACCTCCGAGCTGCCCGTCCCCCCTGGGGCCCCCAGGCCGTGCTCCTCGAAGTTCTTGGCCGCTGTCGCATCCCAGCTGGGCTTGAGAGCGTCATCGAGGCTCTGTGCACGGGGGCTCTCGCCCACTCCCGCTGCGGAGCAGTCCGCCAACCCCTCTTCCTGGCATCCTCGGGAGCGGCCCAAGGTTGCCCCCCCTCAGGTCCATTGGGGCCCTTCGCATGAACCCTTGCCTGCGCCACCTGTCCTCCCAGCCTCGCTCCTGATGCCCTCGAGGTGCGTTCTGGCTCTCGTCTCTGGTGCACCCAGATTGTCCCTGAGTGTGGGCCGACGGCGGGCGATATGGGTGTCTCGCTCCAATCGGTACGTCTCCTCCCTCGCCTCCTGCCCCCATTCGACGCCGCCCACGCACGCGGTGGCCAATCTTATCCTGCAGCCCTCCGAGTGCTGCACCGCGCCGCTCGACGCCGCGCGCGCGCGCCCGAGATCGCAATGCGAACGGCCACCCAGATTGGCGAGCTGGTCCCACAGTGGGCCGACTTCCACGTTGAAGGCGCCACCACTTTTCTCGGGATTGAGTTTGGTCCTTCGGTCACCCTCGCGGCCTGGCAGGTCTCCCCAGTGCGAAAATGGAGAACCCGTGCCCTGGAGGTTGCCGCCGGCCGTTCCCCGGCAGAAGCCAGCACACGCATGCGCAACTTCGGCGTGATCTCTGTCCCGGGCTATGCCTGTCAGCTCGTTCCCCCTCCCCCTCTGATCGCCACATCCTCCACCGCCTCCTCCGTCTTCCCCCAAACTCCTTTGGACTCACGGATCTGCTCAGCATTAGATCTTGCATGAAGTCAGCCGTTTCGCGCTCATCACAGGGAATGACTGCTGCCTCGGTGTGGCTCACAGCTGCACTCGCTCTTCCTCGGGGCGGGACTCACGGGTGGTCGGGCCCTCCTTCTGCCACTGCGTGCTCATGCCCGGGTGGTCAGCCCTTTAGCCAGCCTAGGCCGTGGCGGTCTCAACCATCCCACGTGGTCTCGGGAGTTCTCCATTGCTCAATTTCTTGAACGGTCTCTCGATAGGGGAACGAAAAGTGACATAAACATAAAAACTCGGAGGTCCGCGCGGATTTCTTGGATCGGCGCTGGACCCCCCTCCTTGGCGCGCGGAGCGCGCCAGGGGCGGCGCTGGAGGCGCCGCCGGGGGGGCCCAGCGCCGATCCGAGAAATCCGCGCGGACCTCCGAGTTTTTATGTTGATGTCATTGTTCGTTCCCCTATGAATGATCTCTCGACCCCACACCCCTCCCAGCGGCCTTCCTCGGGCGGCCTTGCGAGCTGCCACAGATGGAGGCGCAGCCGAGCGAGAGGCGGCCGTCCCCGAGGCCCGCCGCCCTGGGCCCCAGACGCGCCGTCGTCCCTCTGATGCGCTCCTTCGCTACCATCGTCGCCTCCCTCGCTCTTCCTCCAGCTGTCCTCATCCTGGACTCATCCTCCCTCCTCCTGCCCCCCCATCCTATCCCCCATTCCTCTCCTCCTTCCTCCGCCCCTCTCTTCCTTCTCGCACCCCATCCTTCCTCTGCTCCTCCCTTCTCGTTCCCCCCTCCCTCCCTCGTCTTCGCGCTGGGCCCTTCGAACTCCGAGGCCCCGAGAGAGCAGACGACAGGCCGAGGACGACCAGCGACAGGTTCATGGGCCGAATGACCGACGCAACCGACGGGAGGACGAGGAGAAGGCATGGGGATGGGGTGTTTGGGTTCTGCCCTGCGGTCGGAGTGATGTGGGTCCTCGCCGCCGTACTGTTGTTCCCTTGGGTTCGGCAGCACCTCTGGGACCGAGGTCCCTCAGACACCGAGCGAACGAGCAGGGGAAGAAGGGGAGGATATCTCCATCGCTTTTCGCTGTTGATGCTTCCCCCCCATGCCCGCTGCGGACAGCGAGGATGGCGGCAAGGCCCGCGGCGTCATCGAGGTCGTGGGATTGTAAAGCACACCACCCGCTCCTCGTCCACGTCTTCGTCCTACTGCTGCGCCTCTTCCTCCCCTCCTCCCCGGCCATACATCAAGACGACGCAGACACAAACTGCCCATCGTCGCTGGACCCACTCGGGGCGCTTCTGGGGCCGCCCCTGGTCCGTTTCGCGCACCGATCCAATAATCCGCGCGAACATCCGGAAGCTCATTTAACCGCTTCGCTCGGGCGTTGCGACATTGGGGGCGACACACGCGGGGTGGGGAAAGGTGCGCCTTTCTTGCCCCTAAGGGGCCCTAAGGGGCCCACTGGGGCCCAAAAGGGGCACGAGAGGTGCACGTTTCTCCCCCCTTGGCCGCAGTCCCATCGAACGCCCCTCCATTAAGCAACGCCCGACTTGTTCATTCTACTGGCCGGCGGCCGATGTTGTGTCACAGTTGGCATCTGCTTGCAGCTTCGTGGGTGGAGGCTTCAGGTGGTGTTGGTTGGTGGTCGTGTCTTTGATTTGTCGCGTTGACCTCGCGCGGGGGAGTCATAGTGGCAAGGTGCATGCAGTGCAACGCTCAACGGAGCACGATCCCATCGAACTTTCAACAAGGAGTCCCCCCAGCAATACAAGGGAACAGTTCGCAACGATTCAGGACCTGAATGATCAGAAGGGGGTACTTTTGGCCCGACTTGGCGCTGCATTGGGGCTCTCTCGGGCGTGGTTAGGTTCTGCAGATGGCGTATTGGTGCAGTCGTTCGGGGCTGGTCTTGGGGAATGGCGGGCTCTAGGAGGCCTTCCTTGGGCTCTGTTGGTGGTTACTTTAGAGCTACCACTGGGATTCAGAAACTTGTCCGCGTGGAGGGTCTAACGCGCTCCCAGCAGCTTGTCAGAGGCTTTCATATAAGAACTCGTCCCGACGTCTTTCCTCTGACTCCTCCGTTGTGTCTCCACCCTGTACGGCCAGCAGGAGGGAGGACGGATGAGGACGGATGAGGGACGAACCACGGGGAGGAGGGAGGTGGACTGACGTGGACAGATGTGGAGGTCTGAGTGTACAGGACGGCAGATGTTGGAGGAGCGCGATGGGGATGATTGCGAGTGTCTGGGCAATTTGGGGGCACCGAGGGGCTGACGCCCAAGCTTTCGCTCCAGCAGCCAGCACCCTCGGAAGAGAGGGGCACGCCAAATTGATGGACCCTCTCCGTACTCAAGGCTTCCGAGGCAGGCGCTGCTGATTGCCCCTTCGGTGGGCCAAGCCCGATCCTCACTCGTCGTCGCCGTCGTCCTCCTCGCTTTTTGCCCCACGCCCAATCCGCTCAAAGAGTCGCCCTGGGCACTCTTCTGGGCACCGTCCCCGCCCTGAGCGGCTTCCCCGAGACCCGCGCCAGCGGCGGCGAGCAGCCCTGCCCCCCGTTCCTCCCGCAGGCGCGCACGAGACCGAGCCTTTGAATCGAGGCCCGCTGCACTCTTTGCAAGAAATCGCAGCACATCGAAAGTACCGCCGTCGTCGTCGTCGTCGTCGCCGTCGTCGACGTCGCCGTCGTCGTCGTCTGCGTCTTCGTCGTGTCTTCGTGTTCGTCGTCGTCTTCGTCGTCGTCCGCGCTTCGTCACCTTCGTCGCCGTCGTCGACGTCGCCGGCGTCGACGGCGGCGGCGATGATGGCGGCGGCGTTGGCCAGCGACGACGGCGGCGATGGCGTTGACGACATCAGTAGATACGACGACGGCTGTGGCGACTCCGACCACGGCGACGGCGGCGACCGTGGCGATGACGAGGTGACACATCAGCCGCGCAGATTGCGTGGAGGCGCCACCAGGGGGGTTCAGGGCAGATTAAACAAATCCGCGTGAACCTCCGAAAGTTTATGTTTATGCTGCGTTTCGCGCCTCGATCTACTCTGTCTGACTCAGACAGGGGAGAGTCGAACTTGGCACGTTGCTTTTTTGATTTCCCAGCGCAGTGTCTTCGCGACAGGCGACTAGGACGGCGAGCAGGCTGAACCCAAGATTAGTTACCTTCCCTTCTGCTCAGTCCTGTGACAAATACAGGGAAGCGGGACGCGGAGCAGGATCCCTGCTCTTTTATGCCTCCTTTTCCCCCTCGAGGCCATGGAGCTCATCAACACCCACTCGCTCATCCGTCCTCTTCCTCGAGGCCATGAAGCTCACCAGTCCCTGCTCCTCCCTCATCCCTGGTCTTCCTCCTCGAGACCATGGAGCTCGCATATCCCTATCCCTCCCTCATCCCTCCTCTCCCTCCTCGAGGCCATGGAGCTTACCCGTCCCCTGCTCCTCCCTCACCCCGCCTCCTGCTCCCCGGGGGCTCGTCCTCCTCCGTCCCGTCGGCCCTCCCCGAGGTCATGGAGCGGACCAACCAGGAGGTGCCCCAGGAGCTGCGCGACCTGGCCGGCAGCGGCGGGGGCGGCGGCGGCAGTCCGCGCCTCGGGCGCCGCGGTCGCGGGGCGGATGGGGATGGGAGGCAGGAAGGAGGGAGGCAGGACGAGGCGTGGGAGCAAGGCGAGAGCGGCGGAGCGCGAGAGAGGAGGAGGAGGAGGAGAAGAAGGAGGAGGAGGAGGAGGAGGTAAATTGGGGCCGTTGTGAAGGGGCAAATCTCATCAGGCGGCACTAGCCCTGGGACCATTGTTGTGGCGCGCGTTCGGTTGGCGGACTTGATCTTGAGATTTAGAGCAGCTATGCAGTTCTCGATTGCACCAATCGGTTCAGCAGCCTCGGAAGCACTACTTAGTCTACAGCCTCGAGAGAGCTTAGATCGGCCTGCTATTCGAGCTATCGCCAAAAACTAATGTCTAGATGCAACCCCTTTTGCTTTTTCGAATAGTGTTAGGGGTGAAGGTACACCCCGAGATTCAGAGTGAGTTCAGAGCTCTGTCTGTTCGTGGGGCTCCTTGGGGCCTATGTAGGACCATTGCGGAGGCTTCCTGGGCCATCGTGAGCTAACAGAAGCCCGAAAAGGCAAGACTGCGACAATCACTCAAACACCAATGGGGGACAATGGGTTTGACTTTTTCGGGCCCTGTTGGAGGCCCTCTTAGGGGCCCGATGCTGGCCTCCTTGGACGTTTTGAGGCCACATTCTGCCGCCACGTGGCCATCTTTCAGGAGGGGAAAAAACACACAGACACAATTAATCGTCGACTCCCAGGAAAATATTGGAAAATATGGGAAGTGGGCTGGAAGACAGAAACCCAGAAAATATGGGAAAATATGGGGAATTATTTTATTTGTGTGTATCTATTTGTGTGTCCTGGGGCCCCTTCAATCTTGGCCAGCCTTCGAGGCATCGTGGGCCACCTCGGTGGCCCTGATGTCCTGCCCCGGCCGCCCCGAAGGCTCGGGGCGCGGACCGCATCCCTTTTCTTCTAGGGAGAGTGGCCTCGGGACCGTGGACCCACAGTTTTTTCCCAGAATGGGCTTTGGCCCAGGAGGAGGAGGAGGAGGAGGAGGAGGAGGAGGAGGAGGAGGATTTGTTTACCCGCGGTTTTGACTTGAGGTGGGCCGGCGAATTTCTTTTGCGATAAAATATCGAGGGCGAGGTGGGCCGGCGAATCACACTTTGAGGACGTCCCTAGCGAAACGCTTGTGTTCCAGAATTTGCTGAGGACGACTCGAGCGAAACGCTTATTTTCGTGTTATACATTGTCCTCTCTTGGGGACCTGAATTCAGAGGATCTCTCAAGTGAAATGCTTGTTTTCACGTGCCCAGGTCTTGGGGATGTCTCGAGCGAGACGCTTAGTTTCACGCCTCCAGGTTGCCCAGACAGATGTCTAGCAGGAGGATTTGTTGAGGATGTCTCGAACCAGAGGCTTGTTTTCACGTGCCCAGGTCGCCCAGGCGGATGTCTAGCATGAGGCGGTGTCGAGGAAGTCTCGATCGAGACGCTTGTTTGCACGTGTCCAGGTTGCCCAGGCGGATGTCTAGCGTCAGGATGTGCTGAGAACGTCTTGAGCGAAACGCGTGTTTTCAAGTGTCCAGGTCGCCCAGGCACAGCACAGCCCTCGGCACGGTACATCAATATCGATACCCTTAGCATTGCAGCCTGGCATGTTGCTTGGTACGTTCCGCGGAGCGTCCCGCGGAGAGTCCCCCTGGCACGTCGCGCGGTGCACGTCCATTGGCTCGTTTCGTAGTGCGTCCCCTTGGCACGTCCCGCGGTGCGTGCCCATGGCACGTCTCCTGGCACGTCGCCTGGCGCGTCCCTTGGGACGGTCCGCGGCGCGTCCTCCTGGCATGTCCCCCTGTCGATCAGTTTTGGGGCAGCTATCATCTGCTCAGGCAGCTCGAGTTTAAGATCAAGCTCAGTTCGGTCAGGACTCGGATGCAAAGAGGACTCGATACACAACGCTATATTGAGCACAATCGCGGCATGGCACATCGCAGTTCAGCACGGCCCAGCACAGCACAGCCGTCGGCACGGTACATCAAGATCGATACATTCAACATTGCACCTTGGCACGCTCCATGGCGCGTTCCGTGGCGAGTCCCCCTGGCACGTCGCGCGGCGCGTCCCCTGGCACGTCCCGCGGCACGTCCATTGACACGTTCCGTAGCGCGTCCCCTTGACACGTCCCGCGGTGCGTGCCCATGGCACGTCCCTTGGCACGTCGCCTGGCGCGTCCCTTGGGACGTTCCGCGGCGCGTCCTCCTGGCATGTCCCCTCTGTCGATTAGTTTTGGGGCAGCTGCCATCTGCTCAGGCAGCTCGAGCTTAAGAACAAGATCAGTTCGGTCAGGACTCGGATGGCAGGGAGGACTCGATCCACAACGCTATATAGAGCACAATCGCGGCATGGCACATCGCAGTTCAGCACGGCGTAGCACAGCACAGCCTTCGGCACGGTACATCAGGATCGATGCATTCAGCATAGCATTTGCCCGTCGCCCAATCAGGTGTCTTTGAAACGTCGCCATGCCTTACATTCCTGTATGCCTTTCCGGGTTCGTGGGCCGATCACGTTTTGTGAGGGATCGTAGCCTCGCGGGCAACGGTGTGCATGCGCTGGCCTGCGACTAGGGGACGGCTAATCAGTATATAAAAGCCCTGCAGAGCAGCACCTTGCATTCGAACACGCGCACAGCGTGCGGGCACTGTGGCGGATTACGGTGCAAGGCCGATCGTTCACACCCACGAGAGCGCGAGCGCGAACGCGCCGCCGCTCGGCGATCAGATCAGCCCAGTGGTTGCTTGTGGCCTGGTACTAATCCGAGGCTGCCTAGATCTATCTGGACGTTCACTTTAGAAACGGGCAGCTGGTAATGCGGCCTGGGAAGGGCACCAACTGCTCAACTCCAGAATACTATGATTTTTCGATCACAGGGGGCTTCAGGAGTCTTCTCAGTGGTCCTACACTATCTCCATACCCAGTGCAAAGTGCATTCGGGTATCGTGCATGTCTAAACACAGACTCGGACAAGCACGCATGTTCCGCAGCATGGCTAATCAGAGGTAGACCCTTACAATGCTCCCAGATATGGGCGCACTCTCCTCCATACGCCGTGGTACAGGCACAGGCCCAACGGGCACAGTGAAGCACCCGACACAGCACAATTTCTTCTCCCTGACGGCGCCAAGGACCGAAACTTCGTGGTCGAGGCCATAACGTGGAGGAGGCGGAGGAGGAGGCGGAGGAGCAGCAGCAGCAGCAGCAGCAGGCGGAGGAGTAAGAGGAGGAGGAGGAGGAGGAGGAGGAGGAGGAGGAGGAGGAGGAGGAGGAGGAGAGGGATGACGAGGTGAAGGAGCGACAGGAGAGAGAGGCGAGACCGCCGAAAACACATGAGTGCAGGTGAAGGGAGATGAGTCCGATCGGGCTCCGTGAGGCTCGGCAGGCGCGTGCGGGATCCGCGCCCCGCGCGGTGCCGCACCGTACTCTCTTTCTCTGGAGCCGTGGGGCACGCCCAGGAGACCGCTGGGGCCGCGGCGGGGGCGGCGGCGGCGGCCGCGGAGGAGGCGGAGGCGACAGGTGGGGCGACCGCGGAGGCTGCCAGCCGCCAGGGCTGAAGGGGGGGGCGGCTCAGAGGAGGGCGAGTTTCGGCACAAACGAAATAGGTACGGAAAGACTTGGCACGAAGACCGCCACCATTCCCAGCTCATTTTGAACAGGACTCGCTGTCGGTAACGCCGCGGAGGCTGTCCACTTGAAGCAGAAAGGCGCCTGCCCAACCTCGGCCGCTGTCGGCTCTGGACAACCTTCGCGGCTGGGCGTCGTGCCCATCTTTTCCGCACCCATTTCGGGCGTCCAGGTCAGAGGCGGGCGAGTTGATGCATCGGTAACGTTGGCCTTCGGGGGGGAGGGGCCTCGTCACCACGGCCAGGCGCAGCTCGGACCGCTGTTGCGCCTGGACACCGAGGGGCCGGGGGGCAGATGTCCGAGCTGCTCTGCGCGCGAAGGCATCCACGCCCTCTGCGGTGACGAACGTCCGCTCCTGTGCAGGCGAGCTCTGCTGCAGCTTCCATCTCGTGCAGCCTGTCGGAGAGGTGCCTCGTCCCCCTCCCGTCCTCCGCTCCTCCTCCCCGCGGGTGCGCGAGAGGGCCGCGCCCCCGCTGCGCGCCGCCGCGGCCCCGCGTGCGGCGCGCCCTTCCCCCGGGGCGGCGCGTTCGCCGAGGGCGCGGAGGGGCAGCGGCGCACCTCGGCGGCGAGCCGGAGGAGGAGGAGGAGGAGGAGGAGGAGGAGGAGGAGGAGGAGGAGGAGGAGGAGGAGGAGGAGGAGGAGGAGGAGGAGGAGGAGGAGGAGGGGGGGCGGGGGTGCAGATGAGGAGAGGGCCTCCTCAGGAGGCTCGGACGTCCCCTGGCCTCCTGAGAAGTGCTCGGAGCCTTCCCCAGAAGGCACGGGCAACTTGTCTCCCGGAGGGCGCGGGAGCTTCCGAGAGGTCCCGCCGCCTCCTGAGAAGGCGCCTTCTCCTTCTCGCTTCCTCCCCTCGCTCGCCGCCAAGCGCCGTGGGGCGCGGAGCGCGAAGTGGGGTGGCCGAGGCTCTGCCGGGGATGGCCCTCCTCGCCCCCCCCCTTGGCCCACGGCGCGGATCCAGATCCCTGGACGCGGGATGCGGGATGCCGGCCGGGGCTGGGGGCGGGGTCGGACGTCGACGTCGGGGCCTGGGCGCCCTTCCGCAGACGAGCGTGCAGCGTGGACCGAGGGTGTCGTGAGTGGGGGCGGGGGCCTCACCGCGCATGATCATCCCGTGACGCCCCGCAGCGGCCGGAGTCTCCAGCGGGGTGGTCCTGCGTGCCCCGACTGCGACGCGCGGGCGGTCTTGGTCTCCGCGTGCGGATGCCTGAGTTGCCGAGTGGAAGCACCTCGGGGCTGCTACTACCATGAGCGATGCCGTCCATGGTTGCTTTTTCTTGCCTTGCCCCTCCTTTCTCATCTTGTCGCTCCCTCTCCTCGTCCACTCTTCATACCCTCCCCCCCATGGCCCCTCTCCCTGCCCCGTCCCCCCTCCTCCTGCTTCTCCCCCTGCCCCTCAAGCTCTTCCCTCTTACCCCTCCTCCTCCTCCTCCTCCTCCTCCTCCTCCTCCTCCTCCTCCTCCTCCTCCTCCTCCCCCTCCTTCTCCTCGTCCGGCCCCTCCATCTGCCTCTTCTGAAGGGTCTCTGTGAGGAGCCAATTGAGCGGAGTGGCAGTACTCTCCAGGGTAAGCACCCTAAGTGCGGGGTTGTGTCAGTTGATTTTGCTCGGGGCGTATGAGAGGCGAGCCTCCTTCTGGCGACGCCGTGGCTCGTTTCGATCATCCAGAGCGCAGGCGGGGCACTTGATGGCGCCGCGTCTGTGCTGTGCTTCCTCGTGTGCTTGCCCCTCCAACTCCTCCTGCCAGCCGCCTGTCCCTGCCGGTCCCCCACGTTTCTCCCTCCACCTCCGTCCTCCGACCCCCACTATCCTAGATGCGAGGCCGAGGTGCTGTTGGAGTGAGTGCTGGAATATGGGCGGGTGGGGGGGGAGATCGATCTAAAGCTCCATGTCTGGTTATTCGTGGTCGCAGCGCAAGCGCCCTGTGCTTGCTCTGACCTTGCTCTCTAGCAGTCTGCTCCGGGTCTTTCCCCCGATCGTAGGTGGGGCGCGTTCTTTACCCGAGTCCGCAGCCAAAGCAACATCCTCACCATCATCTTCCTCTAAGCTAGCTCTACTTTTTCGGCCAGCTGTACAAGCAGGAATGAACGGTGCGGTCTCGCTGGCCTGCTGGCAGGCAGGCGACCAGTACATGCGCACGCGGTCATCGCCAGCTTGATCCCCTGGGAAGGGACAGGGAGGAGGGAGAGGAAGGAGCAGGGAGGAGGGAGGAGCTGGGATGAAGGGTGAACAGAGGAGGAGGAGGAGGTGGAGGAGGAGGTGGAGGAGGAGGTGGAGGAAGATGAAGAAGAAGAAGAAGAGGCCGAGCGAGGCAGAGGGAGGAATGAAGGGGAGGCCTCGGGAGGAGGAATGCGGAGTAGGAACAGAAAGGGCTTGGCAAGAGGAGGGGGGAGGAGGATGAGGAGGAGGAAGAGGAGGAGGAGGAGGAGGAGGATTAGGAGCAGGAGGAGGAGGAGGAGGAGGAGGAGGAGGAGGAGGAGGAGGAGGAGGAGGATTAGGAAGGGGAAGGTGGTGGAGGAGGAGTGGCCCTCGCTGCGGCGGGCCAGAGCGTTGCACCAAGCCACAGTTTTCCAACACCACGGCTGTGGCTTCTCCCCCCTCCCTTCCCTTCCCCTCCCAGAGCGCAGTGCACCGGTGCGATCTGCAGGCGGAGGCGGCGGTTACGGCGGCAGCAACAGCGTGCCGCTCGGTCGCGGGCGCAGCAGGAGTCCGAGGCGCGGTGGCGGCTGCCCGGCCGGTGGAGCAGGGTGGGGGGGGCTTGTGCTGCTCGGCCATGGCCACCTGGTGCCTCGGAGGGGCGGGGGAGGGGGGGGAGGGCGCGAGGGAGGGGCGGCGGAGGGGGGTAAGATGCGGGGCAGCCGGCGCGCCCCGCGCACCTTCCCCATGGCGGCCGCTTGGCCCCAGCCACGGCCTGCGAGTGGCCCGATGGGCCCCGGCAGAAGGACGAGGAGGAGGACGGGGCGGCGGGCGACAGAAGGGAGAGGGAGGAGGAGGAGGAGGAGGAGGAGGAAGAGGAGGAGGAGGAGGGTCCAACATTCTTTCGGCTGGTTCTTTTTGAAAAGCGGGTGGGGGGGGTCCATCGGGGGTCTATTTAGGGGGTCTTCGGGCTAGAGTGGAGGCGGAGGAGGGGAAGGAGGAGGAGGAGGAGGAGGACTAGGAGGAGAAGGAGGAGGACCAGTGTAAACCAAAGACGCAACAGCGATGATGCAATGAACCTTCCTTCCAAGTTCCCTCTTCATAGTTTCCTACAAGAATTTGTTGTGAAGGCCTTACGGTCGGTGCCGCCGGCCGAGAAGGACGACGACAACGACCACAACGACGAACACGACGACAACGACCACGACGAGCTGATGACCCTGCCACACGCCCGGGACGTGGGGCGGGTGGTGGAGGGAGGAGGGGGAGGAGGCGGAGGAGAAGGAATGGGAGGAGGAGGAGGCGGAGGAGGAGGAAGAGGAGGAGAGGGAAGGGGAGGAGGAGGCGGAGGAGGAAGAAGAGGAGATCAAGTCATGTCGCCGCAGCCGACGATTCCGACTACTCAACGCCTCTGCCTCCTACCCAGACCGGGCATCTAATAATATGTCGATGTTCTTTCTCCCTCAGCATTCAGCTTTCACGTGCGTCGTTCTGTCTTGGATAACTGTTGCTGCAGCTGCATTTGTGAAGTCGGCAGGAGTATCAGCGACCACGGCAGTGACATGCTGATGCGTCACAGCTTTGCGGAAGACGCTGGCCCTCCTAATTCTCCTTCCTCCATCTCCTCCCTTCTCCCTCTCCCTACCCGTCCCCCCCCTTTGCTGCTTCTAAAAAGGCCTGCCCTTAGTTCCTGCGCGCTGAAAGTGGGGCTCAAAAAGCATGGCGTAGACATGGCGTTGATGGCGTGTGCCTGCCGGCACGGCCATTTGTAGGCCATCACGTGTAATGTTTGATGTTTGGGGAATTGCCCTTGGGTTCCATCGTATTTCTTCCTACCTCCTCTTCCCTCCCTCTGCAGTGGCGTCTCCCGGCCGAGCGATCCCGCGCGGGCCTGCCGAGGCGCTGGTGACGCAGGGCGCGGCTGCACGGCTCTTCCCGCGATGGTCGGCGAGTTGGGCCGTCATCATCCTTGCCCTTCTCCTTTTAGGAGAAAGAGGAAGGGATAGGGGGAGGGTGGGAGGGAGGGGTATGAGTAATAGAGGGGTGAGGAAGGAGGGAGATCGTGGGAGGAGGAGGAGGAGGAGGAGGAGGAGGAGGAGGAGGAGGAGGAGGAGGGAGGAGGAAGGAGGGAAGAGGAGGAGGGTTGTCAGGGAACTCGTGAGTGGGGTTCTCCAGGATTGCGTGGGGCTTCGGGCCGCCTGCCGGGGATCACCAGCGCTTGGCGTTCGCTCCACCGAGCACGCTCGCGATGGCCGCTGGTGCTGACGACCGTCTGCCACCGCCAAGCTGCCATTTCAGTATCATTGTGTACGCAAGGGCTCCCGCGAGGGCGCGAAGTTAGTCGCGCTTCGCGGTCCTCGTTCCTTCTCCCCCTCCTCTTCGTCCTCCTTTTCTCTTTTTGGGGGGGCGGCGCGAGAGCGCGAAGTCATTCGCACTTCGCGCTTCGCGCAGTGCGAAGCGTGAAGTTGGGAGCCCTAGTGTATGTTGGTCGTGCCCGAGGTGGGCAGCGCCACTTGTACAGTGTCACCTGAAGGGGCTAAGCGTAGGCGCACTGCGAGTGCAGCACGCTTCTGCTCTAGAGGGTGGCGATGCCCGCAAAAAAGGTGCACCCACTGCGCGTCATCGGCGCACGCAGCAGCATGCACACACAGAGGCCTGTTGAGCATATGTCGCTGAATGGCTCATAGCGTCGGTCCCTGGAGAATCCAGGAGGGGGAAAACACAGACACACGTAACCCCAGGAACAAATAGGAAACTATGGGAAGAGGGGGGGGACGAGAACCAGGAACTTAGCCTGACGAAGGACCCGACCATGTGCAGCTGCGAGTGCCGCATTGTGGGTACCGCTTTCGGTGGAGCTCCCTATGGGGCCACGAAGCGTGCGAGGGGTGCGCCGAAATCGGTGGCGGTGACGCATGCGGACCCTGCCACTGGAGCCTTCGGTGGAGCTCCGAATGGGGCCACGAAGTTCTGTCCTTGGTGGCGGTGACGCATGCGGAGCCTGCCACTGGAGCCTTCCGTGGAGCTCCCTATGGGGCCACGAGGCGCTGTCCTGGGTGGCGGTGACGCATGCGGGTCCTGCCACTGGAGCCTTCGGTGGAGCTCTCTATGGGGCCACGAAGCGCTGTCCTGGGTGGCGGTGGCGTATGCGGACCCTTCCACTGGAGCCTTCGGTAGAGCTCCCTATTGGGCCACGAAGCGCTGTCCTGGGCGGCGGTGGCGCATGCGGACCCTGCCACTGGAGCCTTCGTTGGAGCTCCCTATGGGGCCACGGAACACGGTCTCCTGGGTGGCGGTGACGCATGAGGGCGCAACCACTGGGGCCTTCGGTGGATCTCCCTATGTGGCAACGAAGTGCTGTCCTGTGTGGCGGTGACGCATGCGGACTCTGCCACTGGAGCCTTCGGTGGAGCTCCCTGTGGGGCCACGAAGCGCTGTCCTGGGTGGCGTTGGCGCATGCGGACTCTGCCACTGGAGCCTTCGGCAGAGCTCACGAAGCGCTGTCCTGGGTGGCGGTGACGCATGCGGACCCTGCCATTGGAGCCTTCGGTGGAGCTCCCTATGGGGCCACGAAGCGCTGTCCCGGGCGGCGGTGGCGCATGCGGACCCTGCCACTGGAGCCTTCGGTGGAGCTCCCTATGGGGCCGCGAAGCGCTGTCCTGGGTGGCGGTGAAGCATGCGGACTCTGCAACTGGAGCCTTCGGTGGAGTTCCCTATGTGGCCACGCAACATTGTCCTGGCTGGCGGTGACGCATGCGGGTCCTGCCACTGGAGCCTTGGGTGGAGCTCACTATGGGGCCACGAACCGCTGTCCTGGGTGGCGGTGACGCATGCGGACCCTGCCACTGGAGCCTCTGGTGGAGCTCCCTTTGGGGCCACGAAACGGTCTCCTGGGTGGCGGTGACGCATGCGGACCCTGCCACTGGAGCATTCGGTGGAGCTCCCTATGGGGCCACGAAGCGCTGTCCTGGGCGGCGGTGGCGCATGCGGACCCTGCCACTGGAGTCTTCGGTGGTGCTCCCTATGGGGCCACGAGGCGCTGTCCTGGGTGGCGGCGACGCATTCGGGCGCAGCCATTGGGGCCTTCGGTGGAGCTCCCTATGGGGCCACGAACCGTGTGAGGGGTGTGGCGTAATGGGTGGCAGTGACGTATGCGGACGCAGCCACTGTGGCTTTCGGTGGAGCTCCCTATGGGGCCACGAACCGTGTGAGGGGTGTCCCGTAATGGGTGGCGGCGGCGCATGAGGACGCAACCACTGGGGCTTTCGGTGGAGCTCCCTATGGGGCCACGAACCGTGTGAAGGGTGTGCCGAATTGGGCGGCGGTGACGCATGAGGACGCAGCCATTAGGGCCTTCGGTGGAGCTCCCTATGGGGCCACGAACCGTGTGAAGGGTGTGCCGCATTGGGCGGCGGTGACGCATGAGGACGCAGCCATTAGGGCCTTCGGTGGAGCTCCCTATGGGGCCACGAACCGTGTGAGGGGTGTCCCGTAATGGGTGGCGGTGACGCATGAGGACGCAACCACTGGGGCCTTCGGTGGAGCTCCCTATGGGGCCACGAACCGTGTGAAGGGTGTGCCGCATTGGGCGGCGGTGACGCATGAGGACGCAGCCATTAGGGCCTTCGGTGGAGCTCCCTATGGGGCCACGAACCGTGTGATTGGTGTGCCGTAAACGCTGGCGGTGACGCATGCGGACACGGCCACTGGGGCCTTCGGTGGGGCTCCCTATAGGGCCACGAACCGTGTGAGGGGTGTGCCGAATTGATGATGCTGGTGATGATGATGATGATGATGATGATGATGCTGATGGTGATGGTGACGTTGATGCTGATGATAGGGGAAAGGGAGGGGGGCAGCGAGAGGAGGAGGAGGAGGAGGAGGAGGAGGAGGAGGAGGAGGAGGAGGAGGAGGAGGGACGCGCGGCGCTGACTCTTCAAAACGAGAACCCAACACCACAGGATGGTTGGGAAATATTGGAACATATTTGGATTCCTGGGATTTGTGTATATTTATTTGTGTGTCCCTGGGCCCCTTTAACAACGTCGGCCACTGGAGTTTATGGGTGCCGAGGTGTTGGCTCGCCGGGAGCGCGTGGTCGCTTTCGAGCGGCAGGTCTTCGGCCTCGCTCATAGGACACGCCTTCGGAACAAGCGCTCCGCCTCTGGAAGCGAATTGGTGGGAGGTGCAAGCGACGAATCAAGCAGTGGCGAAGCGTTCTGGCGTGCCTTTAGCCCAGCCGAACGATGTTCTAAGAACGTTTGTGATTTCCACGAACTGCTCTTAGAACACTTCTGGCTAGGACCGTTTTGTCTTAGCTCATCGGGGCATGTTCTAAGGACACGGTTTTTGATATCAAAAGCTTTTGGTTCTCAGAACATGTCGTGGTGGGCCTATCAGAATGCCTGGCCGTCGGTCCCTGCTCAAAAAAAGTATCCCATCTTGGGGTCGGCGCGTCTGGTTTGTTGAACTGTTGGAGGCCCCGGCTAACCATCTTCGCTCACCGAGATCCCTTTATTCTGTGCTTAGCCGAGGATCGTTTCTTTGGGCTCGAATTGAGAGTGGTGTGAAGCAGGTAAAAAGTTGATGCCGCCAGCATGGGTGGAGGAGGAGAAGGGCGGCGACGACGCTGACGGCGAAGGTGAAACAGGAGAAGGAACGATGGCGAGCAGAAGGATGAGGAGCAGCAAAATGAGGAGGAGGGGGGGTGGAGGGGGGGGTACAAGAGAGGGAGAAGGAAAAGGTTGATGAGGGGGAGGAGGAGAAGGATGCTGAGGGGGGCGTAGCAGGGGCAGGAAGAGAACAGTTGATCGGCAGTGGAGGAGGGAACTCCTGAGGTGGTTCTATAATTTCTGCTCCGCAGGGCCTGTGCTGCAACACACCGTGGCCATGTGTGATGCGCGTGTTGTCGAGCTCTGTCTCCGTCGCGCGCCTCTTCTTTCCCTCCTCTTTCTCCCTCATTGTGTAGCGTGCGCGTCTGACATGTCTTGGCTTTGCTCTATCTGGATCCTCTTCCTGGAGCATCCTGGCCGGGCTGTCCGTGCTCGGCCACTGCGTGTTCCTTGAAGGTCGCGCGTTCTGGGGCCGAGTTCGCCCATCGCAGTTCGGTTCTTTTCGAGCAGCGCGCCCCGTCTGCCCGGCGCTCTTCCGCTTTTCACGCCAGGGGATGAGATCCGTTGGTTGCGCTTCCTGTCCTGCCTCCTCCTCCTTCTCCATCTCCCCCTGAGTGCAACAGTTGCCAGGACGCAGCTGAACTCTTGTGCCGCCTGTCGATTGCCCAGCCAAGGTGTGGCATGACACAGGCGAGCATTTGTCGCCACCGCTTGGCTCCTGGTAGCCATGTTTTGCCAATGCTGTAAGAGAGTATCGCCATTCACACTGGCAGCGGAGCTGGTTACCATCTTTAGAGACCGTACCACAGTGCATCGGGCTCATCTCGTTCCGAGAGAGCGCCGCGGAGCAGTTACCCTCCGACGTCATGGCCGGTCGAGCGCAGACGCGTTGACGCAGTCCGAGACGAAGAGCGGCTTTTAGTTTATTGGTGGCCTTTCAAATTATTTCCACGACTGGCAGTTCCGCACAGAGGTGCGCATGATTTCTGCTCTAGCCGTGAAAGACTCCGAGTCCAAAGAGCCACTTCAGCAGGGGCTGTCCGCTGCCGTCAACAAGATCATAGAGGGCCTTAGGGGCGACGCGCTCGGTATAGCTATTGGTATAGGTAAAGGCGCGCTCTTGACCGCGAAATGTACCAACTTGTTGATACGGGCGATTCGCACATTATTGTTCTTTCTCGAGGCGCACGAAGGCAAGGTGTTGTGCCAAGTTGGGAACTGACCGTGTGGGCCGATATTGCGACAGAGTGGAGTTACGATGGTCTCGTTCACATCTACTATGTGTATATATATATATATATATGAATACAGATTCTTATATGTGTACATCCTGCATGGAAATAGCCGGCCTGTATGCCCCCCCCCACCACCACCACACACACACACACACACACGGAAAATCCCAGGACCCCTCTCAGACGGCCTCTCCCTGGTCCGGCCCCCGGTCTTCCTGGGCCTCCCGGGCTAGCCAGCCGCACTCCCCTTGACGATGCGGACAGCCCCAGTGGCCTCGCAGCGACCCCCAACGCTGACAAGAAGGCCCGAAGACGGCCTCCAAGTGGACCCAAGACGGCCAAAACACGACCCAACACCCTCCCAATAGGGCCCCAGGAAACGCCCAAGAGGGCCGCGAGATGCAAACATCGGTGGTCTCCTTTGGGTTCGAGATGAATTTTAGAGTGTTTTTTTTTGGTGGCATCCCATACACCACGAAGGCCCCACGAGCTGCCGAGATCGCCCCAAGACGGCCACAGAAACTGCCGAGACGGCCCCGAAACGGCCGAAGACGGCACCAACACGGCCCAAGACGGCCCAAGATGCTTCAGAGACGGCCCCAAGACGGCCCGACAGAGCACCAAGACGGCCCAAGAAGGCTCCCAAACAGCCCCCGAGGACCCGAACACGGCCCAGGAGGGCCCCAACACGGTGCACGAGGCCCCCCCAAACGCCCCAGAGGCTTCCAACAGACCGCCAAAAAGCCCCCTAGCGACAAACTTCACAGCCCAACAGGCCCACCTCTTTTTCCGGACGCCTCGCTGCGAT